GGGCCTCCACACAAAACCCTGGACATTTGAAGAATTTTATAAACTCCCCCCAGACAGGCCGGACAGCCCCCTAAAAGAGGACATGTCTGGGTAAAAGAGGACGTATGGTCACCCTACGCCCACATGAGTCTTTGTTTAGTCTGTTAGCATGTGTTAGTTATTGTTAAAGTATCTGCTGATGTAATGTTACTGATACAGTTTGTGGCTCTGGGCCTTCACTGAGGCTCTGACTGAAACAGCCTCAGGTTTCAGTGACAGTTGGGACACAAATCCAGCTTTTCAAAGGAGTAATGGGGAAAGTGGCACAACTACATCTTTGTCCCTAAAATATTAACATTTCTTGTTGTTTCTGTTGCCTTTGTATTTTGGAAGAGAAAGTGGTGTGAATTTCCCATAGAACTAAAAAATGCTTCAGAGCAGCTTTAAGAGACAAACTGACTCAACAATGTGCAGAGTGGAGGAAAAGCTAAGGGGTGCAACTGATTATCTAGATTTTGGGTGGGTGTGTCCTGTAGCATTGTCTTAACTTGATGGCACAACCTGATGTCTGGTTGTGGCCATGTCTCAAAAAGAGCTGTTCAGGGAACCTGGAAAGCTGGTCATAAGATTACACCACCATCTGTGCATTTCATACTGTGGATGTGTGACATTGTAGCACTGTATATAAGTATTAAAGCACAGATCAGCAAAATAGGTCTTCTTCAATGTCTGTGAACTCAAAGAGCAAGGGGGTTTGTGTGAAAGCCAACAGTGGATGACTCAGCTCTCAGCTACTTTGAGTCATTAATCATACTTTTTAAATTAAATCTCTTTATCAGGTACACCACAAAGAAAGTTAAATGAATTCTCATTCATTTCCTCCTCATGTTTGTGCTACGTTCAAACCCTGAACTCTGCTGATAGGCTACCACATTAGCATCAGCAGTATCTAGGCTGTCCACCCAGAGCAGGGGCGAAAGAGAAATGCAAAGATGAATGTGGTGTGTGCATGTGCGGTATTATCATACACTTCAGTGAGAAACAAAGCTAACAGCCTTGTGGGAATAAACTAGGCTTCATAAATGAAGGTTGATTTGATGTTGAGAGAGGCTGGTTTTTTTTTTTTTGTTTGTTTTGTTTTGAGGGCGAAAGAGTAAAATTCGTTGTATGTGTGAACATACTAGGCCAACAAAGCTGATTCTGAATCCTTCTGTCATTTTGAGAGCAGATGTAAATGCTTCATGCTCTGCTGTGGAGGTTTTCAAGCTTTTCGAGGGGTATCAGAGTTCAGTTGTGGATGCATATGTATGGACTGAGTTGAGCCATGTCGGTGTATTTGGTTTGAAAGGAGAAAGAGCAGCCTGTTAAATCTAAAGCCTCTAATGACTTTAGTTCGATGAGCTTTTTTCAAACTATCACTTGTGTCCTCTGCTTCAGTCCGGAGAGTTTGAGCCGAACAGAACATCCCCGCAGAACATGATCAAGAGCTGCTTCTGTATCTCTGCACACTGACATCCAGGATGAGAGGATGCAGGAAAACAGAGGAGGAGAGGTGCCAAAGCAAGCTGTGGTCTCATTTGGAGGGACTTAGGAGGGAGCCCCTGAAAACAGTTGTTCCTGTCTCCCTCTGTGCACCCCTTCCTCCCCCCTCTTTCTTTGGGATGTGCTTGATATGCGGCTCATGTCTGTGGGATCCTGTGTGTTTTTCCATCGTGCAGAAGAATGGCTTGGTAGGCCTGGACGTATCTCTCTCTCTCTCTCTCTCTCTGGAGCCACAGAGTCAGTACCCCACCTTCCTTCCTGTCTCAGCTCAGGGCTGAGTCTGCAGTGCAGGATGGGAGATAACCTGCTAATCGCTGGAACCCAGCGCCTGCCGGCCGATAAGGGTGACTCTGTCTGCTTTCTAACATGGGGTTGGCAATGAAAGTTTAAATGTCCTTGTGACACGTTTGTCTGTCAGCTGCTGCTAGTACACACGTCCCCACCTAGAAAGTCCAACACCACCCACAGCGGAGTCAGCAATGACTATTTTAAGCTGCAATCAACTAAGTAATCAAGTAAATGAAAAGCAAAACTGAGAGTGTGTGGATTTGACTGACATTTTTTAGCCTGCTGTGGAAGTTTTTCTTTTGGACATTTATAACTTTTTGTTTAAAAAAAACAGCAATCTTAGTTCATTAGAAAAATTATTAACATTAAATTGAAAGTTATGTTTGCATTCAATTGTCTCTAATTCATGTAAATGTCTGCATTAATGCCTTTCTCTCAGTCTTTTTCTTCTTAATGTACATGTAATTTAATGTGAATTAAATTGAATGTTGGCAATTAAAGCAATCAAGGAATTTCTCCAACCACAATCACTGAATAGATTGTCTTTCCTTTGTCACGTTCACATCCTGCTACATGCTGTATGTATTCATATCCTCTTCCTGTAAGAAGGAACAGGTGTCTCAGTTTCCTTGAGTACAACATGTACCAGTTTGCTAAAGGACCGGAGGCAGAGGCCCCCTGATGTTTGGTTAAACTAAGGATAAAACTATTGTCCAAAATAACATCCTTTTCTGATGAGTAAGATTGTTCAAGAAGCTCAAACATCCAACATCCACCCTGTGTATGTTGTGGTGCACTGTACCCAAACTTAATTCTTACTCGGTTTTATTTCCTGATAAACAGAGCGAGGTCGCGCTGTCGAGAAGACATGTCAAAAAATTAGTTGTTTTCATTTTCCTTCATCTTATTCATGGTGTTGTGTGTTAATAATAAAGGGATGGATTGATTTCGAAACACCGCGAGCAAAACAAAGGTCAGTTTATTAATAAGGACAACACACATACAGAGGTTACAGCAGTTAATCAAAACTTTAAAATAAAAGTTTTACAAAATGTATGTAAATTGATGTCAAGTCTGTCAGTCTGCCCCCTCTCCTCCTGCAACAGAAAGGGTCCCCAAGTCCAGTAAAAGGGTTAATCCAAACACAATACCCATAAAGATCCACAGAGTACCCTGTGTCACCAAAGACTGCATGAACTTTCTTGAGTTGTTGTTGATCCATCTTACCATGTAAGAGCAGAGGCTGGAGCATAGACTGTATATACTGTGGACAACTTGGCTCCGCTTCCTGTCATTATATTGTATTGAAGCCGAAATGCTCTCGGTATTTCCGGGATTTTCTCCACTTCCTGGAAACACCACTTGTGCAGTAGCATTGTACACATTCGGCAGGAAAGTCTATGAGAGTCGCTGTGATGACGCTCGGCTCAAACAGCGTATCCCCCAGGTGAGCAACGTAAGCTTTGTATGCCTAGAGGCTGTATCAAGTATCAATCATAGAAAACATGAACCCCCTGATAACTTTTAAAAATGGAGCTGTACAGAAAAAAGAGGACTTGAGCACAAACCAGTCTTACAGTAACTACATGTCTACATCGCAACCAGGGGAGAGAAAAATGTATATTCTGTGAAATTAATTTCTAAAGTTTGTCCACAGCTCCATAGGAATTGCTGGAGGAGGCGGGATTTATACTATACTGCAGCGCATCACCAGAGGGTGCTGTTCTCATAGTGGCTTCACCCAGCAAGTAGGCAGATGTGTTATTCATAAATGTATTTATATGTGTATACAACTTAAAGATTGTGGAAACCGTATCTTCTCACAGTGTATGGCTCATTTATGCTTGTCTGAAAATGTACGTGTCTGTTTCAAACAATGGTTCCATCACTGCCCACATACTTCCATTCATCCTTTATGTTGGCATGGATGTTAACCATTACATCCACCAGGGGGCAGCTTTGGAGGAGGCGGTGGTCAGTCAGGCCACTAAATGCCTCGCGATTGGAGGACGGAGAATTCTTTTCTCTAGTCGTACCAATGAAAGAAATTGACGCCAATCGTCATTCTCAGTACTTCAGGATGTCCACCGGGTAGTGACAGCAGCAATACTGCCACCACGGTTTCTGGTGGTATGACTCCGTCTGGCCCGTATCTGTAAACTTCAAGGGTACGTGCAGAAATACGGACGGAAAGAAGGTGAAGCAAGGACGGGGAGCTCCATCTGTATCCTGATCTGTATGTAATGCAGAGCATAAATGAGCCTTAAACAGTCAGCCAATCATAATGTTGTCAAACCCCGAGTTGATCTGGCCATCCAAAGCACATGTGGTACCATCACTAACAGCTGATATTATCAGGTATCTGCCAAATACAAGGCTCATACAGATAATCCACCAATTACTGAATATCAGCCCTGATAATGGGCCAAGACTGACAATTGGTCTATCTCAAATAGATACCAGTGATGGATATTCAGGCTCTCCTTAGTAATCTAGATCATTTTGCTCAGCATGAACTGTCTTAAATGTACTTTACATGAACTACCACAACATTATGCACAACAAAACTGTGGCCTGTTTCTACAGAAAAACACGGGGAATAAGATATATACAGCACCTCAAAGGGAACTTGAAGTGGTCTGAGTGAAAGTGAGCCAACACAGTGAAGGAGATTCAGAGGCGTGAGACATTTTCTCATTCAACTGCTCTCCACACTGAATTAACAGAGGCTTTGATAGTTTTCAGTCTTGTTTTCTTAAGTGGAATATCCTCTAAAATAAAACCTGAGCGGTACTCAGTCTTACGGAGGAACAGAAATTTCCTTGAGAGAGCTTCCTCTGCAGTCTGATGTCGGTACATTTTAGAGCCTGTATTTCAGCACTTTTGAATTAGTGTTTAAACAGTTTCTAATATTTCTTTTAACACATCAGTACCTCCACTCACGAGAAGACGGTGTTGAATTTTTGGCTTCTCATTCAAAGCAAAATATTCAACAGGCTTAATCCTGTAGGATACTTAAACACTCCTATCAAATGGGGACTTTTTAGGAATAAGAGTCTGTCTTAATACTTAGCTTTTTATCTCTAACACATGTGGAAACTCTGAACAGTGAGTCCACTCATGTCTGGTGCCGTTGGACCACCCCACGTCCCCTCTGCTCCCCCTGCATTTGTTTTTGGAGCCGGGGCCGTCTAGGCTGTGCCAGTCTTGAGGTGTGGGCTTTGCCACTCTGACCTCTCCTCATCTCTTGTGACCTCCTGACCTCTGGGCTGTCTGTGCTTGTGACAGTGGCTCTGCTGTAGCCACTGGCTGCTCCCCATCCCCACCCCCACCTCCACCCCGTCCCCTTTACTGTCCTGCACTCTGTGACTACAACAGCAGAGAGTCTGGCAGCTGAGGATTTGAAGAGATCTGGACGGAAGTCTCCGCTCCGTGTGAGTCTGATCTGGAGGCTATGGAGTAGAGTGCAGCAGCAGCAGCAGGCAGAAAGACTAAATATAGTGGTCTGAGGCAGAGACGGCGTCTTTTATCTGCTCATTTAATTATTTATCCGACAGCTCCATCCAAGCTGGACTCCTCAGTCGTGGGTCATCCGTCTCGGCTGATCTGACCGGGAGGTAAAACCAGCTCAGACTCCACTGTCTTCCTCCATTTAGTCACCATGATGTCCTTTGTTTGAATCATTTTCCTCTGACTGCAGAAACTCATGAAGCTCTGCCTAATTGGAGAAACTTGAGCTGCATTGTGGCTGAGTTTGACTCGCAGTGAGCGCTGCAGCTCATATTTTTAGACTGAATTGGTCTTTGTAATTACCCCATAGCCTTGCCTGAGTCTGTGAATCAGCTCTCTCCAGCCTAGCGGCCAACCGGCTTCTGAATCAGGAATGCTAAATACATAGGACCAGAATGTGCACATGCCATTATGGAGCAAACCTCAGATTTGGCTGTGTGTTGGATGTCCTGCTCGTTTGTGCTCGCAGCTCCAGACAGAATCAACTGAGCAACAGTCAGAGAAGAGAAATCTGTCTTCATTATGGCCTCTTTGAAACAAACCACGCAGGGGTCCAGCCAATCCTTGATTTTGTTATAGTAGCTCTGGTAAGAGAGCGGAGACATTGGCTCAGGTAAGCAAAAAGAAGAACCTCTGCGAAATGTACATTAATAGGAATAACACTCCTCCATGTCCTCCAAGTGTAAAATGTGAGGCCAAAACACCCCCTTGATAGATGCTGGCATATTGTGCTGATAATGTTTAGAGGTAACACCCTCTATGCTCTGTCTCTGACTTTATCACAGACACAAACAGCAGATGTATTTACATTTAAATCAATTAACAGTTCAGGAGGAGTGACTGGTGAATCCCTCTGCTGCTCTTCTCTCTGACTGATTCAACATTTTTCTATACAGACAAGTATTGAAATGGAATAGATCTTAATAATGTCCATGTTTATTCAGGATGGATTACTGCATTTCATTTTCAATTCAGGTCAGTGACTGTGGAGGAAAGAGGAGGAGAGGTGGTAAGTCATGAAAAAATAGAATAAAACAAACTTTTATGACGTCACAGAGACTCAAAACTCTGGTTTTAACTTTTTTTTTTTTAAATACTCTGTTATTTTGATCCCTCGAAAAATATATACCCACATTGTGATGATCATTCACTGTAGTCCCTCTAATCCATCAGCAGAGCCCTCTGATCAGCACTGATCCATCTATTGATAAAATAACATTTTCATATTTCCCGACATGCAGAGGTGCCCAGACCTTTCTGACTGGGGTAGCCCAACCTCAGCTCTGAGACTGCTGGGGTGGCTTTCAGTATCTGAGTCCACTCACCAATACATGTAGTTAATTATTGCATCAGTGTTGTTACACCAGCCATGTAATTTGATAAAAGTTTTGCCTCTGACAGGGAGATAACCACATAAGATGATGTTTGTTTTTCATTTTTTCTACACAGTGTTGAATGTTTAGAGGATGTTTTCCCTGACATACAAAAATAGAATCTAACATGACTATGCATACCCAAAATAAACAAACAAAAAACAACAACAAAGAAGTAAAGCAAAAACCGACCCATTAAAAAAATATCAAAACCAAACTGAAATAAGAAAAAAAACAAAAACAGAAATTAAAATAAATCTTAAAAAATAATAAACTTTCTTAGCTATTTTTACCTCCTCCTTGACCTCTCTTATATACAACACTGTGTATGACATAAACTAACCAAGATATAATCTTCTTCACAAATTAAAGTTGCTCCTTTAAATTAAAGTTTTAAATTGAAGATTCAGACAGTTTCATCTTTTATAAAGCCTTCATTTTAATCTATTTGTGTGAATAAAATTGTTTGTGATAGTCTGCTCATTAAATAATACCCACACTAATCTCATTGTTGTTGTTTTTTCCATACGAAAATGGCACTATGCTAACCCCAAATCGGTTTTCTCTTTCATGATTCCTTTCTGGATTTACAATCAAACACCGTCTGGTTTAAAATCTGCCATGTGTGTAAAATATCACCTTCAGTAATCCAATCAACACCTTTCTTCATTTTCCCTCCTTCTGATTTCCTCAAACACATAAAGTATCCCCTCTTTTTTCTCTACGTGTGTGAGAAAGCTGCTTCTGTCTGTCTGTCTGTCTGTCTGCCTGTCTGTCTCCAGTGTGTTCACCGTGATGGAGGAAACCTTCAGTTCAGCTGGGACGTAAAGACAGGAAGGCCTCTGTGATGTAACAGCGTGTATCAGGGGCAGAGCAGAGGGTGGAGAGGGCTCTTCCTCTCTATGATGTCATGTCAGAGCAGCATTGTGCTCCCGATAAGAGAAAAGGGGCCAACTTCACATCCACTCATGTGGTCTGACTCTTCTTATCATGGCCCTGCTGCTGGTTTATGGACAGCTGACAGGAACACAAACATGAAGCAGATAAGCTGTCTTCTCCTCTTACAGTAAATACATGTGTGTGTACGTGTCTTTTAATAATTGATATCTGACAGGGTTCTGATTGATCCATGCAGCTCCCAGCTGAAGTATGTTGTTTGCGTGACTGTGTCTGTGACTTGTATGTTTTCAGGACTAAAACGCTCCCTCTCCCTGAGTAAACACTGACTGTATCCGCTCCCCTCCCGGCTCCTGGCTGCCTCATTGATCGGCTGGACAATTTATTAGCCATTGTGACAGTTTCCTGTACAGCCAGGGTCGGCGGGGGAAACGGAGAGGTATGCAGATAAAGAGCACAGAAACATTTTGCACAATACCCATTGTGTTTTAATTGCAGGTTGAACTGTTACCTCCTGAATGTTTTCCACATACCTTTGAGTGTGTGTGCATGTGTGCGTTTGCTTGGTATTACAAATGCATGTCCTGCTGCTGCAAAATATTCCCTCTGCAGACTGAGTAACCGCATAACTTCTGGAAAATGACAAGCTTAAGTGTGAAATGTTCAAAAACAAGAGGAAATACCACCAAAGATCTTGGTAAGCAATCAAAGCTGAAACAATGGGTGAGAATCCTTGAACTCGCTGTGATGAATGTGTTCATGTCAATAACTTTTACACTTCTATGGTATTTCTCATGAATCTGCAGATAGATTCCCGCTCATGCTCTTATTTCTGCCAAGATTCGAGTGCAAGTACACAGCTCCACCAATAAAGTGAAGGTAACATGGTTCAGTAATTGCATGACCTTGTATGTGACAATGACAAGGTCATCGACCTCTGACCTCCTTGATGCTTTGCTGGAGCACAAAACAATAGGAGCAAGTAATGACATGCAGCAGCCAGGATTTGCCAGGGGGACGCTTGGCGCCTCTGCAGCAGCCAGGGTTTGATTGACAGGCAGCTGTCATACTGTATGAGTTCATGTAAACATGTCCTGTTTGTGCTAATCTTTGAGGGGTGCTGAGGATGATGGAGGCGGAGAAGATCACCTTCCATGAACTCAGCACGGGTCACAGATTCTCACTCACAGTTTTAAAAGTCAGTGAAAATTATCAGTAAACACTCAGAGGGTAAGCGTCACTCACATGCTTGGATTAACATCAGGCAAACAGCTGGAGACGGCGCCGTGACGGTTTTATTGATTTAATGACAGATCCTGTGTCGGATCACGTGACAGGAATGGTTGATGAGTGATACATGAAGAATGGATTGTGCAAAAATCCAAAGCTGCTGGATATGTTGCTCCAAATATGACTGTAACCTTTAACATTTAATATCACACAGACGCTGTTACCTGAAAGCATGAAAACTGATACAGCTTTGAGGAAAGATAAAAAACATGTGTTTAGAAAAATAAGGACAAACATGAAGAAGGAACACCTGTGAATGTTTAGTCTTCACTTAGTCTGACCTAGTGTTGAAGATATCTGTTCCCCATATGTTTGCATAAACCAGACTACGTATTGATTTTGAGAGTTTTTAAATGATGGTTTATCTTTGAGGGTCCAGTGTTTAGTGATACCAAGGTCTAGCTTATGTAAATGACATAACTGGAGTTATTTCAGATTTGTGTTTGCGCTTGAAAGAAAATATAAAGTTACTCTAAATTCAGGATGTGGTTCCCTTCTGTGCCACTGTAGCAGGTCTTCAACTCTCTCTCTCTCTCTCTCTCTCTCTCTCTCTCTCTCTCTCTCTCTCTCTCTCTCTCTCTCTCTCTCGTGTCGTTTGATAGATAATCACTTTTGGGACCAACATGCTGTTTATTCTGAAATAGCAGAAGACTGGGTAATATTATGTCTTTACAGTCACTTCTGTAATCATAGCTACAGCAATAACACATGAACAGTGGACAGCAGAGAGGTATGGACACATGAGTAGTACCCCTCAATTCTGCAGATGCCCAGTAGGTCGCCATAATACCATCAGTGCTCTAATGACGGATTTTATCAAAATGACTCTATACTACTGCAGAGTTTCTGTCAACACATAAAAACTGAAATAAATACTTCTGTAGTATTGTCTTTTCTGTCTGTTACACCACTAACTATACTGGAAGCTAGCTGGAAGCTGGGGGCTTTATAAAACTGGATCTCAAGCTGTGATTGGCCCCTTGGCCAGACTTGGGACATGTCTGATGTAGCTGGTCTGTGGTGACTTACAGTGGGCATCCATATGCCTTTGTGATACATTTCTCAACGTCAATGATAAATAAACAGAATAATTTCTCTAATAATGCAATCAATTTAATGCACAAACTAATAAACATAATATCACTTATAAATTTCATGGATTACTATGAATGTAAGCCTCAATTTATGTGTGATGACAAAGGAGTAGCAGCTCTGTGGGATATTTCTATTGATCACACATAATGCTGTTTGAATAATTAAGGTTTGTTTTGATGATTTGTTTTGTTATGGGTGCAAAACTGTGAACCCAATGAAAAAATTGCAACTCCTTTAAAAAAAAAACCCAAAGAACGCAGGGGGAATTGGGAATGTGTTTATTTTAAATGGTACAACAACTTAACAATAGCAGACACATTGAAACCTGCTCAGGTCGCCTCATTAGAGTCAGCAGTGGTTTGCACACCTGTTTGGAGTCAGACTCATGAGTTGATTGGGAGGATTATTCTCCTTAAATGTTCAGATTTGTGGGTTAAAAACAAAGGAGGAATGATTTTCATCAATATAGTAATGAAGAGGAGAATAGGAAGAAGAATTGGAGAGGGGATATGATGAAATAGAATACAGATGAGGAAATAGAGGGCAGGAATGACTGTCAGGAAAAACAAGACAGAAAAATGTAAATTACATGTTGGGTGATGAACATACTTTGGCCTGCATGATTATCCACTCTTTGAACTTTCTCTGTGTAGACATTTGGCGACTGCTAATGAGAGTGAATTTTATTGGAATTGGATAAACAACATAGAGCATCGTTTTGGCGTGATGGGGGGTAAATAACATGCATAAAAATTCATATCCAAAAACAGTATGAAAAATATGACCAGTATGAAAAATATGTGTAACTTATAAATCAGCTCTTGTGACCCTTTAATGGTCTCAATCCCAGTAAGTCTAATGCAGTTCGACATTTCAACACTGTAAATGTTGTTTTGGTATCAAATTTCTCCCGTTAAGTGCCATCCTGAGTCATTTTTTTAGTTTTTACGCTGAGGTATATGACATTTTCCTTCCTTTAAATTTATTTTCCCTTACAGCAAAATTGATTTAACACCATTCTCAATAAGAATGACAGTAATAAAAGAAACATACCATTCTCAGGCTGGATAATAAAAATGTCTGGCTGTTTCTTTATTAAGATAAGTGGTATCATTACAGCTAGATCATTACATACATTGTTATTGCCCCAGACACAAAGGAAGATTAAAGACCAAAACAGCAAATCTGCACACTCTGTACATTCAGCTTTGGGGGCTGCAGACATAAACACTTTCATTTCAGCTCATCTAGAGGTTTACAGGAACATCTGGCAAATCTATCATGCTTCACTGATGAAGGCAACTGGGATTCCTCTGGACGGCATGTGTAAAGTGACGCAGCTATGCCATCTAGTGGAAGCTTTGAAAACCTGTAGGAAAAACAGGCTGTTTTTCATGTCCTTACTTTCGCCCAATAGAAACACTTTTCTTACAGTATAGGGGTTAAATAAGGACAAAGTCTGTGGAGACTTATAGAATAGGATGTGAACTGGAGATGTCAGGTGAATTACCATAAAAGGGAAGAGAGAGTAAATCGTTGATTTTTAATTCACACTTGGAGTAAAGATAGAGGGGTTATGCATGTGTTATACTCCGGCCCGGGGCCTCTCTGGTCCTCATTAGGAGGCAGCAGCTGCATCCTGGCTGCCACATTCATCGATGGAGAGGTTAATCTGATGATCCCAAACACAAATACTTGGGCAAATTCAGCTCATTGTGCCCAGGGTTTATTTTCCAGACTGAGCGGCAGAAGAGGCCAAAATTGGCCACACGAGGCCAAGTGGATGGCTGTCAGCAAAATTGAGGAAGAAACTAAAGCAAGAGGACGATATCTGGAGTGTGAGAGGCTGTTTAAAATGCTGCCAAAAAAAAAGTCTTCGAGCTGAGCTGTCACTGCAGGTAGAGGTTTTTTTTCAGTGTTTAAAATAGAACATACATTTACCTAGATAGATAGATAGATAGATAGATAGATAGATAGATAGATAGATAGATAGATAGATAGATAGATAGATAGATAGATAGATAGATAGATAGATAGATAGATAGATAGATATGATTTATTTTTAGGAAACAGCAAAAGCAAAATCAAAAGCGATTTTATTTAACAAAAATAATGATCCGACACACTTAAGTTGATGTTTTTAAACTCTTTTAAAGCTACAGTTTTTAATATCTTAAAATAAAAATTGGCACAATTAATGAAATTAAAAAAATCTGATGTGGAAATCTTGGGACATAGAAAGAGCAAAGCTCTACTTATATTAGAGTTTTGAGATAACTTTTTTAAATATTATTTTTTATTAGTTTTTTTATTCTTCAGAAATGCAATATCATACAAAACAGTTGAACATGTAGTATTTTTATACCATAGCGGACTATGAAACCTGTCAAGGCCACTCAGGCCTCTCACTGGTCCTTTACAGGTCAGCTGATCCTAGATACTGCCTCTGACTGTTCGACAGACCAAAACAAAGATGGCAACCCTTATTGTGCACAGTCAACTAACAACAAAAATCATACCATGAACTAAAAGCAATATAGGGTGACCAAACGTCCTCTTTTACCCAGACATGTCCCTTTTTTTTTTTTGGAGGGGGGGGGGGCTGTCCGGCCTTGTCCAGGGGAATTTATAAAATCTTTCAAATGTCAGGGATTTTGTATGGAAGTTTTGAGTTTGTGTAGCCTAGACTAACTGAGTTTAAAGTGTGCAAAAAACACTCAACCTGACCCGAAAAACTCTTACAATTAACTACTTGACTCTGCCCCGTGTAGTATGGTCACCCTAACTAATACATAAACCATCACAGATTACCTTTGCTGTTGGGAGACTGGATCTAGACAAACTCTGAAAACACACTGATCCTCTCTGTGGGATAGAAAGAACCCTGTAGATGTCAGGGAAACTCCCAAAGTTTATAACTGTAAAGTTGCTATCTCACAGAGCGAGTGGATTTTTAATTACATTGGTACATTGTGACATGATATTCTTAGAGCTGATACTGGAAATGAGGTCTTATCCTATAGAGTTTCTTTATATAATCACAGAACTCCCAAAATACGCTAATCCCATTTCTTAAAAAAGAATGTAAAAAAAAAAAAAAAAATTAACAACAATTTTACAAGCAGGTGTTTTTTTCATATAAAATCAACTTACCAACATGATTGACAGAAGGCTAGAATGTTTAGCTGTTTAGCTAGCTATAGCTGTAAAGACATGAGCAAGGTGCTGGTATCAAGGCAACGCTGACTTATTTTTACTAATAACTTTATTGTAACAATCAAAAAACAGTTTCAGTCAGAAATAGCTTTGACTTTTATTCTATATACACATAATGCCTCAGATTTAAAATAATACTACTGCACATAAAAAAAAAAAAAAAAGGTTCTGAACATCGTCTTTCTTGTCTGGAAATGTGAACATTAGTATTTGTTTTTACTGTGCACTTCATTTTTACAGCTCTGACTGAAGGAGACAACTGTTTGTACAGACATATGTGTTCTTTGAGAGACATTTCTGATCCCTAGCTTGTGCAAAGACTGCTGGTTTAATGCTTTTTCTCTCCTCAGTATAGATATGAACATGTTTAATGAAGGCGCTTAATGGTAGAGGTGTCTTTGTATCCGCCTTGATTTTCTCCCTGCAATGTCAAAAAACCTCTATTTCTAAGTCACCAAGAACAACAGCAGTAGTTCTTAATTTAACTTTAAACATTTATACATAAATAATTTACATGACAAACTTCAACACTCATTTGTTATGTGTGCTCAGCTCCACAGACGGTTCTGATGAAGGACCCTGCTGTGGTGAAGAGTCTTCTGCTCAAACAAACACAAACAAAGAAACATGTTTGAATCTTTATGTCAAAGCATGGAATAAGAAAATAAGAAATATTCAAAAGTACATTTTTGTCAAGGATAAGTGGAATAAACTTAATGAAACCAACAAAGTGCCATCATTTTTAGGGCCCATCAACGAAAAGGGCATAAAAAATCTGGAGTGTATTTGGTATAGTTATACTTTCATGCAATGAATGGTCTAGTGTAGCCGTCTCACACACCAATTAACAATCCAACAGTTTTAAGAGAAATGGGGTCAAACAATAAACCACGTTGTCTTTATTAGAGGTTTCCCTTATCTGCCTCAGAGACCCCAGAAAGAGCTGCTGTGTTTCCAGAGCATGTCTGCAGATAATGAAGAATTAAACTAAACTGCAGAGGGACTGTTGTAGTAAGATACTTAAATAAAGAGCTATTATTCAGGCAAGGATGCACACACCAGCATTATGAACATCATGAGGAGGACTTAATGATGCACCAGTGTGTCCTCAATTTAAAAACCCACACCAAATAGTTAAAATTCAAAACTCTCAGATTTTTTTGATTTTGGCATGCAGCACTAGAACTCGAATCTTTCTCATTTGGTTAAAAATACAGTGAACTAAAAGGAGTGTATCTATCAATTTCTATACCTTCAACCAGTCTTTGAGCGGCCTTCCTGTCCTCGTTGATGTAAAGAGCAGCCATGAAGAAAAACAGTCCACCTAGAGCTCCAACAAATGGACAGACCAGCAGGCTGTACTGCAGACTGCGGAAGCTCCAGGTGGGACTTGTAGGTTTAGATCTGCTAATAGCATCAGAAACCTAAAGATGGGGTGTAAAAACACGATAACGCTTAGATCAGTATACATTTTTACATGCAAAGTTAAGTAGATATTAAACAGGAGTCCCTTCTATTTCTCTCAGAAAAAACTTTGTACTAGCATCAATGAGGAGCAGAGTATGTCTCTTTGCTTAGATGAACACATCTTTAGAGACAGAACAAGTGTGTCTAACTGTGGGAAAAAATACATGCATGTGGAGTGTGATTTCTGGCAAGGAGGAGTGTGGAAAGAGAAAGTTTTAGGCGATTTTCTGCAACTTCTCTCACTCTAGCCAAAGATGTCACCCACTCTGGCATGAAGACTCCATGCTATACACACCAATTATAATCTCAAAATTTCTCCCAAAATGATCATAGTCATTGAACAGTGAGTGATCAAAAACTACAATACCTATTGAAACATGGATTAATTCACCAATAGACAAGACTTGTGTTTGGTTTTGAAGTTTAAATGGAGTCTGTAGGTGATACTATCCCAGAGAACTATGTTTGAAAAACTCTAATTGCCCTTTTATTTGGCTTGTCCCATTGACTTCTTTACAAATTTTTTCTGCAGTTTTTCTGCACATTTGTGTACAATAGAGCGAAGTAATGTCATGGCTTTGGTTTAGTTAATTTATTTACCCTTCCTCGTGTTTCTTCTTTTGTCGTTCCTGTTTTATTTTGAAACTTACCTGTGTCTCTTGTTTTAGGTCTCTTGACTTCCTGGCCTTGTGCCTCTGCTCCCTAATTGCCCTAATGTGGTCCACCTGTGTCTCGTTATCTCCACTCCCTGTGTGTATTTAAGCTGAGCCTTCGTTCCTTTCTGTCCTCATTCGTCTTGTGTCTTTGTTTCAAGTTGTCTCAATTGGACTAATATGTTGACTTGTATTTTGAAAGTCCAGTCCAGTTCAGTTAAGCCAGAGGAACAAATCCCTTTTTAGCATCATATAATTTCTCACCGCTCCTACGAGGTAAGGACTCCCTGCATCACCGAGAAGATGACCGACTGTAATCTGAAGAGCTTCAGCGGTGGACCGTCTGGTTGGCACAACAACATACTGAAACACACACAAAAAACAAAGACCACTTGTTCACCAGGCTTTAAAAAATAGTTTCACGGTGAATCACAGGAGCTTCAGTTAAACTCACCAGCAGTATGTCGGCCATGACCGCCCAGTTCAGAGATATCAGCACTTCACCTAAGAAAATGAATACCTGAAATGAGACATTTAAGCAACATCAAGTAAAGTAAACAAGTAGATAAGTATCAGAGTAAAAACTAGGGATGCTCTAAAATAGCTTTTTTGTCTTTAAACTGAAATTTTATTCATCTAACTCATGTAGAGTTAAGGAAGCATTCAAAATAGAGTGGATCTATTCCTTTAGCTGATCACTGGATCCCAAAGTCTTATTTCTTTATCTAAATAAGGAGTTTGCTCCGTATTGGTTGAGGTTCACGCTCTTGTGCTGGTCACACTTTGCTGTAGTCAAGTGATTAAATGCCAGTTTAACTGAACACAGCCTACATACAACTTGATCTTCATGTTCTGTGTCAATAAAATTGAGCGTGCCATGCTACCAGCTTTATCTGCCATCTTTACTTGTTTGCATTCTAATAATAGGGCATGATAGCCGATGCTTTAAGTGATTATCATGCTCCAGTATGAACTGCTGTTACTTCTCTGTGTAACCTTCTAAGACATTTTATTAGCTGGCAGTTCCCTTCTTGTCCCCCTTATATCACTGTATTCTGTATAGACTCATAACAACAGCTCAATACACAATACAGTAATACACAGTAAAAGCAAAGGGACATTAAGATTAAATCATCTTCTGTTTTTGACAAGACAAACAGGAACAAATGACTAATGATTCAAAGTGTCCTCTTGGCCCAAAGTGTAGTTTTGTTTCAGTGATGTGCAGAGGGCACTACAGAGACCATCATCCTCTGCTCTCTGCTGCCTCAGCAAAAATGACTACCAGTGGTAGCCAAGGCCTCAAAGACAGTTTTTAGACAGTGTGGATATTCAAACGGCTTTTAAAATTGATGTGCAGAGGCAAGAAATGAGGAAAAAGAAAAAAGTGATGGACAAACAAAAACAGCCTGGACCATTGGACTGTGGGGAGCTACACATGAGGGGATACGAGTATTAAGAAAAACCACTCAGGAAATCATCACGCTGTAAAGATTTGAGAAGATGTTAGGAGAAAAAAAATCTGAAGATGTGTCACTGAATTGAAAGCCAAATACTGACAGGTGCTTTTTTTGTGGTCAACAACAAAGGATTCGGAGGGTTAGTAAACACATTGCAGTTGAGAATTACCAAAACAACAATACATTGGTTAAACTCGACAAGCATCTCTCTACAAAAAAAAGCGAAGACTTCAGCTTCCCAGAGACTCACATCTCACTTCTACATACATATGTGTATGGAGGCGAGTTATCCAGAAATCAATTAATTTCAATGGAAATCTCTGTGAAAGATGATGTGCCTGGAAAACGACCCCTTTGTTTAAGAACTTGGACCATAATCTCCCTCAAATATGTTCAATTTATTACTTTTCTTTTGCAATAAACACTGTGCTGTGGATTTGTTACTATGCTTTTATCACACCATAAGATTTCGATAACACAACAGTTTTGGAGAGTTAGATGTTAGACTATCTGATGGCCATGTTGGTCCATCAGACAGTGTAAAGCTGTACATAAAACACCCAGAGTTCATATAGAGGTTTGCCTCTTACGTAAGTTGTGGGGATGCTTGTTGATGCCACAAAGATGACAACAAAGAGGCAGGGGGCAGCTCCCAGCAGGCCCACCGCACAGATGATAGGGTCAACATTTGGCACCTTGTCCCTGAACCATCTGGACATACCAGTGCCAAGACATCCTCCCAGAATACCCGTCACCACCGTCACAGCTCCAAAGATATAACTGTATAATGAACAAGGGGCACAGGCAGACAACTCGGTTAAACTCTGAGATGAATTTAAGAATATTGGGTAAATAAAACATGCTAAAGGTCAAAGGTCATGCAGTACCTGTCTGTGGCATTGCAGGGCTCTTGCTCACATGGAAGTCTGAGTTTCTGGGCAATCTGGGCTCTGGACAGATAAGTGGGCATCCAGAAAGCCAGGGCTCCAGTGAGGAAGGCAGTAGCTGTCACACCCAGTGTTGACCACACATAACTTTTACTGGTGTTAGAGTCACACACGCACGCACGCACACACACACACACACACACACACGCACACGCACACACACACACACACACACACACACACACACACACACACACACACACGCACACACACACACACACACACAGATGAAGATAAGTTAATTTGATTTCATTATTCCATTAACTTTAATAACTCAGTGTAAACTATTTGAATGTCAAAGTCTGAACAATAAACTTAGGAGGCCATTGTTTCAGCTGCTGTCACCATCAGGTTTTGTATAAATCCTTTCAGAAATCCTCAACAGGATGGAAAAAAATTTAGGGGCGGGGCTTAGCTGGAGGCAAAACAGTCACTTCCTGTCTACATAACCGAAATATGTTACTGAAATAAGTTAACAGTGACAAACAAGACCAGACTGGCCATTGCTTACACTCTTACTCAGTGGATGATTTGCTGCTAATTGTAGAATGAACCTTTTATTTCCCCATCCTGATAGAGAAAACAAGCGTTTACAGTGAAGACCACCTAAGGGGGCCTGAGTCCTTAGTTGCCTTCATATCTGTAATTTGTGTGACGATCGTACAAATAAGGATGACAAAAGGTTCATTCATGCTCAATGTTATACACTGAAAAACCATGGGGGCTGTGAAGCAGGAGTTCAAACTGGGGCTGTTATAACCAGCATTGACAAGAGCAATGTTCTTGTGATATTCATGGGAAAGTGATACTTAACACATACACAGTAGGTAAAACTGAGACAGGCAAGAAAAGGGTAAAACAACATGATATATGTATATGTTAAGAAACATTAAAAGTCTACGGTATTTGTCAATAAACACAGATAACTTACATGTTGTCATCTGTTTCTAATTATGTTGAAATCTATGATTTGTCAACATCACTGGCAGTGTAACTAAGACATCTTTCAGAGTAGACGTTGTACAACTGTTTCTTGGCATGCTTTTGTTTTGTTAATTTTGTCCCTTTATTTTTCCCATTTTTAAAAGCATGCTTTTATTTTGGAGAACAAGCTAATTCCTGTAAGTGAGATACCCAACTGAATTGAAACAGACCAACAGTCTGAAAATATAGAGATTCAATAGTATCTCAAAGAGACACAAGCTCCAGAAATCATGACTTTTCAGTTTTTTAAAGTGCTGATTAATCTCTTAGAGAGCTGATTCATGCTAGTTCACAGACAGTCTGCTGCTGCTCCATCTCTTCCCTGGTATTTCATGTGAAGCAACCAGCATCAAGGACCACCTCTGAACTCACAGTATTACTGTGCTGCTAATTTTTAGCACAATAACAATATTGATATGTAGTGCTCAACATCCACTCCAACACTAAGGAAGCATGAAAGTGTGATGTCTATGATGATTACACCACTGAAACTGTACAACCTAATTTTTCATGTATGAGGGGTGCATTAATTAACCGTAAACAGTCGCTTTTGTTTTGCTAACAAGGCAAACGTTAGTCAAAGTGATAAAAAGTTTATTTTAGCAAGAAATCAGAAATTTACTTCAAAGCTTGAGAGTCAGAAAGAAAGTCAGAATATGTCACCCACCTATATAACAGTAAATAAATCCTTATAAAGCGTGTACTAAACATGCCAGCATTTGTGATGATTGCCCCTGTCCAGTCCTTCTGTCTTATCTAGATACGTTGGATTTAATATAACCCACCTGTTTAATGGTTAAAACCTATACAAAGAAGCAGTTTGTTGTGCAGAAATCATTCATTCCAAATATATATCCATATCTTTATTTATATACATACATATATATGCTCATGGCCTTAGAGTAAGTCCATGTTTAGTTTCAATGTCTTACTTTTTCAGCAGATACTTGATATCCTCCATGTAAGTGCTCTGCCCTGTGACTCTGCCTCCTTGGGTTTCAGCAGCACCCCTGGGAGGGTTGGGGCAAAAGAAGACCAGCAACACCAGTCCCAGCACACCCATGATGGGAGTGATCTGACAACATGATCAAGAGTGAAAATACATGCAAATTCTCAGCTGACATTCACTTTGAATATCCTTGAAAATGTTCTCACCCTGAGGGCCCAGCGCCAATCTCCTGTCAGGGTGGCAATCCCTGCTCCTGTGATGTAACCGAGACCACTGAAAGTACAGAGTGATACAATCGGGATGACTGTAAAATGTGACAAAATCAAGGTCAACAAAAGAATGTAAAGAATCACACACACACTCATGTCGGACATGTGGATCGCTACCATTCACAGCTTTGCTCAGTCACATTCTTTGAAACCATTCACACTTTTCTGCTAACTGTGAACACAAAACCCCATTTTATACTCAATCATATCAAACCATTTTCATCACTGTATCATACACACAGCAATAATGAAACAAAAGCACTACAGAGCTGGCATTAAATACAACATAACAGCAATCAAGGGATTGCTTCAGCGGCACAGACAGTTAAATATTTTTGAAACAATAATAAGTAAGTAAAGTTCATTACACTAGATTGGACAGTAACAGTTACAATTGAACAAAAGAAATGTTCAAAGGTTAAACTTTTGCACTGCTGGACAGATGCATAGGAGTGAAGATGACAGTCAAAACATACTTCTGCACACTGTCATCTCCACCTGTGTTTCAAAGATTTTCTGCACCAAGTCACAACAATGTAGTACTCAAACCAGACCCTCATCGGTTTAAATCATCATTACTATTAGTGGTGTGTCTGCTTCATGGAAAGTATACACACATGCAGCGCCCTGCAAAGATGGTAAACACAGACACACCACCTCTCTCTGACACTCACTGGGAACAAAGTGGGTTAGGTGTCTTGCCTAAGGACACAACGGACAGACTATAGGGATGGATTGGGGGGGTGGGGGTGGGGTGGGGGGGGTGGGGTGGGGGGGGTCGAACCACCAACCTTCCAGTTATTGGACAACCACTCAACCTCCTGAGCTACTGCTGCAGATTGTCTTCATCTGTTGTTGATGACAGATTAAAGATCATGCACTCTATACTGGATTATGTTGGTGTTATTAGATCATTGGCAACAACTGTTTGCAGTGTTGGATCTTGTTTTTTTCACTGTGATATCAGTGACTTGATATGTTGGAATCATGTTTTAGTTTGTAAGATTGAATTTAGGGGTCTACAAAAGCTGTGAATGAGATCTGCAAAGTGTGTTGTGACTGGAGGAAAGTGTTGAAGGTTTAGCCAGAAGAGTGATCAGTACATGAGTTTACATCATTAACCATTTGGTTCTGAGAATGACATTTCCTGTTTGAGCAATTGTAAAATATTGTATTTTTCATGGTTTAGTTGTTCAGAGTCATCGCCTGTTTTTTCAATGCAGTTGACCCTCAAATCCTTATTCCAGCATTTAATGCACCATTTACAAACTATTTCTTCAGACAGATCCCCATAAATCTGCATTTTTTTGTATAATCAAAATATGAAATAATCATTACTAGTGTGGTTTACCTTCCAATAGGGATAAAGATGTAGAAGACACAGATCACTATGCTCCGTTGAGCCCCAGTGAAGAGGTCCCCAATGATGGTGGGAGCAATAGTGGAGTAACTGGCCTCTCCAACCCCGACCATCGCTCGCAGCAGCATCAGAAGCCAGAAGAACTAAAGAGAAAAAGACAACAGGTGAGGTTTAACAAATAGTCCTCCATTGTTATTGCCAGGGAAACTTTATCTGGATGCACATTTATTTTGGTTGTTACCCTAAAAGGAATAGTAGAGTTAATTTTTTTTCACTGCGGTGGGGGTCTTCATTGGGCTCACTGACAAAATGTGCAGTAACATTAACTCTTATTGTATATTCTTAATCATATGCTGTATATGCATGTTTCAAAGGATAAGTAACCAGAACAAAGTATGTCTCTTATGACACAGGAAGGAATTTTCATTTATAGTGAGAGCACAGTTGGGTTTAAAAAAAAAAGAGGAAGAGTGTCTTACTACAGGCAGAAGGAAGTGACATTTTTTGTCTTCATACTGGGTAAGTGTGTGTAAACATGTCTATTTCTCACTTACCGACTCAGTGACCAAAGAGCTGCCTGCTGCGGTCACAAGCCAGACACACAGTCCACCAATCATGATGTACTTCCGGTTGTAGCGGTCACCAAGGTAACCAAAGAGGGGAGCCAGGAGTAAAAAACTGCAGATAAAGACTGTAAAAACTTTAATATGTAATATAAAATCAGTTGTTTTTTTAATATATATAAATACAAATCTGAATTTAGGAGGGAAAAAAACTGCAAACAAGAGGAATTCTAATATAATTCCTGCACTAAGAAAAAACTGTTACACAGTATTTGTCTGATTTTGATTTTTAATATGATCCATGCTCATCAAACTGAAACAGATATAATATTTTATTTCCAGATATTTCATGCAAACATTAAACCTGAGCTTGTTGTTATTAGTAAAAAATAGCTGCTGATGTAACAAGTAAAACAATCTTATTTAAAGGTACTTGACAAGTAGCTATTTGAATTTATAAAAAATAATTTCTAATCCCTAAAACTTTCTTGTCATACCTCAGTTACAAGAAGAATATTTGGCTTTTTCAGCTGAATGTGGGTTACATGGATATTTTGATTCACAAATACTGGCTAGTGAATTTTTCTGTCGCCCTAAGGTTGTCATCACTATGTCTCACCTGTCTGTAAGACTAATCATTTTCTGAAGTCTTTTATTCACTCTGCTACTCATCTTTTAAATTCTTTAAAATGATTTTATACTTTTTACACGTACAGTTTATTGGCCAGTATTCTTAGTAATCCATGTTTTCACTCATTTTATTGATCTTTGATTCCGCTGTACTCCTCTGCATTTTGTATTTCATCCAGTCTGTCTTATACCCGATGTATCTTTCTCTGCACTTGTGTTTCTGTAATATGACAGTATGCAAGCTGCTCAACTCAATTGCCCCTGGTGGGATTGATAAAGTTGTCTTGAGTCTTGAAATACCCTTCTTTTTGCAGTGGGTATTTCTGCACTGACAAGTGCTACCACAAAATTTCTGCCAAGTGCTACCACAAAATTTCTGTTTTTTTCTAAGTGTGCAAAAACAGCGGGTATCTACACACATACCTCTGATTAATTTAGAACCGAGAAGTGCCAAACACACATGTGTACTATGAGTGTGAAAGTGTCTATTTAATGCCTTTAAAAACAGGCAGCACTCTGCAGCTCAAGTGCAGCTTGGGTACATAAAGTTGGTTGAAGTTTAACATGGACTAAAATGGAGACATGTTACATACAGGATATGTGAATGTTAAACCATAAAACACTCACATGCTCCTAACACTATCCCCAAAGACTAATATACATGAGTATATTAGTAGAATAAATCAGTAGTTAAACTACATTTTTTAGTAGCACACAGGAACAGTACGTTAGGCTTGCTTGCTACTAAAAAATATTGTCAAGTCTTGCAGTAGAATTTGAAGTTTCAGAGTATTTCATAGACTTCAAAAAACTCCCTACAGGAGCAAAGAGTTGGTGTTGAGTGTCTGTCAGTCCTACCTGTTTGCAGCAGTGCAGCTGTACTATCACTTATATCAAAGAATTTCTGCAGGTTGAGCAGGACACCTACATGACGAAGAAAAACACATATGTCATTTAAACAAAAATAAATAGGAGCTCATGATTTTGCTTGATAGGGATCACATGCACAGGGGTTCTTATCTGACCTGCGATTGTGTATCTCTCCATGTAGTTGAGCAAGTTGATGTAGCAGAGCACAGTCACAGCTATCTTGGCCCGTTTTGGAGATATAGTCTGTTTCTCTGGAGGCTGTGATGTGAGTGATGAAAGGCTGTTCATGAAAGAGCCATATCGCAGATCCGAGCCTGAGCCCACACTCCACCGAGGTCTCGGCCTGTCCTGGGGGGACGTCACTGATGCCTTTGGCTCCATAGTGAGCAGCTCTTAGATCACCTGTAAATGGAGAATGGATGGTTTAGGGTTTAATGGTGACTGCACTGAGACAACCCAGTAAGCTCTTTTGGTCAGCTCTTTTACCTGGGCTATGACACTGACCTTTGAAACTGTTTATGACCTTTTTTCTATGCTACATATCTGACCTCTTGTTTAACCAGATCCTCAGGTCAGGGTTATGGGTTAGTCTTGAGGCTCAGCTGAAAAGGAGGCCCTGAAACTCTGAAACAAGCTGTTTGAAGTAATCAAGTCAGAAGACTCTATGATAAAATCTCTCCAAACATATTTTTATCAGTGAGCTGTGCCTGACTCTTCCTTCACTGTCCTATTCTTGAAGAGCCTCATACTGTCCGTTTGATTGTCCGACCTCTTTTATTGACCTTTTCTTGTTTTATTTTTGATAGCTACTTAATAATGTGAGTTCAAAAAAGGGTCCGATGTGTAAAAGAATCAAAGGTTTCACAGGAAAAGAGGTGTATCTCTCTCTCTCTCTCTCTCTCTCTCTCTCTCTCTCTCTCTCTAAATTTATTAACCTAATGACCCACAGTGAGAGGTGACACATTTCTATTTGGGTCCTGTGCCTCAGAAGTAATCCAGTTTGAGGAAAATCAGCATCCGCAGGCTGTGGAAACACTTAAGAAACAGCCCTGTGACACAAAAGCTAATTACGCAACCATGTGGGGTACAATTGTTGCAGTCATACTCTGTCAAAATGACACAGAAAGGAGAAGAGAAGTGTTCCAGTACAGAGCTAATTTCACCACAAAGATATAGAAAAACTAGACAGTAAACATGTGATTAGAGAAAAAAAGTCTAGAGTCCATTACAGATCTGAGTGAAGTAGACAAAACTTCAGGAAAACAACTTCGGACTCTTGCAGATATTGGACTATAGAAGCACATTAATACAACAGTATCATGCATTTTTCCCCAGTTAGTCTGTTCATCACAACAGTGAGACTATTGTGCATGAGAGAGAAGAAGCCGAGGCATGACTTTTTCACTCACACGCTGTCGTCAGTGCAAGTATTTCACACAGATATAGACCTCCATGCTGCTCAAACTGCAGGTATCAGTGAACATTTGGGTAAAAAACAGACTCACTCACTTGTTTCTGGTAACTCTTCCGTCAAGTCTTCTCAGTTTATTCCATACCTGTGAATATGAGAGTGGGTCTGTGAGTGTGTGTCTCTGAGCTCACACAATCATGCCTGAAGAGATATTAGGTTAGAGAAGAGACCTGCCCACTCAGGGTTGGTCTTATGCTCTGAAACAGATTTCCACTGTGACGCAATCAGGTCAAACTGAAAATAAAGAGCAGATCTGCTTTAGTGCATCTATGAAAACCAGAATCTTATCTCTGAGTGAGGGGTAACATAGGAGACATCCAGCGTGAAAACATCATCTGACTACACTCAGTCTAACTTTGATTGAAGGTCATGTGTCATTGTTTAAACGCATTTCTTGAATAATTTGACTGTATCGTGGTGTTTTCCTTCATTTTAAAAAAGCAGAATATAAGCTGTTAAAGTGGTGAGTCATGAAGTTATACTGATCTGGTTTTGTACTGTTGTATCAGTTTGACTCATAGCAGAGGAACAGAGGAGCTGAAATGGGAGGTATGGGTGTCATGTGGTCGCTATAGATGAATTAGTTTCACAGCATGAGGGTGTTTGTGGTTCAGGCACTGATGAACGATTAATCAACTGGTTGTTCTTTTTATATACCCTGAAATGACTTCTCCTTCATGACTAAGACACGTGTAGGTTGTGTCTTTTTAAGTAAGCGTATTCAAAGAATCTTCTCAACTATTTCAAATCATTTTGCACAGAAATGATCTCGCTCATCCTTCCAGTACAGCTTAATCCTCTTGTTTGTTTTCACTTATTGAACCTGTATCTCAGTCCTCTGGTATTCATTCACTTTTTAAAAAGTTGGTTTCCTATATTAACAAGCCTTAAAACATTTAAAAAATGTTTAAAAAAAAAAACAAAAAAACAAAAACAAAAAAAAAACACCTCTGTCTAAAGAACTTGGGTTTTTTGGTCAGCAGGTTCGGAAAATCCTCAAATTCACAGATATCTCTTTGTCCCCTGATATCTTAGTTTAAATTTGTATTATTAACCAGTCATGTTAATGTTAGCAATGGAGCTTTTATGGTGGGTTTTAATGACAACAGACCTAAGACCTGCTCCTGCAGCACACTCACTGGGTCAGCAGTTGACAAACTTTTCTATCTTGACTAAAATGAACTGTATACCAACAGCAGAGACAGTCAGCCACAGTATCTTTTACCATCGACTCAGCTACATTTGTGGTCAAGACAAAACACAGAATTAGTGATCATATCTCCCTCATTTCCTTGAAGCTCAAGTGCTCTGCAGAGTGAGCTCATAGCTCACCTCTAAATGTAGAGGCCAACTGTCCTGCAAGTGTGAAATTAAAATGTACTGCTTGTGCTTGTACTTGTAGTACCTGAAATCCTTCTGTAAAAGTTATGTAAGAGTTACAAAGGAAATAGAGTTTGAAACTCTAAACAGATGCTGCAGACATTAAACTGCTGCCTCCTGTTTTAAAACATAGGCCTTCAATTGTGCTGTGTTGATTCTCTCTCTGTACACTCGTGACACTACACTGATAACTATGTCAAAGCTCCTGTGAGAATTTTATTAAGGTTCATGAAATTGACTTAAATTCACTCTGAAGCTTTGTATGATAAACGAAAGAAGAAAAAAAAAATTAGAGACAAGGTTGATGATTTTTTTTTTTTTTTTTTAAATTTGAAAGCCTTAGGGAAAGCGTGAGGGGGGGTAGATGTTAGCTCAACAGCTAAAGAAATTGCCTACTGATGGAAAAGGATAAGGGTCAATAGAAAATAATGACAATGACATTAATTAAAAAAAACTTTTTCATTGGCCCTTATCCTCCTTCAGAATTGTTAAAAAATAAGCAGGATGACAATTTTATCAAACTCCTGACAAATGTAGATGACAAGCTAAGCAAAGACTGCTTTGTCTTTGGGGTCACTAAAATTGACAAACACAACAACAACAACAGTAAAAAAACACAGAAACTTTAAGTGTAAAGGAAAGTTAATTTAATTATTTATATTTTTACTATTATTAGTTTTGTGAAGCAACATTTTTTGCCATGGTTTCAGGTAAAAGCTTCTGTGAAAAACTTGGTTTGTGTCAGTTTTGGCGCCCTCTGTGGGCGTTTTAGTCTTTGCTCAATCTTGTCCTCAGCATGCTTGAAATGTGTCTTTATAGAAAACATCCCATCCTGCTGACTTTTGATGGCCAAATGTGTAATTTTTGGTAAAGACTTATGTTGAATTGTTAAAATAGGGCTGTTTCTTCAGCAGCTCCACTGACACCCACCCCATGGCACCAGTTTCAGACATCAACAATCACACACAAAAAAAGATCAAAATTCTTTTCCTCGCTGGTCTTGTTTGCTTTTGAAGATCATGAAAATAAATGAATACAGATTTCTGTCTGTTTCATTGTTCTTAAAAAAAATCAGGAGTTTTTAAAAACATCTCTTAATTTTTCTAAAACTTCCACAGAAACCATGGCTTAGCTTTCTCAAAACTCCTAATCAAAACTATTAAAAGAACCACTTGTTTGTCAAAACACCAAAACAACACTATTATACTCTTATGTGTTATGGAGTATCAAATGACACTGATGTACAATAAATTCAAAACACAAGCTTCAAAGAGATCGTGTTGCCTGAGAGATCATGTCACCTACTTTCACATTGCTTTTCTGTGGTTCTGGGGGTTTGTCCACAAAGGCGTTATGTTGCGCTGTCAGGGCCCATGAATTCATTCTCAGAGCGCTTTTCTCTGCCGTTTACTGTTGCTAAGTCCCTCAGGGCTTGTGACTGTTAAGCCTGTTTATTGTGCTGTATGCTTCATATTTTCTTTCACTTAATGTTTTTTTTTTTTTTTACAAAGAAAAACTAACAACAATTGATAAAAATAGTGCAATAGTATTGGTAGCAGCTCAGTATCTGAAAGCTCTAGCCTACCTTGATAAAACAACTATTATCACTTTCTCTCCCACCATTATTGCTGAGAGAGATGTAATCAGAAGTCCAATCTCTTCTTGATTCTGATTGGTTGGTGGTTGACGTAACACTGATAAACACAGTGGAGTTCCAAAAGTTTAAATAGTTAAAGATTTGATCCAAACTCAGCACATCAAAATAAACAAATAAGTAATCTTAAATTACTTCAAATCTACAAAGGTTGTATGATCGTGCTTAAGTTGTGTGTGATCCATCTTGCCATGTAAGAGCAGGGTTTCATTCTCATTCTTTCTCAGGTGAACAGCCTTACAGGGAAAGGAATTCAGGCTCTTTTGCTCTTTGAATCTTTAGATCATCAGGCTCAGAAAGAACTAGCTGCTTTGGCTCCAAAACACCTCCTTAAAGTGCCATCACAGACACACAAGAGCCAGTTTCAAGAGCCTCAACCATTTCCTGTTTTTGATCAGTGAATGTGTGAACTGTGAGTGAAATGGATGAGTGTAAACCTGTAAAATGATGGTCTTTGTATTTTTTTAGGTTAAATATTCACACAGACTGTAGATTTTACTTTTGTTTTCAATGAATGAATAACATTGATAACATTTAACGATCCAATTATTCATTACTGAATGAATGAATGGTGCATTTTGAGGATTCAACCCCATTTGCTAAAGGGAACCCAGAGCTCTGCTGACATTTAACTTTTGTCCCCACCACCACCACCATCACCACCAGAGTGTGCCATTTCTCTCTGGACACTACAAGACATAAATTCTAATTACAGTTGTGCTCAAAAGTTTACATACCCCGTCACAATTTTTGCTTTCTTGGCCTTTTTTCAGACAATATGAATGATAACACAAAAACTCTTTTTCAACTCATGGACAGTGGTTGGGAGAGGTGTCAACAAGGCCTATGATGATTGATAAACAACTGTGTTTTCTATTTTTAAATCATAATGACAACAAAATACACCCAAATGACCCTGATCAAAAGTTTACATACCCCAGTTCTTAATACCGTGTATTGCCCCGTCTAACATCAATGACAACTTGAAGTCTTTTGTGGTAGTTGTGGATGAGGCTCTTTATTTTCTCAGATGGTGAAGCTGCTCATCTCTCTTGGCAAAAAGCCTCCAGTTCCTATAAATTCCTGGGCTGTCCTGCATGAACTGCGCACTTCAGATCTCCCCAGAGTGGCTCAATGATATTGCGATCAGGACACTGAAATGGCCACTCTAGAACCTTCACTCTGTTCTGCTGTAGCCAATGACAGGTCGATTTGGCCTTGTGTTTTGGATCATTGTCATGTTGGAACGTCCAAGTACGTCCCCTGTGCAGCTTCCGGGCTGATGAGTGCAAATTTTCCTCCAGTTTTTTCCAGTATTCTCCAGTAGTACCAAGTTTCCTGTGCCTTTGTAGCTCACACATCCCCAAAACATCAGTGATTCACCTCCGTGCTTTACAGTAGGAATTGTGTTCCTTTCATCATAGGCCTTGTTGACACCTCTCCAAATGAAAAGTTTATGGTTGTGGCCAAAAAGTTCAATTTTGGTCTCATCACTCCAAATGACCTTGTTCCAGAAGTTTAAGGCTTGTCTCTGTGCTGTTTAGTGTATTGTAGGCGACATACTTTGTGTCATTTGCACAGTAATGGCTTTCTTCTGGCGGCTCGACCATGCAGCCCATTTTTGTTCAAGTGCCTCCTTATTGTGCATCTTGAAACAGCCACACCGTTAGTTTTCAGAGAGTCCTGTATTTCAGCAGATGTTATTTGTGGGTTTTTCTTTGCATCCCGACCAGTTTTCCTGGCAGTTGTGGACGAAATTTTTGTTGGTCTACCTGACGGTGGTTTGGTTTTAACAGAGCCCCTGATTTTCCATTTGTTAATCACAGTCAGTTGGCATTAGCAATTCCTTGGATATCTTTTTGTATCCCTTTCCTGTTTTATACAGTTCAACTACCTTTTCCCGTAGATCCATTGACAATTCTTCTGCTTTCCCCATGACTCAGAATCCAGAAATGTCAGTGGCTGGATGAAAGATGCAAGAGTCTGTCTGGATCCCAGAAACTCACTCAGCTGTTATACACACACATTACAAGCAAACAGATCACAGGTGAGAATGGTTACCTTTTCAAACCATTCAAACCCATTTGTGTCAACTTCTGTGCATGTTATCAGGCCAAAATCACCAGTGTATGTGAACTTTTGATCAGGGTCATTTGGGTAGTTTCTGTAGTCATAATGATTTAAAAAAGAGAAAGCACAGTCGTTCGACAATAAATGGTTTCACCCAACCACTGAGCATGAGTGGAAAAAAGAAAAGTCATATTCTCTGAAAAATGGTCCATCCACTAGATGGCACTATTTTTGTTGTTCCTATTTGGTGCAAATATGGGCTTCATTCTCCCTTTTCAATTATTGTTGCTTTAAATTACCAGCAGGTCAATGTATGAGGAAATCTTCACTTTAACTTGACGAGTGGAGCAGTGATTATTCCCAAGGATGCAGCACATCTTTAAATATGTCTGTCAATTGCAGCTTCAGGCATAAATGTCACGCCTTCACGTAAAAAATGCCGAAAGTAAAAACTGGTTCTCATCCCCCCGCCCTCCTCGATCATCTGTTTATTCCCAGATCAACAGAGGCTCTACACATACAGAAGTGGAAATGATAAATGAGCGATTCCCTCATACTTTTCCAATTGGTCAAAGCAGCATTTACATATCTATGACACGAGGTGTCATTGTTTTACCGTGTAAGTGGATTCCATGCAGTGGGCTGAGGGAGGTCCTTTCCCAGAAGCTGTCTGCTACGCCAGTCCCCTCCGTGGATTTCCTGTACTAACTTGTCTATTTCAGAGACAGGCACGATGAAGTGCTTGCACTACAGTCAGCTTTGGAGCAAAATCAGTGGTGAGATGTTGGTCCACCTGCTCTTCTGCGTCGGCGTGATTTCACTGTTTTTGAGCGCCAAGCCTATCTCTGACTGGAAGGAGAAATGTGAGAGGGAGTGGGGCCTGCGAGGAGCCCCTATGCCTGACAATCTGGACTGGGAATCTGTGTATGGTGCTCAACCATTTCAGAGGAATTTACTGAAGAACTATTCACCTCATGGTAACCAAATTCTGCTAGAAAACCTGACGGATGCTGTTTATCTGTTGATTTTTGACCCAGAGTCTCTTTTGCATTGTGCTGCTAAGGAGAGGAGGGAGCAGAGCAGCAGTGGTTCAGAGTGCCTGTGAAGTGGATGATGGATGGATGATACTGTTTATTTCAGCTAACATTTTGCAGGAGAAACCTGAGTCTGACTGTTCCAAAGTTTACGAAACTTTTTGGTAATTTTTAATTTTTTAGAGATTTTCCGGATTTTAAGCTACAAACTTAGTCATGATTGTGAAAGTCCCTTGAGCCTCCTTTCCTGCACAGTTGTACAACTTCGTGGCGACTTGACCCAGATTTTGGCACATTTGCCTCAAGAATGCTTCCCTCCATTACAGGGATACTTTCTTATTACTTACTTAACTTTCTTATTCCAGTGCTTTTCTTTGTTTGGTTTTAACATTCAATACTTTTTAATCCATTCATAGCTATAACTGTGGCCTCCACACTCAACGATGCAGCCTTATCAGCTCTGTGTGGATGTAGAGGGAATTACTACATGCAATTATCTAATAAAAGTGCGATTTCTCACGGTGGTGGTTGATGAAAATGGAAAATGTACAGTAAAATGTCTCGAAGTACATAAAGTTATCTAACTTTACATTACACATCACATTAGGCTAATCCTTGACCATAGACGCTTTGATAAATGGACGATGCATTGAGTCTCGCCTTCATATAACAACCCCAACAACTGCTTAAGATCCATCCCATGCCCACAAAAATCCTGCATAGACTTTCACTGCTATGCAGATGAAACTCAGCTTTATGCCCCCTTTAAACCTGGCTGACATGTTTCACATTATGTCCTGTCCAACATAGTTAAGTTGGATGTCTGTAAGTTGCCTGCAGCTGAATGGGTCTAAATGTGAAGTTATTGTCATTACTCAACCTACCCCCTGTTCCAGCTACTTTAATAATCTGTCCTCCAGTCTTGGTTTGCTATTTAATGTTTACAAAGAAGCTCAAAACCAAGGAGTCACCTTTGACACCATCCTTTCCTTTGACAGCCAGGTGATCAGAGTCAGGCAGTCCTGCTTTGCTCAGCTCTGTTGACCAAAATCAGGTCTTTTCTTTTTCGGCTTAGAAAAGTCATCCATGCTTTCATTTCCTCTAGACTTGATTACTCTTTTGTACTTTATTTTGGCATCAGTAAGCCCAACACCCATACACTACAATCAGCTCAAAATGCTGCAGTTAAACTTAAAACACCAAGCAAGATAAGAGACCATATAACTCCAGCCCTGCTGCCAGGCCTTCACTGGGTCTTTGCAGAGTTCAGAAAATCTAAAAAGAGTTGACTGCTTGTTTTTAAAGCCTTAAAAGGTTCCAGCCTATACCTGAGAGCTGTTCGCTTTATATGCTAACTTTCTACATCAACACCAAAACTGAAGCTCCCATGAGGCGAGTTTTGATGTCCATGAAATAGATTGAAATTCATACTGATGCCTTGACACAGTATCTGAAACAAGCATAATCAGCATTCAGGGACAAGTTTAATGAATTATACTTCACCATTTTTAATTCCTGCATCTGCCGTGAGGGGGCGTGTGTAAAATCAGCAGTAGTGACAGCCCTGTAAAACTATTTCTGTGTACAACTCTCACAATAAATGATACCTCTCACTTTAAAAAGCAGGTGGATTGAGATTCTTTTCATCTATGGATACTACAGAAAATAACAAAAGCGCTTGTATTACCTTCTCATCTTTGATTCTTTTCTGCTGGCTTTTTCTTCTCAATCACCTGGCATCACTAAAGTCATACTGTGTGCTGTTTGTGGTTGCTTAATGTCTGTTTTATTTTATTTGTTCAGTGTCTCTTCGACTCAGCTCTTGTGAGTTGTAGCATCCATGGCTGTTTCTTGCTATCTATCGCCCTCTTCACTGAGTTTGTAAATCTTTGTTCTACCTGAAACCAAGTGCAGTGAGAGTCGGTGGGTCTCCAAACAGGATACAGGTGTGAAATTTTCCTGCTTTAAGTGTAATAATCTCACATAGAAACACCCTCCAACCTTGACAGACTGATTGATCTTGAATGGCAACAGCTTCAGAGAGCATGTTACCATTTACAGCTATCTCTTCATATTTTCTCAGGTTTGAGTAAAGACAGATCTCCACCTAACCCTAAACATGAGAAAGTGCAAATGGGAAGACCTTTTGAACCTCAAGGTGAGAGGCAGGAGTGACAGCTGGTAAATACAAATGAAACAAATGAACTTTGTAGATCATCTGGATGTTTCTCATTGCCTGTAGTGACTGCCGGTGACTTTAGTGGCTGGAACACCAGCAACGAAGTTCTCCCTGATGACATGAGTGAGGTCCCAGAAGATGTTGTTATCTGTGCATGGCCAACTTTTTAGTAAGTGCCACAGATTTTTACCAAACAGCTGGTTACTGAGCATTTTCATATAATTGCAATACACTGTCACTTTGTCACTTTGCCCTCAGAGAGATGGCGGTGGCCTATCTGAATGCCCACCTCAGCCACTTATCATATTCCACATGGCTGCTACAGTCTCTCCTTTAGCATGGGTAGTTAAGATAGAGTATCAGCTGGCTTCATTAGTAGGTCCCAAAGCCAAGGAAGTTAAAAAAGGAATCCGGCATAATTTTGCTGGTCTGAGCAGAGAAATACGTCTGGCCTTGTGTTTATGGCAGTTCTGTACTGATGGTAATCATTCATTATAGCATAATTAAACGAATGAATAAACCAGAAGCAGTCCAAAACTGAGCCTACACATACTGAGCATGCCCCAGTGTTCATGCAACAGGCTTTGAGATGGAGATTGAATTGGATGTGTTGCTAGGAAGCCAAGTAGTATCTAAAACCTCAGTTCAGCACAAATGGTACAGAGCTGTAAGAATGACAGTATGTTTTAGCACACGTACATCCCATTAGCCTCTTGGTTTTGCTAACTGTTTTGACACGTGATACATCGCCCCTGGGATGACCCAATAGTAAGATGAAAGGGCATCACGGGTGAAATGCACAGAGACTAAATTGTACAGGGTCCAATGCTGATTCAAGGAAATCTTTGGAGCAGCGTCTTCGTTTTACCCAGATCCATACCTTTTTCTGTTTTGAATAGATGTTGCATAATGTGTTAGATGTGAAATCTCACATCTGCTCTCTTGTTTCTGTTCCCAGCTGGTTCACCATGGAGCAGATTGTGGACCTGAAGGTGGAAGGTTTTTGGGATGAGCTGCTGGATGAGTTTCAGCCTGAAATAGTCGTTAAGGACTGGTGGGTTAATGAGCACCTTCTGATGCCTCCTACCTTTAAAACAGACTGTGTGACATCTTATCACCTTGGCCCTATGAGCTCACTTTGTACCCATGTAGGAAACACTGTGATAGAGCTTTTTTTTTTTTTTTTTTAATAATTCTTCAGTAGGTATTAAGATTCAGTTTTAAGTATGGCACCTTTCAGCTATCATTAAACTGTTTTGAGGAGGATTACTAATGCTGCAGTTTTTCAGATAATAACCATCCTTTGATAAATCTGTTGTTGTCCAAAACACATAAAGCAAAGAAAATGCTCAGGAGACATAATGAGATCTGAAGAGCAGCCTGGGCATCTTTATGGAACAGATACAGAATTCAGTACAGTTGACACACAGAGTCTAGACCAGAGTTGAAGGAGGAGCCTTTAACTCTCCCTTCGCTCACTTTTATTTCGTCAAGTGTGTTCATGAACATAATAGATGTGTGTTACAATGTGTATTACAAGTGTGCATCCCTCAAGTGTGTGTGTTGCATGTGCGAGTCCTTTAAATGTGTATTACAAGAGTGAGTCTCATCCAGAAGCCTGGGAGGTGAGCCAAGGACATACCACAGTGTCTTAAAATCAACAGATCATTAGTACTTCTGGGAACACTTAACTTAGCTTTCCCGGCAACCATAGAGGTCAACGTGACTTTGACAGCTATTTACAAGACTGATCTTCCAAAATATCTCAAATATAAATCATTAGCGTGTATGCCTATGATTTCTGCCACACTGTAAAACCATATTTTATTGGAAAAATTTGGCACCCCTTGGACTTATACTTTTCTGTCATTTTTCTTAGGTATGAGGAGAGTCGGCTGGACAGTCACATTTATGAGCTGCATGTGAAGTTACTGGGTGCACACAACAGCACGGTGATCTCAGAGTACTCTCTACAGCCCACTGAAAACTTAAAAAGTCAGTCCTACACATGGAAAGAGGTGAGTTCCCACAGATACAGATCTCTGCAGAGTAAAAGAAGATAGATACTGTGTTGATCCAGAGAGAAGTTTCAGGTATCACGTAGCATACAATGTACATGGCATCTGACACATTAAAGAAAAAACGAATAACACCTGCCCTCCCACATGTACAAGTGACGTTTGTAAGATCAGAGTGTCTTTTTTATTTTCAGTCAGCCCATTCTTCCTCCCGACATCACTGTGTAGAGTTATAAAGTCTAGGCCAGGTCTTGAAGAAGTCCCCCACCACTGGTTTGGTCTTGGTGGTCTTCAACCAGGCTACTTTACCCCCCCCCCCCCCTTTTGTCCATCCATAACACAACCAACAATCCCAGTGAGGTCTGAGTATTTCTGCATATAGCAGAGCTGAGTTATACTGGAAGTCAGAGGTGTACAGTGAACAGAACAGGGCAGAGCACACTCCTCCTGTGGTGCACTCCTAGTGTCTTATCTGCACCCCTTCAGCTGGACGTACTGTGGTCTCTTGGTCAGGTAGTCTGTAATCCTACTCACCAGGTGTGAGTCCACCCTCATATCTGTCAGTGTTCTCTCAGAATAGAGGGAGGATGGTGTTAAAGGCGCTGAAAAAAAAAACCCAGAAACAAAATTCTTACTGCACTGCTCCCCATCCAGATGTGAGTAAGCTTTATTTAACCGACACAGGATACACCACACCCAGCTTTGCCTTGTTTGCAAATTGCAAAATATTATCAAAATTCACATGCCGAAAAAAAAAAAAAATATATATATATAAAATGTTTATTGTCTTGCTATTTAAAAAAAATATTTTTTTTATTTTATTTTATTTAGTTTAGTTTAGTTTGGGTTAGTTAATTTTTTTGTTTAGCTAGCTAAACTCAGCTTAGATTAGTTTAGCTTGGTTTGGTTAAGGTAAGTTTGTGCTGTAAGTTTAGTTTAATTTGGTTAAGTTAGGTTTTGTTCATTTTACTTCAGTTAGTTTGGGTGGCTTCTTATAGCTTAGCTTGGCTTGGCTTTGCGTGGTGTAGTTTAGTTTAGTTTAGTATGCAAAATTATGTTTTTTTAATATGACATACAAACAGGTGCAGAGTAATGGGTCTGGGGCCTTAGTGCAATTTACAGCAGACTTTAACTATGATGCGCAATAAAGCAACTCTTATGCACTTAAATACTCTGGCAATTAGTCACTTACTTTTGCACTTTAAGACCTCATGCATTTGAGCTTTAAATTTAGCTTTATTTCCAGCTTGTCTGGAGTATAATTTTACAGTCTCCTGACGTGTTGTTATATGTGGGTCTTTGTAAAGTAGTGTGTGTCTATGTGCACTGCCCCTCGTACTGAATATATAAAATAACAGATTCTGTGTTGAGGGCTTGTGGACATTTTCCTTTTTGGCCTTTGTGAGCAGTCAGTGTGAAAAGCAAGAAGGACTTTCTACATGAACACTTATCATATGAGAATGTAACACTTAAAAGTGGTTTGTGATGCTCAGCCAGTTGTCACAGTGCCCTGACGTTGGTTTAAAGGTAGGGTTTAAGGGAAGTAACAACATTATGAATTGGTCCGTGCGCCACACAGTGCAGATGTCACTCTATGGGAGAATAAAATCAGCAGTTCAACAGTACTCTCATTTAACATTAGAGGCTGCGTGTTTCAATCAGTCAAAATAGCAAAAGCTAATAAAAATGCAAAAACACTCCACTGCAGCTCACATCTAAATAATGAAGCACACAAGCTACCATAGATCAGTAGCACCATCTGCTGGTACATCACAACACTGGATGCTACAACCATCTCTTTATTGACTTTGTCCTTAAAGGTGTTTATATCAAACATAGAATATCTATACACATGCAACTGCCAAGGTCTTTATATTTGTGTATTTTGGTGCTTTTGGACAAAATGTGCAGTACGAAGCCCCCCTTCTCGGAACATTGATTATCAAGATACAGAAATCATTCAAAGTATGTTTCTGTATGCAGGTTTTCTCAAGATTTCCCAATCAAAGAGAGCTGAATTATCTAAACCAAGTGAGAGAAAAAAAGGTTTTTTTCCAAATCTGGACCAGTCTTACCCACAATAACAGTTCAACAACCAAGCCAAAGTATCTGAACCTGCGCTGGAAACCCAAACGTCTTCAGGAAAACAGCGCATTTTCTCAGAATATCTTGCCTGACACAGCCTTGCTTCACCGTACATCAGAGATCTTCTTTTGGTTCAGTCATGCTCTGGCTAGATCAGTGCCATCCTTCTATGTGTCTCTTTTATGTGTCATGTTTTCGATACAAACACTTAGGAGGAGATTTCATTTTTTATGGCTCAAAACTTTGGATTTCTCTGCCTATTAATATCAAAACAGCTGACTTTCTCATGGACACCTATCTCTTTAATCTGGCTTTTGATTTGAGGAATTAGGTTGCAGAAGTAACAAATAATCAACTGTGTTCATAATTGTTTCCTTTAATCTCTGGTATCTTTTTTTAACTCTTCTCTTTTTATATGTTTTTTAATGTATTTTTTTGTTTGTTTTTAATTGATCTTACTTGAATAACTCTGTTCTTATGTGAAGCATTTTCATTTCATGTTTATGTGTATAAAAGGTGCCTGTAGAAATAGAGTTGAGGTTTTTTTTAAACTTTTTGTTTTTCTCTGTTGGCCTGCAGGTGTCATATGTGTTCTCCGGTTATGGACCTGGTGTGAGATATGTCCACTTCAAGCATCGTCTGAAGAACATGCACATGAATGGGATGGTGAATGGGTTTTACCAAACACTGTTCACTGAAAGCTCACTGATGGTCAACCCCCAAAAAACCAGCTCTTAATCCTACTGAGAGCATTAGTATTATCAGCATGATCAAAAAAACTTGTCCTTCACTTTGTTTTATTGCACTTTGGGATATTACAAATTATGCCTTCATCCGTGTTATTATGTGCTGTTTTTTATTAACTTTTTTATGCTTTTTATTCTGATTTTGCTCTATTCTTAAGCTATTTTTGAAACTACATTGCGACTTGAAAAATAAATAAACATCCATATTCTCTTTCTGTAATTTCTGTCTGCGCCTCAGTGATGTCAGCTTCTTTGCAGCTATGGGGCTCTTGGTTTCGTTAATCTCTAATACATATTAACAGATTTAATGACTTGAAAGAGACTGAATGAACTTTTACCAAAGCTTAAAACATCTTATTTAACCACAGAACTGAGATTTTTTTCTCATTTATATATTTATTTACATTTTCTGCTGCGCTGCACGTGAATTTCTATAACAACTAGTAATTGCACCACCCATAACAAACCACCTGTCTAATGCTTTGGAGCAAACTAAAAGCATAGAGCAACTTAAGTAAACTCACTTACACTGAAATGCACTTATTTTTAAGGGCTGCAGATAAGCAAGGTCAAATTCCATATTTAATCAATTGAGTGACTTGATCTTTTTAACTTATAGATAGCTGATGAAAATGGAACAAATTTTAAAAATGTGCGAGAAGATAAAAAAAACATACATGTCAAACCATGATAAATACCCCCTAGTAGAATAAAACTTGGTTGAAACAACCACTAGTAGGTGAGTGGACTGTTATGCAAAACTTCCATGCAAATACTTCAGTATTTATCAGTATCAGAAACAGTTAAGTAATATCTATGAAAACCATAGAGTGTATGTACAGTCTATGTGTACAACTCAGTAAGTGTTCTTGTATGGTGACCCTTACAGGTCTGCTGTGCAAACATTTTGTACCACAAACACATTTCACTGACACAAAAACGTTTAATGAAATACACCAATATTTCTCCAAATATGTGAATAATTTTGAAAATCGACCAAAAAATCGCATAGGAGGAAAAGAAAAATGCTCTTTGAAACACAAAACAGTTAACAATCCTTTAAACATGGAAGAAAAGTATCACAAACTATGAAAATTTGTTTGGTTGGGAGATTTTTCACAAAACTGCAACACTTAATGACATACCAAGTCATTTTACAAAGCTTAAAAATATTAAAGAAACAAGAACATATTTGATGACACAAAAAATACAGTGAAACAAAAATATTTTCAACAAAAAATATTTTGTAAAACCTCAAAACATTTCATAAAACAAACCCATTTTACAAAAAAAAGTTTTATGAAATTCAAAAACTATTTAAAAAGCAGAGAATTTTACAAAATGAAAACTGAAAAACACCAATATACAAAAAACATACACAAAGCCACATACTAGTAAACCAATCATGAAATGTTTTTATTTTATGTGGAAAAAACCTTCAATTTAGAAAAATGTTTTTTTTTATTTTATTTTTTTATTTTTTCTTACTGGATAACTTCAATGCGTTTGCACGTCATTTAAATGTTTTTTTCCTTTTGTGAACTGTTGGTTGAATCTTCTCTAGTTCAGTGGCATGCGATTTGGAGTCTTGAATATGCAAATGCTGATGATTTACGGGGCCTCCGTATGGTAGAATAGAGAATAAAAACGTCAGTTTAAACTTTAACAGGTCAGAATAACTGTGGGAACAATTTACTGAAAACAGGTAAACTTGTGCTGTTCACTGAACTGTATCAGCTCTGCAGTTGCGCACTTTTTTTTTTTTTTACGTGCTGCCTTCTTGATCCCTCGGAAATAATACTAACGACATCCACACACAGAGAATGGGCCACTTATTTTTGGCAGAACAAAAGCTATCTGCCCGGCGCTTGATTTTACAGACTGCTATCTATCTTCTCAATACTTTCGGTTAAAACTACATCGTCAACTAGCCACTTTGAGCCAAGGACAATCTCAGAACCTACAACCATTTTGGGACCTTGAACGTCTCACCCCATCAGCCGCATGGACTCACAGCAGCATCACTACGCTGTTAGTGAACGGCAATGTGAGGTAACGGGGAAGTTCAGTCTGTGAGTCCAGCTGTGTGTCGGTACCGGGAAAGTGTTACCAGGCGTGTGTTTGCAGACTTTCAGAGGCGATGCCAGCGCTTTGTGGAGCTGAGCCGTAAGCAAAAGGTAAGAAACAAAGTGGAGGATAACGTTAGAGAAACAGGTGCGAAGAAAAAGCGGTCAGTTTAGACCTGGGGCTAACGTCCACGCCCTCGTGCACATCCTTAGTTTTGATTGATAATGAAATGCTAATAATACGACAAAATGAGCTCTTCTGTTGCAACTTTTGGCTGAAATTCTGTCGAAGATGACTATACACTCAAAACTGCTTGAGATATTCACAGGTTTTGATGAAGACACATTTTAGCTGAAAAGATTGAGTGACTTGCAGTTGTGTCTTCTTTTCAGACTACATTTCATATTGTGTAACAGCAGCAAATTGAACTGTATTTTTATAAGAACGAGAGGAATGACTTATAAAGGGAAAAACACAAAACAATAATATATTATTGCTTAACGTTGTACAAATAAATAGGTTTCAGCTTTGCTGTAAGAATGAAAACTAAACCACTTTACTCCATGTCTAAACTCCTGCCTCTAATATACCTTTTTATGTATTTCTTTATTTATTGAAGCCCTTTTAGCTATTATGCATCCTTATATCTTTTTACTAAATTGTATTCATGATAACAGGTAATATAGTTTCTCAGTAAGTTTGCTTAATTTTTAACTCCATTTCTAAAACAGTAAGTATACTGTATACTGTCAAACCCTATTCAATTGCCCAAAGAAGGTTATAGAGAAAAATTTCCAGTAAAAAGTAAAAGAAAAAAAAGGTGAGAGAGACAAGAAAAAAAAAGGTATTAAAGATTGGAAGAAGTTCATCGATCTGTGAGAGACTGCGTGAGAAAATGATTCAACAAACTCAAAACTCCTGTCATCTGTTTTTTAGAGAAGCTTGGGGTGGGCAAGCATCCTTACATTCTGCTCTCCTGTTATGAGTTGATTTTGATTTTTTCTATGTCCTACTTATCATGTATTCAGCATTGACTGCACAACATGCTAGTTTGCCAGTGAGCACTATTTTCTCTAGACTTGTTTTTCATTGTAAGAGGTTTACCCTCTTCAACAGCTAAATTGTCATTATCTGGGGCTGTCAAAACTTGTTGTCTCTCAATCGTGGGATAACTTTCTGGCAGCGTAGAAAACAAGGCAGTGTGTTGGTTACTGCTTTAAAAAAATCACAAGACCTAAAATAGACCTAAAATATCCATTCCAATTCTATCTTAAACCATAGTGAGTGGGGTAAATTACCAGGACAGTACATACTAATGGGAGTTGGAGAAATGAGTTTTGTAAGGGTTAGAGGCCAATAAAGCTAAACAGAAGTTTTTCTTTTTTTTTTTTTCTTGTTGAAACCATAATGAGTTCAACAAAGTATAAGGATAAAAATGTAATGCTTTGTCACAGATTTGAGTTTGATATTTTGAATTTCTGTCGAACAATGACAGGGTCCAATAATTGATTTTAAACTGAAAGAGCACCCTGTTTTCTTCCTGACATTTCCTGATAAGGTCTGAACTTCAGAGCTGACATTTAACCGACATGAAAGCATCGTTCATTTAGCAGATTGGCTGTGTCCCACTCGCCTCTCCGTCTCTAGTGTCCAGGACAGTACTGTCTGCACACAGGTGTGTTGAGAGCTGATGATGTGTGAGACAGCAGGCGTTGACTGCAGATACACCCCCAGTGCCAATCCATTATATTTGATTACGCACATGATATCACTTATATCACTTTTCAGATGAGCGTCCAAACACGTAGTTTGATCATTTAGTTAGATTTGGCATGTTCAGTTCAATGAATACTTTTATTACACACAGCAGTGTTTCTCATTTGTCTCTAACATGTCATGTGTATTATGCAAAGTGAATAGTGGGTAATCACCCTATAACGGGTGATTAAGGAGGACTGTATAAGAAAATAATAGTTAAAGCAGATAAATATTGTTACACACAGAGAGTAAAAAAGAAATGTTTTTTTAGGCATACAACTGTAGTAATGACTAATAAACTTTTGGGTCTTTTCTAAAGCAAGTAGCCTCTGCATTAGCCAGTGATACAGGTCCAGAGTCATTTGTATGTTGGATGAGTAGTTTTGTTCCTATCTTTTTTTAATTCAACTGTAATTGAACTGCAGGGTTAAACATTAACTATAAATCTAGCATGGACGCAAAACTTATTCAAGTTTTGGCAACTGAATGTTGAATGTATGTGGTCCCCAGTGGCCTTCAAGTCAGGGTAAATGGATTTTTTTTTCCCTATTATGTGTATCACACACGGTTCAGTAAAACTGTATTTAGCGTCTGCACATTGAGGACACTGTGTAAAAGAGTTAGATATTTTGGCCAAGTTTTTCAAATTTAGTTGATTACTCGATATGGAAGAAAGATGTCGTAAATATGGTGAAAACTGTATTTTGTGGTGATGATGTCTTCAGCATTCTCTTCAAAAACACATTGTAATGATACAGAAAGAATCACTAAGTCTTTTAGAAATAATAAGGTTTTAGATACACGTGAGAGACACATGGTTTCATGTGGTATTGACTATTAGAATAGTTGACAACTGTCTGCAGCGACTTGAGTATTTGACCAGTCCATTAGTCAGCTGAACTCTATGTTCTCTAAACTCTAGTTTAGCTGAAATACCTTTAACTAGCTTATAGGCTTTTTGCTTTAATCCTGCAATTTAGTTGCCCACTGATAATCTGCTAAACTTGTATGATTTGAAAGAACTTGTTTTAACACACTGTGAATCCGAGTAATGTTCAGTTAAAACATGGTTGTATCAGTTTGATATGAAAGACAGGCAAATGCATCACTTATCAGACTCAATAAGCAGAGTTGTTCAGATTCCGATACCAGTATTGGAAATCGCTCCAATACTGCTGAAAATGCTGGCATTGGTATTGACCAATACTGGAGTCCAGGCACAGATCTGATACCATGTAATTTATTACATTAGTGATTTATTTACTGGTTAGCTCTGTTTGTGATTCTGTTCTATTTAAAAATAAATGGCTTGAATTTGCTGTATTTATTTGTGTTTTACAAAGGGTTTAACCTGAGCCATACCGTACCACAATGACAATCATATCACAGTCATGCAGACCTAGTGTGATATTATTTTTTTATAATATACTAGTATCGGATCGGTACTACTCGGTATCGGCTGATACCCACAGCAAAGTATACAAAGTATTGGTATCGGGAGGGAAAAATTGGTATCAGAACTAAAATAAGCCCCTCTTGAAGGGTTTCTATATTACATTGGACCCCAGAGGTAACCCCTACTTATTAACAGATTAACACACCGAGCAGCACTGCTACTCAAAGGGAAATATTAATGCATTGCAAATACAGCAATTTTGAGATTTTATTGGGACAGGGGGCTTTAAGACTGATGTATTTTTACTCTTCTTTCCTTACATCAGGCGCTACTCAATAAAGTGCTTATCTACTGATGCAAGAAGACAAGGACACACTCATTGCAATCTGATCACATGCTCACTGTATTTATTATAAAACTCCTACCAAGATAAAAGCAAGTAGCATCTCGTCTGTGAGATGTTTGAAGTTTACGCCACAGTTTTTGTCCCAGTAACATCCGTTCTTTTTGGTGTCTCAGTCTATGTGTGGAGGTTTAGAAGGTAAATCTAAGCAGTCTACCACTGAAGCTCACTGACACTTATCCTGAAATGCAACCCCACCCTGCCCCCATGTCTGTGCCGGCTCAGGTAAACCAATGCTGCAGCGTTGTATGCAGGCACCGATATGCATGCGCACCACCACAGATGCCACGAGACAAAGGGCCATACAACACTTCACGTTTCTCTCACATTTCCTTCACGATCAGCCAGTTAAACCGTGGGGTTGATCAGTGTCTTCTACTGCAATCTCTCTGATCCATGTCCTTTTGTTACTCAAGACCCTCTGACCCTCTTAAGTCTTTTTTTATGCTGAGTGGATAATAGCATTTTACCTCCCTTTAGTGATTTGGGTAATACTTGTTACAATGTTCCAAATTGACTGGTATCCTAACTGTTTAAAGCTCTTGCAGTAAGTTTTTAGCTGGTTCCAACTGCCTGAGATTGTCAGTAACGCCATTCAGTGACCTACAAAAGCAAATAGGAACAACAGTCTACACCTGTAATGAAGGCGTAGACATAAAAGACAACTCAGCCCTGAATTTCCACCATATCCGTAATAGCTCGAATCCGGAATGGTGGCGATTTTGGCTATCCGCCTATTCCGTTTGTGAGGCAGATTTCGTGGCGGATTACAGACAGCAGGAATCGTCAGAACTCACAAGAACTTGCAGATTCATGCGCAATTGTGCGATAACAAGTTGTCTTTATAAAGACATCCACATAAAATCCACTTCTAGACTTCGAGAAGCATCTCCTAATCCATGGTGTCATCGGGGTGAAATTCTGTCTTAAAACCTTTAACTTGTTTGTCCTGCCCATGTGCATGGTGTAAAATATAATTCGCCGAAAATACAGTGTTTTATTTTGAAAAGTAGCTGTATGTTTTATTTTGTAATTATCTAATCTGTGCTGATCTTATCCGGCATGCTCGGGCATCCAGAAAAATAGAACTCTTGTGATCAGCTGCAGAGTCCGCTGATCCACAGCGGAACGGAAAGAAGCTGGTGGAAATTTACACATTAACTTGATTGGTTACGATCAGCCATGATTGGTGGATACATCCTTTTCGTAGCCGTTCCGGATGCAGTGGAAATTGGGGGTCATACACAGAACATGATTGGCAAAGACATGAAAAATATCACTTTGTGAATTAGGGTAGCAAAATTGACACTGACAGAAATTCTTCATAGGATCTTAAAAAAACAATTTAAATTTCAGCAAAGTGAGTATGAGATTACTGAGTTGTAATATGTTTGATGATGTAAAATTTTCTTGCTAAGCTAACCCTAACAGAGCTAGCACCACCAGCCTTTGGTCTTCTTCCAAAAGTGATGTCTATTGTCAACACGTTTGTGCTGGTTGGGCATTGCTTAGGTTGAGTGGTCGCATGCCAGTTTAATCGGGCACAGCCACGGACATAGGTCAAAATACTGAGTTAACTTTAATGTTAATACAACTTAAAATGGTTGCCATGGAAGTATTTCCAACCGTAAAAACTGAGGGACTGTTTTTTTTAAGCCCATAAATAAATCATCAATGAAATTGTTTTCAGATCAGTCGTTAGATAAAGCATAATAATTGAGACAATGTTATGTGAGCAGGTGGTAATGCACAATACAGTCTTGGATGAGACAAGACCCAGTACAAAGACCAGCCGGTTTTTTAAACACCAACACATTAGCAACATGCTCCCGTGATAAACATGGTCCACCTTAGTTTCTGCAGGCAACCATTCTGTTAGTGTGGATGATATGATTACATTTTACAACAGCGTGGTGATGCACTGTTTTCCAACAGTTCGAATTAGGGATACACCAAAGAGCCTGGTACAGCTTTTGGAAGAGAAACATAAATTTCAACTAACCGATTTGAATCTAAAGGTAGAAAAAACGAGGAGAAAACAATCAGAATGGAGCAGATTTTACTACTTTATCATATCATTTTTCAGTGGTACTAGAGTAAGCAGCGCTAGCACCACCAGCCTTTAGTGCGACTTGCAGTTTGACGTAGACATGCCTCCAGTTCAACCAGAAACAGACTTATCTCTATTTTCTATGCAGTACTGCCAAACTGGACTGACAAGAGGTCATCTGTGCTTGTTTATGTCCAGGTAGTTATAACAGTGTTGCATTGCGGCAACTACAGCTTGTGGTGGATGACAGCTATGTCACAGCTTAGACACAACATACCAGACAGGCATTTCAGGCCTGCAGTAATAAAAGTATTTATGATTCATTTATTTAACTGACTCATGGTTTTGATGTGAACTTTTGAGGCCAAAGTTAAATTGTTTGGTCAATGCTGTGCCTTAAAAATATCCTTGTGAAGCAGATCTTCAATCTGTAAACTCTCTGAAATTTTTGAGAAGTGTAGTGTTTATGCTTTGATGGATAGTATTAAGCTTCCCTGTTTGAGTAAATGTGTGTGTGATGAGCATGTGAGTGGCTGAGAGATGAGAGAGATTGCAGGGGTCTGTTTTGTTTTCACTGACTCTTTGTTCTGTTGGATGTCTGTGGACACTTAAACATTTTGTAGGTCGAAACTATTGCCCTGATTTCAAGTGAAGAATTTAGGCCTGGACAGAAAATGTTTCCGGTGGAAATGTTTGTTAGTGGTTTGTTGACCTGTACGTGCTTTTTTTTCTGTTATTTTTTGTTGCTTCACTATGTGAGTCTCTGTCAATACATTAACTAAGACAGGGTAATGTGTGAAGACCTTCCCGGAGTGACTCATGGTAGGAAAAACACTGTTTTCAAGGATTAGTGATCCTATAAGAAGTGACATTTGCTTCACAGAGGTAGCAGCTGTGTTTGTGCAGCTAACTCCAACACATTGTCACATTTTTCCTCACATCCAGCAGTGTGCGTTTGTGTTTTCTTTTTGTTATTAATGTTTCTGACAGCTTCTTAAATATTGCATAGCTGGTGTTCCTGTCTGGGTCTGGGTTCATGCCGAAGTTGAGAATGCTGCTCCTTCTAAGGTGACAGTGGCTGGGCAGAGTGTCTCAGGTAATGGAAACCTCAGGAGCTGCTGTCTGCTGCTTGTCACTCGTTTGTCTCCCAACCCTTTTCTGTCCAGCTCACCTCCAGCCCCACGCGGCTTCTCGCTGCCCACCCACCTCTTCCTCTGCACTGAGCCACACGTGGAGGAGTCTTAGGACATGGAAGTGTGTATTTCGCTGTGACAGAATATCTCAAGGGGGAGAAATGAGAGATGACAACAGTTTAGAGATGTCGAACGGATTATTTACCTCCGAGTCAAACTGATCTAAAATGAATAGAGGGGTTGAACTCTGAGACTGCTCTAGAGACCTTCAGGGGCCTCTTCTGACATCTGGCATTACGTAATTCATGGTAAACCTAAGGTCAAGCGTATATGTATGAGCTTTTAATGTCTTATCAACACAAATTCTTCTTCCTTTCTTACAATAGTGCATTTCTTGGGCCGCTCACTAAATACAAATGTTATGCAGTGATGGGCAGTAACAGCGTTACAAATAGCAATGATAGTAGCTTAACTACATTTCTCAGTAGGTTGGTGGCAGCATTTCAGTTTTCTGGATCAAATATCTTTTCATTAGCTTAGATATTTTTGAACAAGCAGCACAGTAGCATACACAAAACAGCGGAGTGCTCTGTTCACTGCAGCCTGGAGCTCCACTTCTCATACCACGGGAAATCAGAAAATCACATAAACTACAAATAACTGTAGCAGACTATTCACTCTTGTATGACAGATCTTTGTATCTAACCTTTTACATAAAGTCACAGTAGCTGCGCTGACATGCAACATTTTCCTCAATACGATTAAATATAATCGTATTGAGTGAATCACATGTGACCTGTATACATGAACCTAAAATAAAGCTATCTACCTTTAGTCCGTGTTTACATAGGCCCTACCTGCAAAGGTGTGAGTGAAGAAGGGTGCACTTTTATTTCCGGGTTTTTGTTTACATCTGGAAAATGGATCAACGTCGTGTTTTATCTTTTGTTTATTTAGTTTAGCATTTTTTATCATTGATCATCTACAATGTTTTCTGATTGAACGTTTAATACGATTATAAGTAGGATTTTATGACCCATGTAAACACAGCTACTGACCCAGCAGCTGCTGATCATAAATAAAGAAGGGCATGAGCTCAGGTAACAGGGACACAAATGCAGAGGATTTCTGAATAAGCGAAATAGTCAACCCATGAAGATAACCATCATCGGGCCAGTCTGCAAACACCTGCTAGTAAACTGTAAACAGCTGACAAAGTGCACCTATTTGGGAAGAGGTGCATAATAAATAAGACTGCAAAAGAGAAGTTGGAGCTGAGATTAAGAGAGGGTCAAATTCATGCTCTCCAGCTCTCCTTGTTTGACTTCATCAGTGAAAGTGTTCTGCTCATGTTAGCAGTGACAGCCAAGCTAGCTCATGCAAGGAAGTTGCAGTAGTATACCTGTAAAGCTAACTGTTTGTCATTACATAAACCAGTAAGACAAATGCACTGACTGAAAGCAGATCACTGTACTTTAGGAACTGAACAGTATGGCAGTGTGCCCGCCATGCTGTAAGTGAAACCTTGTGCTCAGCCGAGCTTGCACTGCTGCTGTCCAGATTGTGAAGTTAACAGAGACTGTGCACGACTTGGGTTATCTTTCCCCCCTCTGCGTCTACATAGACAAAATCTAATTAATTCCACTGAGGTTCTGATTGAGCCTTTGTAGTTAATTTACAGACTGAGTGACTTCACACCGTGCTGAGAAATGAGACGGTTACTAACGTTAAAGTTTAACTTTGTCTTTAGGTCTCACTGATGGAAACTTTGAGGTTTCCACACATTGTTAATTTGCCTTTGTCTTCAAAGCATTGCAAATGCTGTGTTAAGGCTCTGGACTAGTTTTGAACAGAGAGCCAATTCATCATCTGTCTATCACAACTAAAGTAAAGGAAACAAATTCACATCCACTCTAAGCGGTATTAAAGAAGGGGTAAAAATATTGGAACAAAATTAGCATTTTTTGTTGCCACAACTTCTTTCTCCTGCTGCTCTGCTGTCTGTATGTCAGAGCTTTGTGGGGTTAGGCTGATGCACACACGCAATCATATACACATATACGCTCAAAAGCATTTGTGTGACAGCCAAGCAAGCTGTTTGTGTGTTGCGCCTGTCATTGGATCTGGATCCCCTTAAGTTCTGCACGTGTTCAGATTGTCATTTACCACATCTACAAAACAACAGTCAAGATATTAAGTACAACTATATCACAATTTTATCCTCATAACATGATGACAGAGTTGTGGAAAAGTCAAAGTCTTTGTTTGGTACCATAGACTGTATATAGAATGGACGCCGTCTAGCCACCCCCCTGGTTGCGATGTTGACATATAGTTATTGTAAGACTGGTTTGTGCTCAAGTCCTCTTTTTTCTGTGCAGCTCCATTTTTAAAAGTTATTAGGGGGTTCATGTATTCTCTGATTGACACTCCATACAGATGTGCCAAGATTGCTTAGCTCACCCGGAGGATACGCTGTTTGAGCTGAGCGTCATTACAGCGACACTTGGCGACTCTCCCGCTGAATGCGTACAATGCTACGTACTGTGGTTTACACAATGTTGGTTTTAGGAAGTAGATAAAAAAACAAAAACAGAAATACCAAATCTTCAAATGGCTTCAAATCTGTATACTGGCGGAAAGCGGAACCAAGTTCTCCATAATCAAATCAAATCAAATCAAACTTTATTTATATAGCACCTTTCATGCTTTTAAGCTGCAACACAAAGTGCTTTACAAAGAGGTAAAAACAAACAATGTTAAAAAAGAAAAAACAAAACAAACAACAGTAAATATAGGGCACTTAAATAGGCATAAAACTCGTCCCTTCCCACCCACAGCAGCATATACAGGCATGCACAGCAGCCCACCCCACACACACATACACGCACACACGTATCCACACACCCACACAGTAACTGTCAGTGAATTTAGTATGTATGTACAGTAGTATGTACAGTCTATGGTTGGTACCAAGATGATGAACAGTGAGCATCTGGTTAAAGTCTCTCTAATGTTTTGTCTCCTCAGCTCAACATTATTGTATGTATCTGGACTCTGAAAAGACTGAGCGGAAAGCTGAGTCGTGAAGTATCCTCCTTCAGAACAGCATGATGAGGCGAATCGTTGGTCAACCCTGAGTATTGTAGAGTTGGAGTCGGGTTTCTGTCCAAACAAAGTGATGAGTTCCTTATAGTTGACTCTGATCATCCTGAGGAAAAAACAGCAGGATTCCAGACTGAGATAATTTATATGATGCTTCTAGAAAATTAAAGACGTTTTCTAGGTCATCAGAAATGATATCCAGTTCAGTAAACCAATCTAAACATAAGTCTGTTTAACAATACATGTCATTTCTTTGGAAAAATGCTGCTAAATTCTACACAACGTACCTTTAACATGGAGCATATATCACACAACCACACTTGAATCCTCAAGAGCATAGTGAAAAAATGGTTGCAGTAGTCCTTTGACTCATATGATGGTAGGATGGATCCCAGCGGAGAAAATAACCCTGAAGTGGTTTGGCTGATTCACTGGCAGTTTAGAAGCAGCCTTTCAGCCGTCAGTCTGCCCTTCTTTCTGAACCTGTGTGTTCAGTTCATGTCAGGTTTGGTTTTTTTTTTTTTTTTTTAAGTTTTTCATAGAAAAGGATCTAAGAAAAGAAACTGAAGCACATTTTTCATATCATGACAAGGACAGCAGGGGTAAAATGTGTGAAGTTATGGACATACATTCCTGACAAACTCCTCACTGTCAAAATGTAATTGCGTTCTCACTGTCAGTCATTATTCAGTAACTAACACGCACGTTTCCAACTTGTTTAAACATTTGCAGATGATGGAAAATATTCTATTCCAAAGAAAACAACTATAAAAGTTAACACTATAACTGACATGTACAACACTTCCTTTTGAGGACAAATATTTAAACCCTACAAAATTTCAGCACAGGTTCTGCTTTAATGTTTTGTGATCTTTAACCTAGTCTAGTCTAGCAGTCTAGCTCTCGTACTGTTATGAGGAAGTGAGGCATTTTGTTCTTCTGTTTCTCCTTTCACATTTTTTGACATAAGGAAACTGAAAAGCTCCCACCCATATTTAAAGGCTGTTGGAGCATCCACAATTTCATAATCATCTCTTTTTTCCCTCGCACTCATGGGAAGAAAGTCTGTAGTTCCCAATGCCCTCTGGTCTAATGAAACAGAGTGACAGTTTCTGCTCCAATGATTTGATCTTTCAGTCTGTTTCTGCTCCATGATGGTAAGACGACATTTTTGTTCTGACAACATTACTGTGATATTTGCAATGCCGTTACATCTCTGCTCTTTTGTGTGTGCAATGTTTGTGTTATTAGTTGTGGGAAACAAACAGTGCTATTTAAATGATGTAGCTCTTGGTGAGACAGCCTGTATTGATTATCTGAGCCGTAGTGCTGTGTAAATATTGAAGGAAACTGAGAGTGCAGTACATTAATGACTTGTAAGATACATTGCAATTTGTTAGGCCTTGGAGTGCACAGTTACAGGAGTAGGAGAGTTTGCTATGAATGTTTTTGTTTATGGCTGATCTGAAATATAATCTGATCTGTGATACAAATCAATTGAATCTGTGACTTGTTGTTGACCTGGGATGAAGTGAAACCCAAAGGAAGAAGTACAAGCCTCCGTCTTTCTGTGTCACAGGAAGTATTATCAGCACAATTCAGTGTTGACTGTGAAAATAAAATGTGAAATGTTGAATATGTTTGTTTGCAGAAGATACCTTTACGACTACATTAGGGGTTTGGTCCATCTCTGTTTCTGTGTCTGTGTTGCCCTGTGGATTATCTTACACTCTGATTCATCGGGTTCATTGACAGGCCCATCGCAGTAAGCCAAAGCCCTGTGTTACTTATTAAAGGGCTGGATCTCTTTCCTTTCTTTATCTGAACTGCAACTAGAGGGGCGGTCAAACAGAGCGACTGCCTTAATGCCATGATTTGTGTGGAGCTTCAATAGTAATCATGCTGCAGTGTATTTAGTTCTTACAGAGTGGAACTAAATTCACTGCTTTTGTCCGTGAAGTCTGGTGGTTTTGAGGTGAGCAGCATCCCACAAAGTTTACCTCATTAATGGTCTTTTTACACTTTGTTGTCCGACACTTGAAAAGTAATACTGTATATGAGCTTGTGAATTGCAAAAACAACAAGCTCTTACTTGTTATCTTGTATCTGGAGTGAAGTGATTTTTAATAGGAAGCATGTGTTTTGTGAAAGATGAGATTTATGATTTTTGAAGAGTTCGTTTTTTTCAATTCCTATTTTTTTAGGTTGAGATCATTCATCAGATTTGATCTTAGCAAAGGGTGGTAACTGGGAAGTGAACCAATGACTGGCACACAAACAACCATAGCCCCTTATCGTTGGCTGTCAGCACCCCAGCAGAGCTTTTTACAAATGACTCTGTTCTGCTGGGCTGAACTTACCTGAGGGATCTTTAACATCTTATTTTTAAGTTTTGGTTAGCTTTCTTTCTTTCCTTTCTTTTCTTTTCTTAGCTTTCTTTAAAGACCTTTCTTTAAAGCTGTTTTTAATTATGGCAGTACCCACAACTTTAATGTCAGACCAAGTCTTACCATTGTAAAGCTACAAAAGTCGTCCCATGGTACGCTTGCCTCTCTAACTCCTTGATAGTATATTTTATAGTTGCTTTGATATTCACTAGATGTTTACAAGAAAAAACTAAAAAGGATTGATGTCAATGTTTCCCTAGCATTTGCATTAGCAGACGGTTTGGAGATCTGGGGACCGAGGTTATTTTCTCTTCAGGACAGACCTCTGTCATTGTTGTTGACAAAGTTGATTTCAGAAATCCCTTCCTTGCTTTGATTGGTGAGTGACAGTGAAGTGACATTGATGACTTGATTAAGCTGAAGTCTTTCAAATGACTTACTGAAAGTTAGCACTGTCACAATATGAGAAATTGTTATAAACACAACACTGAAGCCTGGCTCAAATGAAGGAGTTCATTATTTTTATAAAACAAACATCAATAACGTTGAAGTTGATCTTTCCCTAGCATTAGCAAAAGCTTTGAGATGAGACGTCCCTTTTTGGCTTTGATTGGTCAGTGACAGTGAAGTGACATGGATGACTTCCTTCAGTTTAGTTGTTTCAAATGACTTAGAATTGACTGAAAGTTAGCACTGTCACGATAAACACAACTCTGAAGTCTGGATCAAATGAATGAGTTCAATATTCATTTTATGAAACAAACAACACTCATTCACTCAGAACAGTTACATTTCATTGAAAAGAGGCCATGTTATATTTCCGGGCTTTCAGAAGCTTTAGTTCTTCAATTGTTCTCTAATGTGTGTTGATTTATCCCACTTCATATTGTTACCACTATATGGAACTATGTTTTCATATTTTATCATATTGTTCAGGCCTTCATTTGAATCTAGGCCCAGTTAATTTCCTATTACCGCCTGTGAAATTCGTCCTCCCTGTCTGAGTACAGGTAGGAAATATTAAACTGGTAAAGGTGCTAACTCCCTTTTATGCTGGCACCCCTACCAGTGAAAGATAACCCCAGGCAATCACTTATCAGAGGTGCTGACAGTAGCTGTGTCAGAGGAGAGTAAGAGGAGATGAGCTGTCAGCTCTCTACCTCTGTGTGCCAGGATAATTGAGGATAAGGAGACCACAAACCTGTCTGCACCTCAAACGACCCTCGAACCCAGCTGTAATCAAGAACTGTGAGAAAACAGGGCCAGATTTTGTTTATATTTTTTTCTTTCGTTTATCACAATTTCTTCTTCGTAAAGTTTTTTTTCTTTCCATCAGAGGCAAAGTTTGGCAGTAAGGTGCCCAGTTAACATTTTTTCCTGGAGCAAACTAAAACAGCAGACTGGAGTCAGTGTTACAGCAGAGGAAAGCTTTAAACTATTCAGAGTGAGGGGCTGCAGTAAACTGTCGATTTCTCGCTCCATGTACTCGATTCCTCTGCTGGGAGCATCCTTTAATGTCTGGCTGAGAAATCCACTAGACTCCTCTCCTGAGTGATGTTTAGAGAGCTGCTTAGAGGTGACATGAAAGGAAGTGATATCCTGCTATATTTAGGTGAATGCATCCATCAATAATGCATCCAGCCCTTCCAGCTCTGGCTTCTTTGATTATCTGGCCCTCATATATTCTCCCTTTGTGGCTTTACTTCATCCGATAGATAGTCTGCATTGAAAGATAAATTTGTAACTATAGAGAACAACTCGGTGAATGGACCATAGGCTCACATTGGACTCTGATGACCCTTATACAGCAGGGTGTCATCTGTACCGTGGCTGTGGTACATTTTAAAGCAGGGCCTTTGTACAATAATTGGTTTGACAGAATTATACATTTTCATCCCTGTAAAAAAAACAACAAAAAAAAGAACCGCTACCCTCAGTAACTTGTCCACTACTGTTGTCCACTAAGAAGCTGAGGAAGTTATTTTTGGTGACTCCCCCCCCTACACCCCCTTCCAGCACCCACTGGTGTAAGGTGGCCCTCTGTCTGAGGTCGTGGTAACCATAGCAGGCCTTGGAAAGTGAAATGCGATGCGGCGAGCCCTCTGGACTGTGTTTCTGAATCACAACTCCATAATGAGCTGGCTCAGCTCTAGCTGCATCAAAGATGCAGCACTCTGGTGTCTGTTTCAACTCACGATGCACAATAGTGCAGTGTCACCTGTGCATGGGAAGAGGAGGGGCAGGTCCAGGAAGAGCACAGAAAGACTGAAAGCTTTCTGCAACCTGTGGTACCCACACCCAATCATCCCAGGAGAAGATTTCATTGAAACCCACCCTCATAAGATGAGTAGACAGCTGTTTACAGGTTCAGTTGTTAATCAAGGGTCAAGGTTCATTTCATTTTAGCCAAAGGGAAAAAAAAAGATGCGGATTGTAGGTGAATGGATTGTAGTCCAACTATGATATGCTTGTACCACAAAAATCAACTAAAAGTAAAAATCTGCAACATTTCATCAAGAAGTTACTGAGATGTTTCGATCTGAACTTTAGAGGTTGATCAACTGATGCAAAGCTGGGCCAGGAGAACTGTAATCTACCATAAAGTGAAGCCCAACACTCCTAAAAGCTCTGCCATTACAACTAACTAGTACTGTATGTAGAGTAAATCGGTCTAACCGCATTATTCATCCCTCATCTTTCTCTCCAGGAGAGTCCTCTGACCCAGCGTCTCCTCCAGTGACCCCAGCCTCTTTTGACTCAGGGACACCATGGGACAACACCCTGTTTGCCTCTCCCCCTTCTTCTTCTACCTCTTCTCCCTCCTCCTCCTGGCCCAGTCCTGCGCCTCCTTCAGGCCACAGGTTGTGGAGCGAGCGTCCGTCCCTGAGCAGCCTCAGTCCTCTGGTAACTCCACAGGGCCCAGTAAGAAGACATGCGCGGGGGCTGTGGTTTGTAGACCGGGTATCCTTCTGCCTGTGTGGCTTCCTCTCAACCCTCCAGTGGGGGAGCAGGCGGGGAGAGCTGTGGTCTACTTCCTGTGTCTCATGTACATTTTCCTGGGTGTGTCTATCATCGCAGACCGCTTCATGGCCTCCATTGAAGTCATCACCTCTCAGGTTTGTTTAAAGTGGTAACTATTTGTTGATCACTCCAATAGAAGAAATACCACACTAAAGGCTGTGTTGTTGTACGAAATATTAGCTCTGATTACCTTCAGCCCTGGGCCTGTTGCTGCGTTCCGGTTACCTCGGAAGTTGGAGCTAGGAATGACATTACACCCAAGTTAACAGCGTTCCAGTAAACAAGTCAGAAAACCAAGATGGATGCCCTGTTAGCCATTGTTAGCTGTTGTTAACAATTGCCAGCTGTTGTTAGCTGTTGTCAGTTGTTGTTAGCTGTTGTCAGCAGTTGTTAGTTGTCGTTAGCTATACCATTTGTAAACAATTCATTACACAGTATTTTACTCTACAAACACCATAGAACTGTGTTCACAGTTAGACGTTGGGCAGTACAGCAAATACCACTAATTTAATTTCACAGAAACAAAACAGGTGCTAATAAATAACAAATTACGAGAGCTTTCACTGTTACTCTTTACTGTTGATGCACTGCGCTGCCATCTTGGATTATGACGTTGTCGTCAAGTCAGGGTTGGTGAGGATTGTCCGACTTTCCGGGTTGGAAATCCGACTTCAGGGGGATGTTACAGATTAATTTCCGACTCAGAGCTCAGAAATCCTGACTTCCGAGTACAACTGGAACGCAGCATGTTACCTACAAATGTATCATAGCAGTGCTGATATTTAGTATAACAGCGCTGCTGTTTTAATTTTCAAACTTGATTAAATGAACTGAAATGTAGTTATATGTGTAGGAGAAGGAGGTGACCATCACAAAACCAAATGGAGAAACGACAGTGACAACAGTGAGAGTCTGGAACGAGACTGTGTCCAACCTCACACTGATGGCCCTGGGCTCCTCTGCACCTGAGATCCTACTGTCTGTCATTGAGGTAAATTAGCCATTTCTCATGCTATTATACATGCATATAGTAAATTAGTAGATTTACAGGTAAAAGTCCTTGTACTAAAAAAAAATTACCCCAGATTCATGAAAACCTGGATTTAATCATAGGCATGTTTTGTAGGCACAGAGAAAGAAAGTGAGAGAAAAAATGTTCAAGTGTGGAGTTAAATATCTGAGGCAGTCAGATTGGACACACCACATTTCTTTTCTTTCCATCCCAATCCTGCACCGCCAAAAATTGGGGCCAAGTTGTCCAAGGGAAATATTTGATTATCCTCCACATGACTACCAATATGCCTGATCATCCTGCCCCCAAATATAAAACCTTTACCTTCTTTGATGTTATGTACACAGTGTAAGTCATCATTAAATCCTGTCTGATACTGTTTGTATTTCCTGAGTTTTAGATAATTCACAAAGTTAATCTACTGTTCTTCATGTGTTAATATACACATGCCTTTGTATTTGGAGAGTGACCTTCATTTTCTGCTGGTCAGAGTGCTTGTTTCAGTGGATATAACATCATCCCATGTATTGACGTAACCCTGTACAGTGACGTGTGTATTTTCTGCATCTTGTGTTTTAGATCGTTTAAATATAACCATATAATTCAAAGTCTGGTCTTTAATGTTGATATATTTCATCTGAAACATGGGTTTCATCATCAGTTCCACTTTGAAGAACTTATTGTGATGTCTTTCCTTTCTCTCCCTAAACGTTGACAGGTGTGTGGGCACAATTTTGATGCGGGAGAACTCGGCCCCGGAACCATTGTGGGCAGTGCTGCGTTCAACATGTTAGTGATCATCGGACTGTGTGTGATGGTGATCCCTGACGGACAGTCTCGAAAAATCAAACACCTGCGGGTGTTTTTCATCACGGCCTTCTGGAGTATTTTTGCCTACATTTGGCTTTACCTCATACTGGCTGTCATCTCACCTGGGATTGTAGAGGTGTGTTTGCAATTACTTCACATCCTGTGTATTTCCTACGAATAGACCTGTTAAAATTATCATCTAACATTCATATCTCTGACGTTTCCAGATTTGGGAGGCTATAGTGACCTTGCTTTACTTCCCTGTGTGTGTCCTCCTGGCTTGGATCGCTGACCGTCGCCTTCTCTTCTATAAATATATGCACAAACGTTACCGTGCCGACAAGAGGCACGGTATTGTGGTGGAAATGGAGGGGGATCTGGCTCCTAAAGGCATTGATATGATCATGGATGGAAAGCTATCAGATGGGGGCGCATGTCCTGAAAACTCACCCAGTGTGACTGTCTCTGTGCAGACTGGCAACGAATTGGACCAGAAAAACAATGACGAGGTAAGACAGGTAGATCAGGTAGACAGAAAGCAGAAATAAGAACATCCAAATGTAATGTTGAAGCTACCTGACTGAATTTTAAAGGAGTATTAGCTTTCTTGAGGCTAGATAGTGTTAATCCCAGCAGAGGTTTGAAGGCACGAGTGTAGACAGCAGGAAGCTGATCAGTATGAGCCTGAGAAGTTTACAAAGCTTCTGCGGTCAAAGTCCACCAAACTTTCTGCAGGACCTCTGTTGTAACAATCACCTCTTTGCCCTTCTCTGAGTCCATCTTCTTCTGTTTGTTGATGATAAACCTATAGCTTCTGGGAGTAATAGCCAAGAGCAGTCAGAGTTAAGCCAACTTCTGTAGGGTTTTAGTGATGCTGACAGACTTCTTTCACATTAAACTGTAAATGATTCACAGTCTGGCCAGTAACTTAAGAGGATAGAATGGAGTTGATGTTGAGATGATATCTCAGGGTAGATTTTTGGCTTCACTTTCATTTAGATATAATTTTATGGAGAACAAATTTTCTAAAAAATCCCAAGTAGCTTTTCTGGCCTCCGTACACATCTGATTTTTAAATTTTTGCATATCTTCCAATACTTAGGATTCCATATATGAAATTTACCGTGGGGCACTGCCACGGCTAAAAAAAGCTGCCACAGCTTAAAAATTAGGGTTTTTTTCTTACATGGCTGAACCTCAGACTCATATGTATCAGTTTATGCGCTGCACTGTGGAGTATTAGCATTGCGAGTTACCATCGGCGATCACACAGCTGTTTATCCCCCTCCCCCTTTGCGCTCTCTCTGAGTCACCGCCTCATATAGAATCCCGTCCTGGGGGAAACACTAATACTGATTCCCATTGTAAATCATGTGTTCACCTACATCATGGAGCTACTTTTTTTGTTCACCAACGTAAAATGAATAAATGAAAATGGTGTAAACAATCTTCAGTTTTACACTGTTCAAGCTCACATTTCAGTTAACCAGTTAAAAGTCAAGTCACGATTTTTTGAACAAGCTTCAGACGAGACAGAGGGGCTTGGTTAATAATCCCAGTGAAAGAGTGCGCTGTAAAATCTCTCTTGAATACCCCTTTGGCTAATTGATGACAACCTGTATGAACCTCTTATTTCAAAAACTCGTATTTTTTCTCCCTTTTTGATGTCGGTTGTCTCAGAGACACGTATGATGGTTTCCCATGACTGAGTATTATAATTAATTGTGAATATGCTGATGTAAACTTCATTTGTTCAAAAACTTGCATCCTCTAACCTGTGAGGGACACACTTGTATTAATGTTGATGTCACAGCAATAAAAAGGCTTGAATAAATATCCAGTATCCACAGATTTTGCAAAGAAGGTTCAAACAAGGGCGTTAAACTTGAAAGCTAATTTTTTCCTTTTTTTGGTAGGTGGTCCGCATCCTGAAAGACTTGAAGGAGAAACATCCAGACAAAGACCTGGACCAGCTAATTGAGATGGCTAACTACTCTGCTCTCCTTCAGAAGAAGAAAAGCCGGGCTTTCTACCGCATTCAGGCTACACGCATGATGATCGGTGCTGGAAACATACTGAAGAAACATGCCGCAGAGCACACACGGCGCTCAGGGGGTCAGGACTCTGACAAGGCCACCTGCTCACACATCTGTTTTGAGAGTGCCCAATATCAGTGCACAGAGAACTGTGGCTCCATGAGCCTCTGGGTGGTCTTGGATGGGGGTACAGGTCAGGACACTTTCTATGTGGACTACTGTACAGAGAACGGCTCCGCCAATGCTGGAGCAGACTATGAGTTTACGAAAGGAACTTTGGTGTTTAAACCAGGAGAGACACGCAAAGAGATCAAGGTGAGTGCTGAGAAAAGGAGATAGTGAAACAGCAGCTACATATACTATAATTAATATTTCAGTGTTTTTGCTGTGCAGTGGTAATTCGTCCTGTGTTTCCTGTTAATCTTCAATATCAACAAGCTGAATAAACCAGAAGTTTTGTGCAGAAAGGCACTGTAAGGAGATTTGTACAGATTCTGACAAAGACTTGTCTAGATGCAGATGCCTCATGACCTCTATGGTAACATGAGATTATCAGTGACAACACTTGGTTATTTCTTTCAACTTTATTTTGGTGCCTGTGTTGGGGTCAAATTTTCAGTGAAAAAATCTGAGTGGATATGCAGCACACACTCTTACATTTCTATATGTTTGAAGCTGTTCTCTCCCTGTTAGCAGCTGGATTTTTTGTGCGTTTGTTGTTGTTTCCCGTGTGTTCAAGGCTCAAGAAGTTAGAGAGAGAGAGAGGAAGAAAATGATGAGTTAGGATTTATCCTGCTTGTGTCAGAAAAGTGATCCAGTAGCACATTGAATGAAAGCAGAGTCAGAGCCTGAGTTCCTCGTGTGACATAATATGATGGGATTGTTAAAAAGGTAGCAGCTGTTCTGTAGGATGATGTTCTTAACCAATCCTCAGTCTTTTTAGGGGAAAATAACAGGCTAACTATAAAGTTGTTCCAATTCCAATACCAGTATCTCAAATTGCTCTGATACTGCCAAAAATACTGGCATTGGTATCGGTGAGTACTGGAGTCCAGGCACAGATCCAATACCACGTAATTTGTTAAATTAGTAATTTATTTACTCGTTAGCTTCGTTAGCCCTGGTCTGTTTAAATTCCCTTTTAATTTAAAAATATTGTGGCTGCACCTTATTTTTTTAAAAATAATTATTCCTAGATTTATTAACTTAAATAGTATTTGCTGTTTTTTATACTGTTCTATTTAAAAATTAAATGGCTTGAATTTGCTGTATTTATTTGTGTTTTACAAAGGGTTCAACCTGAGCCAGACCTTACCACAATGATAATCTGGTATCGAATCGGTACTCGGTTTCAGCCAATACTCACAGCACAAGTATCAGAATCAGTATTGGGAGGGGAAAATTGGTATCGGAACATCTCCAGTTTACCTGGCAGACTTAAAGCCACAATTGCAATCAGTTATGTTTAGAATTATTGTTTTTATTAATGTAACTTCAGTAATGCACAAAGTTTGCATAGTTCTGTTTGTCACTGTATTTTAGCATTGAAAGCTGTGCAACAAATTCATTGTGATCATATGTGTTAAAGTAAAAATGAGAAAAGAGTTTATAAAACTTTTGCCATCATAATCAAAGAAACTTATTCCAATTTTTATTCTTATAGTTTTCTGATTGGCTGACTGTGATTTTTTTTACCATTAGGCAATAGCTTTCTAAAAGAGATCGTACTTAACGACATATCAGGGTGTCTTGTCGTTGGATCTCAAATTTGAAATTTTGGGTGTCATGAACAAACAGCTCTTGCCTCCTTATCTATGAGAAGAGTAACAAAAAATCCTCTGTGCTCTACAGGTGGGAATTCTGGATGATGACATCTTCGAAGAGGATGAACATTTCTTTGTGCGCCTCCAGAACTTGAGGTTAGAGGAGGGTGGAAGTGAAGGGACAGGAAGTCCACCAAAGGGGAGACTAGTGGAGCCGCTGGTTGCCACAATCACTATCCTGGACGATGACCATGCCGGGATCTTCACCTTTGGCCAGCAAGTGCTGCACGTCAGCGAGAGCACAGGCACACTGACGGTGACAGTAGTGAGGAATTCAGGCTCCAGGGGGACAGTCTCTGTACCGTACCATACTGAGGATGGAAGTGCCAAGGCTGCGGTGGACTATGAGGACACCAGAGGGGAGCTGGAGTTCACTAATGAACAGACCAGGTGAGGTTTAGTCAGAAACCACAGGCAGAGAGTGGGAAACAAAACCTCGGAGCCTCTGAGTCTGATGGATTTGCTTCCTAGAACAGTAATCTATTCCTGTCCAGGAAGTAGACAGTGCCAGGCATCATGACTCATCAGGTTGCATCTCTGATATACATCACATTTTGACCAACAGGCCTCTATTAATTATAAGGTGGCATAATTGTATGTGAGTATGTATGTATTTGTAATTTCCCGGCCAACCACATGACCAAAATTAGCCATATTTCAGTTTCATAATCAGTGAATTTATACAAAGTATACCTATTATTATTATCATTTAGTTTATTTAGTTTATTTACTCATATTGTAATATTAGTTGTTTATTTTTTTAAATGTGCAATGTCAAACATAGGAAATGAGGCTTCATTTCAATCCATTCAACCTCTCAAATCTGAATGTGATTTTTTTAGCTTTCATCGACTGAGTTTGGAATTGGTTAGGGAATGTAGGGATAGTCAGGGGATGTCCTCAGTGTTATTCTGGAAGTGTTATATGTCCAGACCAAAAATTTGGTCTAGTCATGATAATAAAAAGCACTGGTCTACAAAAACATGCTAATCTTGTGCAGGACTTATTCATACAAGCCAGCTATCACTCTGTGGGTCACTATGGACAGAGGCTGTAGACTGCATTTATAGACAACACTGACATTTATCAAGAGCACTCCCTTTTTCTCCTTTTCTCATCTCTCTCTCTCTCTCTCTCTCTCTCTCTCTCTCTCTCGCCCTCCCTCCCTCCCTCCCTCTCCCAGAGCTGGGAAGTTCAATACATTAAAATATAATCTACTCAATATTCCTGTAATATTCTATGGTTATGGATTGCCACTCAAATGATTAAACCTCAACTTGTGTTTGTGATTAAGAAGAACAACCTGACATTAGATTCATCACTTTGCAGGAAGCATTGCGCATTAATGCACATTAATAATAACAGGATATAAAAAAGATAAACAGTCTTTACTGCTGCAACGATTGCTCACTTGGGCAGTGGTAAAGACTGAAGAGAGAGAGGTAGAAAGGTAAAAGACTAAAGCAGTAGCCTTGTGAAATAGTCCCATTTTGTTCTTAATTGTTCCAGTTTCATAATATACAATCTACCAGAAATAGTCAACTTAAGGTAAAATAAGTTCTCTTTTAAAAATATAGATATAATTTCATGACAAGTTGGTGCATAAAACCCAAGCCAAAAAAATACAAGCCATAAGGTGTTAAATGCTTAAAATGTTCACACTTGACACTCAACACTTAAATTGCATTGAATGTTATTGTTACTGTTATTTTGCAAAACATGCGGTTAATGTGAGGTTGTTCTTACTTTTGTTATATGGTCATTAACATTTCATCATTTGCATGCAGGAAGTGTTTGAATGAGTATGATGGTTCTTGCACACAGTGAGGAAGACACCACCTTAGCCCCATTTTAAGCCAGTAAAAATCGCTGTGTGTTACTGTTATTGAGTTACTGAAAGAGTTGCACTGTAATTCTTTATCTTACAGGGATATTCCTATTGGTATTTATGACAGGTATATAAATTTGTTTCTAGTCTTATCAGTGGCTAATTAACAAACCAATGAATGCTTATTGCAAGGACCTCATTATAAAGTGTTACTGAATAGCACAAACCCAACCTGTGACAAATTTTGATTTTGTTTTAATGTGTTGGTGGGCGTTTGTGGAGTCTTAATCTGTGTAGATAAATAGCAGAAACAGACATAATCAGTAATAAGGAAGACTGCTGGTCCTCTTCTCAAGCCCACTATGCAAACACACAGCTTCCTGAACCTCTCTACTGTGGCCCACCATTGGTGCTTTAAGAAATGACACACCTGTACCTCAGTGAAACGTAACTTTGAGTTATCAGTCACACTGCAGGTGGAGGAGGTCCTTTTAGGCAGAGTTACAGGATGACTTGACACCTGAAGATTATCCCATCCCCCTGATCAGGTGTGGGAACCTCCAGTCACCCCATGTAAACCAACAGATCCTTTTCACATTAAATTTTCAGGTTATATAATCTGTGTTTGCACATGTACTAATCGTACACTTAGTGAGAGGCTGTTACATAACAGGCCCATCACAGAAAAGGATGAAATATAACACTTACTGCCTTTTAAAATCAATAAGTCAAGTCTTGTTCCTTTATTTTGTCATTTTTAGTTCATTTTTTTAATAAGCTGTTATTATCTGTGTTTACATGCCCACCTTACAAGTCTACACAGACATCAGAGCTTTAACAAAACCCTTTTAATACACTTTGATTAAGCCGGAGACTGTTGTGCTGCAACTCATTTAGTTTTGCTGTGTTTGGTTGGCACACTGAGGAGCAAGAGCACACTCTTATAAGACTGAATTATTCAAAGGTCCATTGTTATTAATTATTTAGCTCTCTTGAATTTGCGATGTGATTTAGATGGTAGAGTTAATGTTTAAAGTGAGGAGGAACTTTGTAATAATGCACTTTGAACTTACCTTATTTAATAGAGCTTAATTTTCACAAACGGATATTGAGATAATCATATATTTATATATATTTTTTTGTGTGTGTGTTTGTTAATGTGTGTGTGCTTTTGTATCTCCAGTCAGGTCTTGACAGTGCACATAATAAATGTGGGAGAGTACGAAAAGCAGGAAAACTTCTTTATCGTGCTCGAGGATCCCAAGTGGCTGAAGCGGGGAATCTCTGGTGAGTGTGGAGCCAATTTAAATGTCACGCAAAGTGTCTCAGTAACTTGGTTAACCGTTGCAGAATGAAATGATTTTCAAGAAAAAGCCTGATTATATTTGCATGAAGTAGCAACAGCCCAACAAACAGCAGCAGGATCAAGTATCAAAACAATGACAAGAGCCGCACAGGAGGCTGAATGCTGTGCACCTGCGTCACAGCCAGTAACCCAAGATCACACCCTGCTGTCTCTGTTTCACTGCTGCACCCGTGCTGCAGACAATTATGACTTTAGTAACCTTTAGGTGCCCGTTTCCTGTAAGCTTAATGTGTTAAAAGAATGGTGCAGGAAATCGATCTGCACTTGTTAGCGGAGGCAAAAAGAATCAATTACACGGGGGAGTATATAGTTTATCTCCTTAAGTTTGAGTGGAAATTAAGGCCTGCTCTCTCCATGTCTTAACTGTTGAACAAAGTATAGAGTTCATCCTGCTGCATTTTGTATTCTCTCTCAAGTCACTCCTCTGTTTGTTCCTGGATGTTGATCTGTCACATTGTATTAAATCATTGTCTGTCTGTCTCCACAGCACTGCTTCTAAACCAGGGTAAGATGGTTTGGTTGTAGGTTTGCATGTTTAAGGTGCAGTGTGTGCAGCATTTTAATACAACAACTTATTAGTGTGCAGTTGCAAATTTGCATGGGCAAAATCTGCATTAGCAAATAAGAGCAGATTTTGCCCATAATCCCTTCACCCACTCTGCTTTAAAAAGGGAAGCAGTAAAGAGACAGTAGCATGTACTGGGAGTAGAACCATCTTTCAGGGATATCTGTAAATCGCTACCCCTCCTTCCATCCAGGAGACCACCCACAGTAAATAAAAATTAATAAATAAATAAATAAAATAAAAATAAAAAAGCATTATCATTTACAGAAACATTGTCATTTAGATGTTGTAATAGTGCCGGCTCTAGAGCCATTTCTGGCAAAGTATATCTAACCTTAGCATTAAGGCTCTGATTTATTTAAATGCTAGAAAACAAACTATATGTGTTACATATGAGTGAGGTCAGAGGCAGGAAACCCATCACAGTCCCAGATCTCATTCCTAAAGACAAAATATCATGTGAGATTGTCTTGCTCAATGTTACAAACAGGTCCTTTAGAAACAGTCTACAAAAGTGTGTGCAGTGTTTGAAACATTTTTTATTTTTATCTGCATGTGTTTCAAAGTTGACCCCATGACCTCTGTAATAGATATGTCAGAAATATTTCAAGGTTAACAGTGAAATAAACAAGACAGTATGGTTCAATGTGTCAGAATATAAGAGCAATGCATGAAAAAAAAACAAGGAGGAAAAGTAATTCAGTGTTTTCAGTTACTTTGTTCTAAGGAAAAAGTTAAAACGTTGAGCTGTGAATAAAACCAAACTTTGTTTTCAACCTAGTATTTTAACATTTTGACTTTATTCCTAAGTTACAAAGTAACAGAAAAGTGTTTTTTTCTGATTTGAGAACTTCAACAGTAACATAAATGTCTGTACTCTCTGACAGGGAACCCCACTCCCGAGGAGGAGGAGGCCCGGAGGATCTCTGAGATGGGAAAACCAATTTTAGGAGAGCACAGCAGGCTGGAGGTCATCATTATGGAGTCCTGTGAGTTTAAGGTATGTGAGTGACCGATAAAACACAAACAGCCCAAGTGTTTCTTTTGAAGCAGCGGAGATGGTTTGAGATGTTCAATCATAAAAGTATGATTTTGAAATGCAAAAAAGTTGAGGTTTGTGAGTTTATAAACAACCTCTCACCTTTTTAAACTTCAGACTCCCAATGGAGTACTCGACCAGGTACAGTTCCTGCCAGCATGCTGTGAGATTTTGGACTGAATATACTTCTCATCATTTCTCTTTAAAGTCTTGCTGCTGTTATAAAACTATTAATATTCAGATCTTCCTTTTTCTTCTTTCTCAGTATTTGTCAAGGATTACATAACTCATAACCCTAATTTGTTGTTTGCTGTGTGTGTTAAATGTTTGACTTGTCGTTTAAATTCTGAGCAGGACAGAAGCTGATTTAATATTTTCCATACTTGTTTTGTATGCCATATTAAGTCTAGTTAGCAAGTAGGCTGTGAAAAAATACAGATGTATTACTTTGTTTGTCTTGACTAATCATTTAATTCATTTTCCCGTCAAAAGACAAACTTCTCCTCTAAAAGTATTAAACACTTTATGCATGAGTAAATTAATATTGTTATATTGTCTTACACAGAGTTAATAAAAAGCAATTTACTATATCAGCAAAGAAATGCTAATGTGAATATAAACCTGAAAAGGGCATTTTCAGGTTTATCTGTTCAATGTATATTTCTACTTGTGTCATGTTTTATTATAGAGCACAGTAGACAAGCTGCTGAAGGACACAAATCTGGCTGTAGTGCTCGGCACTCACACGTGGAGGGAGCAGTTCATTGAAGCAGTCACTGTCAGTGCAGGTAAGAGGATATTTAGTGATCATTGGCTTGTTGTTCCTGACTTTATTCATGAATACAGCCACTGTAACATCACAATGTCTCTTTTGATCAGGTGATGGAGATGAGGAGGAGGGACAGGAACAGCGGATGCCGAACTGCTGTGACTACTTCATGCACATCTTGTGCATTTTCTGGAAGATTCTGTTTGCCTTTGTTCCGCCCACAGAGTACTGGAACGGCTGGGCCTGTTTCATAGTGTCGATTTCTGTCATTGGTTTACTAACAGCCGTCATTGGAGACCTGGCCTCTCATTTTGGCTGCACTGTTGGTCTCAGAGACAGTGTCACTGCGGTTGTCTTTGTCGCTCTGGGGACTTCACTTCCCGGTATGTGATCATTATTTAATGGAGGTTTGGTTGTGTTGTCATACATTAGTTTGTGGTTTACTGTTTTGAAGCAGTCTTGTTCTATCATGACCACATTTGGATGATTAGAGGATGGATACGTTTCATTATACCTCCGTTCTCATTGTTGACCATTATAACATCCAATGAGAAATCTTGATCTACTTGACTCACAAAGCTTTTCTCCCCTTGTGTCTGTCAGTGTAAATATAATAATAATAATAATAATAATAATGATTACAGAGTTTAAAAGGAGACTGAGGGACTTGAGATGGAGATGATTTTAATGTCCTCTCAGAAAATAGCTGCAATACCACCCCTCTGTCTTTATGAGTGAGTCTGTGAGGTGTGGTCTGATTGAGGGAGATATAATCCAGTGGTTTGTGCTAGGTTTCTGTGATACAGAGAAAGACTCACAATGCTTTCAAAAGTCATGAGATTCTGCCAAATTTTTTCTAAATAAATATGTCTGCTTTTTAGTGAGAAGTGACCACATTTAAATGAGAAGGTGGAGTCAGAGAGGAGGGAAGTGCTAGCAAATGCCAATTTGTTAGCTAGTGCAAGGAAGTTAAACAGGCTTGTCAGTGATTTGCAATAATAGTCATATTAGTTCTTTCTATCCCTCAAATCATACATGGAATAAACTGAAGTGCAAAAAGGCAATATTAAAGCTCTTGTAAGGGACTTTTGAAGAAAAAGAAGAATTTTATTGATCTCTGAAGGGAAATTCAACTTTTGGTTGCATCACTTACATGCCCTCTGTGGACAAAGCTGTGCCTCTTACCTTTTTGCAGCTTTTGTCCTTTTAAAACCTAATTTAAAACCTAATTTTGCACAAAATCTCATCCAAAAATGAGGCTTCTTGCTGGTAATGTTTTCTGAGCTTCCAAGCCCTGAATGGTCAGTGTGTTTTCAAATAAAGATGCAGCCTCTTATCTTTAACTCTTTTCTTTCAGACACCTTTGCCAGTAAAGTGGCTGCCACTCAGGACCAGTATGCAGATGCTTGTGTGGGCAATGTGACAGGAAGTAATGCAGTGAATGTGTTTCTGGGCATCGGAGTGGCCTGGTCTGTGGCGGCTGTGTATTGGGAGGTCAAAGGTAAAGTCTTCCGCGTGGACCCCGGCTCGTTGGCTTTCTCAGTGACGCTCTTCACTATTTTTGCCTTCTTGGCTATGGGAGTGTTGATGATACGCAGGCGGCCATCCATAGGGGGCGAACTGGGAGGCCCCTGGATCCCCAAACTTCTCACCTCCCTGTTATTCTTTGGACTCTGGTTCCTCTACGTCCTCTTCTCCAGCTTGGAGGCCTACTGCCATATACAAGGCTTCTGAGAGAGCACAGCTAAGGAGAGAAATGACTTCACAATAACCAACACACAGCACCAGGACCAACAAAGCACTACAACTACCATCATCAACTGCTGCCATGGCTCATAAAGTCTATACACTCCAGACTTAGAAAACTGTATGTCACATCCACTGCAGGACAGCTCTGGTCAGTGGACTCTGTGGTGAGAAAACTGATTCTTCAAACTTCAGTGGACTGAATAACATGCAGTGACTGTTATTCAACAAGGTAAAAATGGTTGCATGAAATATGACTTTGCTGGATTTTGCTCAGTAGTCGCTCGAAGTCCTGTGGCTCATATTTTGGATCTCGAGTTTTGTGTTTTTCCTCCTCATGCTTAAAGAGACTGAGCCCAATGTAACTGATCACATTTGAAAGTATACAAAGGCCTTTATTTTTCAGAGGGGTCATGGGGGTCATGAGACCCTTTTATAAAAGTAGATATCAAATAAAGAGCTGTTTTGCATTCAATCAGTAAATGTTGTCATTTTGTATAGTCCCAATTCAAAAAGAAATGAGGATGCTGTTTAATCTATTCATAATAACAGATTTTGATGGTGTGTAAATCATTTAAACCCTTTATTTGACTGAAAAGAGTAAATGGCAGCAAATGTTGAAATTGAATTTTTTTTCAGGTGTCACGAAAATCTGAAAAAAAGTTAAATGCCACCAACACATTTTGAAAAAGTAGAGACAGACACATATTTACTTTTTGTGTAGAAACCCAGGAGCCCCTTATCTGTGACTACTACAGACAGGACAGTTCAGCACCTGAACCCTTCTACTTCAGAGCCATACAATTGTGAAATGTGTAGAAAGTGGTTTTGGCATTGTCATACTAAAATATGAAAGGTTGTGCCTGAAAAGACATTGCCTGGATGACAGCATATGTTGCTTCACAACCTGTAGACCATCAAAGTAGCCCAAAAACCATGATTTCCAAAAAGAACGTCAAATTTTGTGGATTATGTTTAAATATGGTTCCCTCTTTGCTTGCTACAATTTTAATGGGCATGTCAGTGGATGGAGCTACATACTGTAACGTGTTCACAGACATTAGTTTTGAAGTGATTTTGAGACCATGCAGTGATTTCAATAACCAAGTCATGGCTCTTTTTCATGCAGTGCCCCTGAGACCCCCTGAGAATGATCATGGCCATCCAGTATTGGATCTGGGCCTTGTCCCTCTCCCTGTACAGAGATTCCCCAGGATCTTTTAACAGTGTTTAACACTGTAGACAGTGAATACCTCATATTCTTTACAGTGAGGAACATTAATTTGACCTGTCATGTTACTTGCAAGTTGACCTAAATAATTTGGAGTTGTTCCACTGGATGTTTGTCTCAGCATTACTCAACCTTTTTAGTGTTTTGTTGTCCCTGTTGCATCTTTTAAAACAGGTTGCTGCCATAAAACATTTTTTTCAGTTTTAACTTGAGAGATGTTGTCTTTGCACTGTTTTAAATTGAATATAGGCTCTGAATAAGTTTCACACCATCAGATTCTGTTTTTATCAATTCTTCAGATAGTGTCCCAACACTTATAGAATTGGAACTGTACATCAAAATATGTCTGAATGTTTAAAAGTGCTGAGCAAAATAGAAAAAAGCACTATGGTTAATTCAAAAAACACACTGTATTTACTAAATAAAAAAAAACAATGTGGCGACTTTAATAATGATTCATACCAATAAAAATCAAGGCATATAATATAAGCTGCCAGGTGGAGGACTACCTTAATAAAGACGGCGATCTAAAGAAATCAGAATAGAGTTTATAAACAAATTGTTAATCAGATGCTTTTAAACTCAGATTAACTAACCTTTAAACTGTTAAATAGTCATAATAAAAGCTTATTTTTTTCTTAATCTTTAATGTCTCTCTAACCATGAATCTGTAAAAAGACTAGATCAGGAGGGGCCGGGAGCTGAGCTGTCACTGAAAGTAGCTCGACTTGTTGTTAGGTTAATACTGTACTCAGTCTTTAGAATGAACAGAGCCCCAAATAATGTATCCTCTGTAGTTTATAGACGAATAACTGAGCTTCATTCTCAAGATTTTTTTAAAACAGTTTGTAAACATGTTTAACTCAGCTGTAAATGTTTTTTTTTTTTTTTTACATGGAGCCTGATGGCTGTTTCTTGGCTTTTGGAGCTTACATCTAGTGGACAGTCAAGGAACTGCAGCTTTTTGAGCGTCTGTGTTGGTTTCATTTTTCAACACAGGAGGTTTCTGCTTGTTTGTATCATGAAACAAAAAATGTTTTTCTCCATTGTTTAAGCACAGATTTGGATAATCAAACTGGAAATGTGTGAGTTGCAGGACAAATGAGCAAGTATTTTGTGAGGAGTGATATTAAGAGAAGCAAGAGAAGCTGCTTCCGTCTAACACCTCACAGTTACAGTTACATGGTTTCTCCGTTGAGCGATGTTTAATTTAATGCGCCTGAAAGAACTGAATTTAATCTCACTGTAAGTATTAATATGATCAGATTTGCACCACATGGACCCAATATTAAGACGTTTAATTTCTGAAATACCATCATTACATGGTAATGGATTCTGAATGAAAGAATAATGAAATTATTGTTCCTAGTATCTGCCAGTAAGTGTGACTTTCTCCATGATTCATTCACCCTTGAAGTCTTATCTGTGTATTTATCAATGCTGTAATTCAATGTATTTTTAATTTAATGTATTTGATCTGATATGAAGAGAAATATATTGTAATTTGTTTTAAGTTGTTATAATTAAAGTGAAACTTCAACCGACTGTCTCCTTTTATCAATTGTGCACAGTGTTTGTTTACTGGACATTTTAAAAGGCAGAAATTTGTGTTTAATGAAGTGCAGTACAGTAAAAGTCATTCTTTGATAGGGTAGCTTAGCAATGCATAGACAGCTGTGATGCAGGTAAAATGTCATAATATGGTTGAGGCACTGCAGGAAAATGTCCTGGTAACTGTCTAAAAGACTCCTTGTTTTAAATTGAGCTATCAATAACCATCAGGCCGAAGTCGGGCTAATGCTCAGCAGTCTAACCACATGCAAACTAGTCCATTTGTGCTAGTTTTTCAGATACAAAACAAGGAGCGGAGGTGGCTGTCTCTCCTATAACTCGTCTGTGAGAGATTCCCAGGAGCACATATTTCTTTTCAAGAAAAGCATGAGATACCTTTCATTATTGTGACTGTTTTAATTACAGGGTAATTGCCTTTCCAGTGTGCACAAGCCATCCCATCAAAGAGCTGTCCTGTGCCTGAGGTTATCAGCGGGTTTATGCATGCAAAAATAATTCTAAGAACATGTTTTTCCAAAGCCTAAGTAAGTAATTTTGGTTTGTGTCAATTCTGGTGTCCTTGAATGAGACAAACAAAGTAAGTTATAGTAACTGCTGTAAGTGGACTGTTTTCACAGGTTGTGTAAGTCCCAGGTGAGTTACAGGTTACCTTGCTTTATTCTTTGACTATTCAAAATCTCTGAACACTGAGTCAATCCCGCCCCTCTCCAAGAACAGGATAAATTCAGTGATTGGCAAGGTAAACTGACTAATAGAAAGATGTGTAGCATATGATGCTATACTGATGCATTCAATGTCACAGGAAATATAAAGGAAAGGGTAAAGCCCAAATCCAGAATTGTAGCGAGGTCGTATCTTCGGGCCGCACACGAGTCGACATCTGTATAACAACCCGAGAAAAGCAATTTTCCAATTTTTTAAATATATTTTTCCCGCCTGAAGGCTATTGTCTTAAAGATGTGCAACTATTTAAAACCGCATTCTACCTCCCCACAAAATATTTTTGCGAGAACGATCGCTTTTTCAAAAAAACAAAACAAAAAAACAGTTTAATTAAAGGTTAAAATAGCCAACGATCATTACCACCAACAAAGTCATCTTCACTCTTTTACATGTAATTATCTATTTTCCTATACACCCTGAATGCAGCGGTAGGCCGGCATAGGGGACAGGACAACATGGCTGCCGCTGCGGGCCGATACTACGGAGAAGGCGGCAGAGCAACGAAAAGACAGAAAACTGAAGACGGAGGGATGACAACGGTGAGGAGTTGTGTGTCGCCTTTAATTCAGGATTTTGTTCGTGCAAAAATAAGTTGTTTTTACCCTCTGAAAGATGAGAGTTAAGCAGCTAAACGATGCAAACCAATGCACGCTAACGCCAATCCTGTTAACGTTTAGCTAGACCAACGTTCAAATTGCCCCGGGTTTTCTTATATCAACTCTAGTTTACAACAAAAAGAATGCTTTAATAGAAATGAAACACATTTCAATTAGTTGTGCATCAAAATATGAAATAATAAGTCGCATATGTAGCATTGAGTGCAGCTTGAAGCGTTCACCCTTACTGACGCAAATCTCGACCGTTGACGTTTCCCCTCCAAGGCTAACTGACTGGAGCTAATATTTAACACTAGTGACATGCAGACGCTCTGTATCTCCATCCTCTCCACCTCCGCACTGTGACCTCGTAGCCATCATGTTATGTGTTTACAGGAGAGCTACGATGACCCTCATAAACCGCTGCCCTCCCCGGTGGTGCATATCAGGGGCCTGGTCGACGGCATCATGGAGGCAGACTTGGTGGAGGCCCTGCAGGAGTTTGGAGCCATCAGGTAACCACAGAGCTTTCATAGATGCTCTTCGTCTAATCTGACTACCAAAGATGAAACATTAGGTTAATTAACTCACATTTGGACAGTGGCTTTGATCAGGAAAACACCCCTTTTACCAACATTTGTCATGCTACACAAAGGTTGCTTTCTCAGTTGTGTTACGGTTGATCATTTACAATGGAAGATGAGGAAAGATTGATATGCAGAAGTGTAGACAATGAATTGTTACATATATATATACTCATATGAAATAAGTACATCAGTGTCTCAAATGGGAAAAGTCTGCTAAATAACAACAGGTACAGACCATGGTCCTGCAATGAAACAGAAAGCTTGTGAAAGTACAGACTTTTGACACATTCATTTAACTTCTTAAAATTTCCTAAATTTATTTTATTCCATGAAATATTTTAATTCAAGCCCCTACAAGTCATGAGAGCCAGATGTTGTGCACTTTAGCACTGCATAACTTCATCGACCATGTACACATGAGGATGAATTTAAGTGGGACTGTTTGGAGACTAGTCTAACTGCAAGATCAGTACAGTTGTGGGTGCTACTTGTTTGACATGTTTTAGTAAATGAAACCTGTTAATTTCCTTATATATTGATTTGCAGTTATGTGGTTATGATGCCTAAGAAGCGCCAGGCCCTGGTCGAGTATGAGGACATGAATGGCTCCTGTAATGCTGTGAATTACGCAGCAGAGAACCAAGTTTACATAGCAGGGCACCCTGCCTTCATCAATTATTCCACCAGCCAAAAGATCTCCCGTCCAGGAGACTCCGATGACACCCGGAGTGTCAACAATGTGCTACTGCTTACCATCATAAACCCCATCTATCCCATCACCACGGTAACTTGACTATGAAATTTACCCTACATGTTTAGTGGCATCTGTAGTGTTGTAAAGAGAAATATAGTATTATGAAAGCTTTTGATAAGATCATTCAACACATCTTTGTAAAGCTGGTTTCACGCAGACACTGCCATAAGTGAAGTTGGCTTCATTACAGTAAAGGGATCCGATGATTTTACATTCACAAAATGCTATGTCTGTGTGTGTATTCTTAAATATCTTTCTTATTTACAAGTCCTCAAGCATACAAGATAAATTATCAATATTTACATGGTTTGAGGATTCAAATAATGTGCGTCCTTTTGTTTACTTTTCTTGTAGGTAAAAATCACCACCCTCAAATTCTCATTGTTCTTGCTGTATGTTTATCTTTCTACAGGATGTGCTCTACACCATTTGCAACAACTGCGGTCCTGTTCAACGGATTGTCATCTTCAGAAAGAACGGGGTTCAGGCCATGGTCGAATATCCTAACCAATATATATTTTTAATTTAATACTCAGTGGTGGTATTACTTTACAGTGGGATAGGCTGATACTGTAAAATATGCAAATGTTTCTGTACAGTTGAGCCCTCTGACTCCCTCGAGTGATAAGACCTGACCTTAACTCAATGCCGCTACATTTGATTCGGTCCAGAGTGCACAGAGGGCCAAAGCCTCTTTGAATGGGGCAGACATCTATTCTGGCTGCTGCACTCTTAAAATTGAGTATGCCAAGGTAAGTGTATGCCTGTATCTAATCAACCTTCCACCTGTTTACAAAGCATTAGAAGTTAATGAGGGGAAACTAGTTTTGATTTCTGTCATTCAATCCCCTTTACAGCCAGCACGCCTTAATGTCTTCAAGAATGACCAGGACACATGGGACTACACAAACCCAAACCTCAGTGGCCAAGGTAACCTGCGGTCCCCTTTCCTCCATTCCCCTTTTATTTCTTCCTCTTCTCCTCTCATGGCACTGTATGGGATGTTCAGGGTTCTCTGCCTCCAGGGGTATTGCCTTTGAGCACACATAAATGTTCACCATGCTGCTCAGAGGCACTATTCCTGCGATGCCGTCACAGTCTTCATGCATTTTCTTGCCACACAGCAGGCTCAAAGTAAGGGCATGAGGAGCAACCTCAAGGGCAGCCGACCTCAGTGACAGGCTGATGCATGTGAGAAACCAACTGCACCCGTCACAGAAGCACACACAGGCGCACCATACCTCACATAGGTTCACATTCCCTGTAGAGCATGTCACAGCTGCACAACCTCACAGCTCTGCCTACTCTAGTCCAGTACACACTACAAAAACAAGCACACCTGTCAGCGTTCTTTCACACATAGTGGAGATTTTATCAAAGCTTCAATTAGCGAAACCACAGGCAAGCTCAGTGACTTGTTGTGACCACTAGGTATACTTGAGGTTAAAGGTCCCATGAAACAACATCTTTGGTCTCAGTGTGTGATCCTAGTGTTACTGGGTAAATTATTTGTGCATAAAACACAAATGCATGATGGGTGTTTAAACAAAAGGGACAGAAAAAGACACATGGCTGAAGTTCTTTCTTTGCAGTGTTTTGACATTATTTACATTGATCACAAAATAGGATCTGGCATCGCTATTGATTTGAGTATTATCTCAAAAATGTTAGAAAATTAAACTTTGAAATGTATTTTATTGACATGCACTCGTGCTGTGTGTTACACTTTTTTAGGCTGTTTATCACCGGGGGGAAAAAAGACAACCCAAACAATAGATAACAGTCATTTAAGCAGTTTCATGTCTAAAATGAGTGTCTGTGTTGCTCATCAGCAGACACAGAACAGGCTGTAAGCTGAGCTGCTGCTAACAGCACTAGCCCATAAGGTCTGCTCTGAAGGTTAGTTGCTCTTATTAAAACGAAGAAAACAACCAAAACCCAAGTAAAATAAACCCTGCTTCGTCTGATGCCTATTAAAAGGGTGCCAATGCTTTGCTGCAGGTAGCTGTAGCTCAGCAAGTTTCTGAATTATCACAGAGATGTCTAGTCTCAAACCCGATTAGACATTTTCTATCTGCAGACCTTTTATCTGTGACCTTGTGTTCAGTTGGGTTAAAGAAGATGGGCTGAATTTGGAGTTCTTTTTAATCAGTTCCGACAGCTATGAAGTTAGTCACCCCTCTGCAGGTCACTTGTAGAAGTCTTTTCAATCCATATGCTTGATTTATTCAATAGTATCACCACTGTTGTATTGAAACGCATTATGGAGAAAGTATAGTTGCTATGTGTCTGGCATGCTTTGCGCAGTGACGTGGCTGCTTGCTGCTGAGAATGCCATCTTCCTGGTAAAATACAGTAATACAATGAAATTCATCTCTGCTTTTTATACAAGTCAGTTGGTCTGTCCGATGTTAAGGATAAAGCTCACATTAGAGATGACCAGAGGGAAATAAGCGTGTTATCCAGCCACTCTGTGTTTCATGGGACCTTTATAACTAACATTAGAAACTCATTAAATTTTTAATTGACATTATTGAGCTTTCAAATTAATATTAGAAGTGACAAATAATCCAGCATTTATTTAGCGTTGACAAACACCACCGTGTGGAGATTTTTAGGGGATTTAGTCTCTATTAACATGCAAATAGCTTGATGGAGAATGTATTTGCCTTGAATCATCTGTGGTCAGTGATAGACTATTGGTGTGATTTGCCTTGTATATAGACAAGCACTTCTGTGTAAATGTACTCAGGACATATTTATGTATTTATTTTTGAGCCACACTGTAAACAAGTTTCTTTTTCCTGTACACGACGAGAACCACAACATGTACATTTCATACAGGTGTCGACATCTTTCTTGATACGCTGAGGTCTATCCAGAGGTACTCCTTGTGTCCTCACTGTGCAAAGTCATACAGGCTCACCTCAACTTCTAAGCAGACACAGTGGCTTCTACAGCTACAGTATGACAGCAACCACAGCCACAACTAATGTAAACTGCTTTGTGGCACACATTGGACACAGTGGGGCAAAATACCGGAACACAACCTCAACTCAGTACTTCCTTATTTCAAGTCCATCATCACCCCTATCTCCACCACCTGACATGGGACTCATTTACTTTTGGTGGTGGACATTAGCCGCCATTTCAGTTTGAGGGACAGAAATACTCCAAGGCCACTCGAACAGACATCTCGCATACCCACCACAGACTGACGTTGATAGATTGATAGAGGCATCTACCACCATCTCTTTACCAGTACAGCACACCTCAACTTCAAAGCCTCCAGGAGTCACCACAATGACACAACACATTGATGATGAGGGCAGGAGTCAGGTGTGTGGTTGTTGCGACCACGCCTTCCAGCCCTTGGAACGTTGCCTGCATAACACAACCACAGGGACCAACAGAGGAGTTTTCAGACACACTCAGCCTGACCAGGGAACAGACGACACCACATACTGGGGCAGTAAACAAAAAAAGAGGCCATGAAAACACAACGAGCTGAACATCCACGGCAACACACAGCTGAACCGCCATGACAGCACATCGTCACGCAGGTATTCCAGATGACTTATTGTCAAGCACTAGATGCCTTTTTACTTTGCAAGTGGCCGACACCTTTTAAACCATTTAAGCAAGCACCATGCGAGCGTCCATTTTTACATGAGAAGAAAAATCCACGGGGGGGCCTATGAAGACACAAGCATCAAACACCTATCAAGCATACAAGCACAGAGGCAAACAGATTAAAAACCCCTTTTTTTCTTAAGCTTTTCTACATTTATGGACTCTGGTGTTCTGTATTTTCCCTGTACCTTCTTCCCCATTTCCCTCCTCCTCTCTGTGCTATTCTTGTGTTTCTGCGTTGTTTCATTTTTCCCTTTTTTTGCACTGGCCCATAGTGATGCCTTTAACGCCTCCCGTGTGATGCAGGTTTGGCTCAGTGTGTCTGTGGACAGACAGCCCACTCTCAAACGGTGCAAATGTCCTGCTTTGTGGTCAGAGCACGGTAAGCTGGAAATGAGCCTCTAATTGCAACTCTCAAAACAAAGCGGCAGCAAGTCAAAAACCAAGCATGGATGTGTGGATGTACTTTTCTCTCTGGTGGTTGGGATTCAAAGAAGGAAGGAAGGAAGGAAGAAAAGACTGAAGGAGGAGAATGAGTTGAGGCTGGAGTCAAGAGGTTGGCAGGTAGCATCGTTGCTGAAGACTGCCCCCTACCTGCCCACTGTGTCCTGTGCTCCATGTGTGGTGCTGTAAGTACTTGAGAGATAGAATGAATGAATCTGACTCCATGATTTTAAGTTCTTGTAAATAAAACAACAGTTTTGTTGTCTTAAATTGTTGTAATGTTGTGTCATAAGAGCCTTTAGTCACATGAAGCAAACAGACATCAGCATTATCATTGACAAGTTACTGTCAACTTACTGTGCTGACATCGCTATTCATCAACTGTGAGAGTGAGTGCTACCAAGCAAAGGTAGAGCATTCTAGACTTGGTAGTTATCGTTGATCACTCACAGGCTAATCATTATTTCTACTCCATTAGTGAAAAAGACAGAAATATAATCAGCAGATGTGTAAATTGGGTCTGTTTTATTAGCATAATTCTGAGGTATTTTCATGTCACATGAGTAACACAACTTTGAATACTGTGTAAAATGTTGAAAAGAACAGATTTTAATGGTTTGCAAATATTTGAATCCTGTGTTAACCATTGCGCTGCACCAGCTCTCTCTTAGCAACAAGGAGACCTGTTTCTGGAGTTTTAAAAGTGAACAGTTGTCCCGTTTTACCCAATAAGGATTTTAACTGCACAACAGTTTATTTTCTTAGTGTTTGTTTTCCTTTTTCATTTGGTGGTACTCCAGATTGGTCAAGTCAGGACTGTGGGCAAACCAGTTTACCCATACTCTTAATGTGTTGCCCTTTTCCAGCCATGCTGTTTTGATATCTGCAGAATGCGGTTTGGCATTCTCTCACTATAATTTGAAAGGTCTTTCTTGTGAAAGGTATTGTCTGGCTGGAATCATATGATGCTCCAAAACGTGTTTACATTTTCCCATGGTTCTTTACTGAACGTCTTTGCCTTCCTTACCTCAGGCACTTGTGCATCCTCACACCACCACAGATGATAGCTTTGGAGCTGTGCACTGCTGACAAGCCAGGTGGTCCGTCCCTGATATAACAGAGGTTGCAGCATCTATGATTTCCAAAAAGAAAGTCAAATTTTAAAAGATCACAGAAGAGCTTTCCACCTTGCCACATTTCATCTCTTTCAGTTTTTATAGGGTTCAAATGACTTGCAAACAATCATAATCTGTTGTAAGACTTTACACACAGTCTCAGATGTTCTCTGATTAGGGTTGTAATTAGTACCCTAAGATGTCTCCTCAGACTGAAGTTTCTACCACGGAACCTTAAACAAAGGATGCCTAGGATAGCTGTAGCATGCACTTTGCAACCGTGAAGTTTTTTGCAAAGTGTGAAGTGAGGTAGTAGAACAAACAAGAAGTAGGGTCATTTGCGGCTAGACTTTAACACAGAAGTTTTGCAACCAGTAAGGTAACCCGCCTCTGTCCATCAGAAAGAGTGCAAGAGAGAGGCACTGCAGCAGATGCTACATAAATCAGCTGGTTGTTTTGGTCCTAGTAAAGAGAGAGGACATTTGTCCTTTATTTTCAGACAGGCCACTGTAACCCCTGGACAAAGTTCACCTGCTGAGATTTTACAAACATGTCAGTGTTGATTGTTCTTGACACCATGTTATAAACTTATTTGGCTGTTATGTTGGCAGGGATGCATCTCCTCGAAATAGTGTACATTGAGATGTTTTAAATATGCAACAACACTAACACTCCATGTTACAGACTTGTTTTCAATGGTTCCTTTCAAACATGTAATCCAGTCCAAATGCCTGTTATTGAATTTCTGATGTTATACCTCTGTTTTCTGTGAGTTTGCAATGACTGTCTTATTCTCTTAGTTTCAATAAAACATGTTAAGACTGCTGATACTGTTCATGGCACTGATGCAAGTTTCCTCTCAGATCTTCTTGAACATTTTGACTCAGTTTAATTGCCTAGAATTGAAAGTGATGTGTTAATGCAGTGTTGATAAATGTATACTTTTTAAAGCTGGATCTGACATGTGTGTATGTGTACCTGCACAGATGCTGATGGTGAAGGCAATTGGAACAATTCACAAGGTGTGTGTGTGTGTGTGTGTTTGTACTAGGATGGTTAATATTGGAGGTCTTTAAAAAAAGTATTTGAAAGCTTTATTATGAAAATCACTGATTTAAAAAATCTCCATTATGTCATTTATTTAGTAAGTAGAGCCTGCAGACTGTTATAACACTGAGGATGCCAGGCCCATTTGTTGCATGTGATTCACAGGCTTGTTCGTTAGCATGTAGTAACACAAGTTAGGTACTTGTTAGATTGCTTCAGCATGGAAAATGATTGAAAGTCAACTGTTTGTCTTCGATTTCAGATCCTAATGCCAATCCTAACAAACGCCAGAGGCAGCCTGCTCTTTTAGGAGATCACCCACCCGATTATGGTAGATGTCCAAATATGTTAGTCTGATGTTAAATACAATGTGAAAACTTCTCAGCATGGAAAATAACTCTCTGATTATTCCTCTAATCAAGGTGGTCCTCAGGGGGGTTATCATGCCTACAACGATGACAGCTATGGTCCTCCACCTCCTCATCGCATGGGTCCAGGTATGGGTGGACGTGGGCGCGGTGGCCAGCGTTATGGTCCTGGATATGGACCACCGCCCCCTGAATACGGTCCTCATGCTGACTCACCTGTTCTTATGGTTTATGGCCTCGATCCCTCAAAGATCAATGCTGACAAGGTCTTCAACATCTTCTGCCTCTATGGAAATGTGGAGAGAGTGAGTGAACTAATGCTTACAGTATGCCTTGCTTCAAAGTAAAAGAAATTTAGATGCTTTGCAAATCATCGAAAACACATTTTTAGTTGAAAATAGAGCAAAGACAAGAAGTATGAAAAATAAACCGTATGCTTGTTTTGAATTTGATGCTGGTACCAAGTTTCCAGAAAGTTAGAACAGCATCATATAGATTAGGTTGTATCACCTCCTCTTGTAACAGCACCCTGTAGCTTCTCGAGCTCTGAAATGAAATGTCGTCCCATTCTTGCCCGTAAGGTAATGGTAAAGAAGAAGATTAGAATTGGGTGTAGCTCTGGGTGTAAAATAGTTTAATTTATATTGAAGTCAAATTGGATTCAACAACAAAAAAAGATACATTCTCAGCGTGGAAATGTGTTTTGTGCTCTTGTTTAAATGAGTAAACTCATTCTTTCCTCAGATTAAGTTCATGAAGAGCAAGCCTGGAGCAGCGATGGTGGAGATGGGAGACTGTTACTCTGTGGACAGAGCCATCACTCACCTCAACAACAACTTTCTTTTCGGACAGAAACTCAACGTTTGGTAGGGACAGCTTTCTGAGCCTTGACAGAGGTTTACATTTCGTATGGACAAAAGGCAGAAGATAAAGTTCAACACAAAAACCTAAATATCCTCTCCTCTTTCCTTGGCAGTGTGTCAAAGCAGCAGGCTATCGTGCCAGGACAGTGTTACCAGTTAGAGGACAACACCAGCAGCTTCAAAGATTTCCATGGATCCAGAAACAACCGGTTCACCTCTCCAGAGCAGGCTGCCAAGAACAGGATCCAGCATCCCAGTAACGTCCTTCATTTCTTCAACGCACAACCCGACATCTCTGCAGAAATCTTCAACCAGGTGAGAAAAGCTAACAGAGCTTTGTCTGAAGTGGTTGTCCCCTAACCCTCCCTTAATCCACTTAAGATGCTCACTGACTCTGCTCCGGTTTTCCAGGTCTGCGATGAACTGGAAATCAAGAACCCTGCAAGTGTCAAACTCTTCACTGGAAAGAGTGAGTGTGTTGACTTTCAGCCTGTGATCATTTTAATGATTTTCAATCTGAAAAGATTGGTTTTAAGTTTACAGCTTTAAATTATGAATATGGTTTGTTTATTCATTTTTAATGGGTTCATATTGATTTTCTTGGCTGGGGTTGCTGCGTCAGGCTCATAATGTTGAAAAGGATGTCTGACAGCATTAAAAATTATATTTGTTAAGATAAAACATTTTTTTGTATCAGATGTAGCCCTAGCATTACTCTCAACAAAACCACCAGACTCCACTGACAGAAAACATTCTCTTCACCTTATTAACCAGAGGAGAGTTGCTTGTTTGTTGCTACCCTTTTTTTAGTGCAGCCTTGAAGAAGGGCATTTTGTGTGTGGTATTATGTGTTACACTACTAATGTGTTGGCTTAAAGAATTAAAAACCCTTTTGGTAGTTTTGACATAAACAAAAACAAACTCTTAGGCGGCAGTAGATCAGCAGCTCACATGTCCTAAAGGGCTGACATTACTGTTGTCAGAAGTCTGATAACATTAAACATTTTTGTGGCTGTTTCTATTTTAAAGAATGTTTAGTTCAAACAGCAGCTTACTCTCGAACCACAAAGGTTTATCACAGTAGAGGTCTTTGCACAATCCAGGCCTCTATGTAGCAAAAACAAGAACTACTTGATGACCCCAGACTTTATATTTTGTGTACAGTATCTGGCAGCTGGAGCAAATTTGCACCTGTTAACATTTGAACCCCTTGAAAAACAGTGCAGTGGTTTGCAATGGCACAATTCAACACTTTTGAAGTAAATGTTTGATCATTTTTGACATCTTTTGTGTGCCGCCAAAGGTGAACGAAGTTCATCTGGCCTTCTGGAGTGGGAGTCCATCAATGATGCCATGGAAGCTCTAGCTATGATGAACCATTACCAGATGAAAAATCCCAGTGAGTTCTCATCTCATGACTTTTACTTACCAGCCCTGTAGTGTTCATTTTGAGATTGTGACTTTTAAGTCACGTTGAGTCATAAGCTTTGACTTGATTTTTAAAAGCATGTTTTCTTTTCTTCTCCAGGTGGGCCTTACCCATACACACTGAAGTTGTGTTTCTCAACTACACACCATGCAAACTGAAACTCTCCTCTCAAGCTATTTGTAACATTTTGTCTTTGCATAGCGTATACAGTTGTTCTGTTGTCACGTCCCCTTAAAACATTCAATCAGTATTGACAAAAAAATAGAATTGATGTTAAAATGTTAATTTAACAATGACTTTATAAGATTTATTTTACAATCTTTTCAATCAGATCTTTGTTTTTTTATGTGTTGAAAACACTAGATTTAAACTTGAAGAACATTTCAATGTGGACCTCAGATTTTGTTGTTGAAACAAGTGAATGGTAATCTTCATGTCACCACTGATGTAACCAGGGCTCACACCTTGCCCACTGCAGTCAGGAAACATCCACGTCCATGCATCATGAAATAAACATCTGTTTGTCAGGAGGTTCTTAGAGAGGGAAGCAGCTGTAGTTCTCTGGATCAAGGTCAAACTAACATCTTTGCTTATACTAAAGTGGCTGTTTTGATGCCCTAACTCAAAATTCTTCTTACCACAGAGATTAAAGGATGGCATGCTCACAGGACATGGTTATCAATAAGAAATGTTTTAAGACACAATCAACATTTCAATGTCCAGTTGTTTCTTTTTTTAGTAAACAAGACTGTGAATAATAACCTGGCTGAATTTGTGATTTGTCTCTAAATTCTCTGTTGAAGTTTCTTTGTATTACTGTAAGTGGGAAACAGTGGCGGCTGCTGGTCTTTCAAGGAGGGGAAGCTCATTTTTCTGGCCTACATCATAATTGTGTTTGTTTATTTGTATGTAACAGAACAGGGTCGCCAAACACAACGGCAGTTGTTTTTAACAAAGACAAAAGTCGCTGAGGATTGGTAAAGTCTCCGGAGCAGTTAAGAACAACAGAATGAATAACTTGGAAAATGCTCTGGTAGATGTTTTATTCTTCAAGATCGCTGATTCGCTTGTTTAGCTGTCAATCAAAAAAGGTTTCGCCTCAGACTGCTCATCCAATCATGGATGCAGAAGCTCAGCGTCCGCGAGAAAGTTGGGACCACCCTCTCGTCATAGACCTCCAGAGACGCTGAGCGTCCGATGGGCGGGACAAAGCCCAGCATTTATCCAATGAGCGTCTAGTTTCGCTGCTGGAACAACCCACTTTGAGTTTCCACATTGAAGTCAGCAGACGCTGAGCGTCCGGCTGTGTGAAGCGCTGAGGCGCTGTGAGGATGAATGAGAACGAAGTTGTGCCGGTTACCTGTGATTATCAGCTTCTTATCACAGTGTGATAAGAAGCTGATTCTGAACAAAAGATGAAGGCTTTCTAGCGCGTATTTAGTTAATGAAATGTACACACAGCAGTACGTATTTCACCACTTTTTCTTTTTTTGGGGGGGTGACATTTTAAGGGAAGCTGAGCTTCCCTTGCAGTCTTAGAGCAATCGCCACTGGTGGGAAACCATAGACTGGTTCAGACAGAGGCCTCTCTGCTCATGGACCACCTGTATTTACATTTAGTCAGACTCAGTACTACACTGCACATCAACACTACTGGACTTCTTTGTACCTATTGACCAAACTCTCATTTCATTCCTCCTTTTCTCTGTCTCTCTTTTGGCAGAGAAAAGATGAACAGATCTAAATAGAAACAAAAGGATGTGTTTTTGTAAAGTTGTTATAAAAACAGACAGTCTTTGTTTCATGAAGAATATATGCCCTGCTTAAATTTGATGCTGGCCAAACATTTCAAAAAAGTTTTGATGCAGGCAAATTAACCACTTTGTTACAACTCTTCTATGTAAAAATATCGCGGACACTAGTTTCAGGAATTTTGGTTAAGTGGCATGTTTTTACCTCTTCAACAGTTTGGGGGTCTTCTTTCTTGTATCTTTCATGCCATGTTGCGCTGCTTGTTTTTAATTCAGTCCCGCAGACAAGCAAGTTTTATACCCAGATCCTTCTACCACAGAGCCATGCAGTTACAACACATAAAATGTAAGGTAAGAGAAACTTAATTGATCATTCACGGGGGGAATTCTCTGTTACAGCAGCTTCAAAACAAGATTACAACAATGTACTAGAATAGAGCAATATCAAAGCCAAAAATAGATATATAGCAGTATATACATAAGAACACTATATGTATTGCTAAATTGGCTATTGCGTAGAGTTTCAGCAGGTTGTTAGAAACCGTATACAATGATATAAAGCGAGTGCTGCAGATAAGGCATTCGTCACAACTGCACTGTAAAAATATATGTTAGCAAAGATTGTGACCTAATTTATTAATGATAATAATACTATTATACTATACACTATGTTTAAAATGATATGTTAACAACAGGAAGCAAACAAGATGCTTAGAATCACTACCATCTGGAAACTTTTAAAGCCCCTCACTGGAGTGGCTTTGAAATGCTTGGTCGCTTTTATTATTTTTTTATTTTTTTTATTTTTTTTTTGCATTGTCGTGACTCATATTTTGCTTACAACAGAATACATTGCAGTACAACACAAAAGCTTTATTTATATCCAAAGGAAAATTCTGAAGGTCTGCAATCTCATAAAAAATATCTGGTTAACAAACTGTTTAAATCCAGTCAGGTGAGAGGAGAATGTGACATGGTTAAAGTCTCCTGCTATTATTACATTATCTTGTTTATATGCAGAAAAAGTGTTTTCTTCTGAAAAAAAAAAAAAAAAAAAAGCTCACATTTCTCCATTTAAAAATGACTTAAACCCACAAGATGTTAAGACTTGCTGTTGTTTGGAACTTCCACCCATCTGAAAGCTCCTGTGAAGAGATTTCAATGCTTGTGTAGTATTAAATTTAAAAAAGAAATCAATTGTGCTTTTAAAAAAAAAAAAAAAAATGTAATTATGAAACACTCAATAGGGGATCAAATGAGGACTTGCAAACAATGGCTCTAACAAAAGCATTGAAATATGAGTTTGTAAATAAAATAAAGTTGATATGTTCATGTTGAAAAGTAGTTTAAGATTTTAAAAATATGTGTCTGATTCTGCACGCAGTATCTCCTCAGGGAGGTGGTCCCAGAGTCAGAGCAGTAGATTAAAACAGAGTGGCGACAACTTCAGATCTCGCCGCCGGAGCGGTCACGTGGTTCATGTACCCCTCCATAGTTCCAAACGCAGCCTGCACTGTCCATGCTCTTCAACGGGGCAGACTGCAGTGAGCGCGCATTTAAGAGGTAAATATTAAAATTAACCGTAAAAAGTCAACATTTGCAACTCTTATTGGATTACTGTGTACACGTCAAAGTCACGTACGCATATTTAGCGGCTGGATGACAAATAAAAGTGAAATAAGACAAGTTTGGTAACACGTGTTACTTTTTAATAAGAGAAAATAATACAATAAAGTGGTAAGTAACAGGTGTTACAAGCTGTTTAAACAATTGTGCAATGTTTTGGTCTTGCAGCATGGCCTGCATAACTTTTTTCCATGTTAAACATACGCCTTAAATGCTGACAGGATTTAAAAAGTAGCGGCCCCTTAACTCTATCATCCCATAAGCAGAAATCAAATTACATAGCACTTATGTTAGTCTAAAAAGAATAAATTGCATATAACATCGGGAACTGATAAAGGCTGAAATCTAAAATAAAGCCCACAAGTAACCATCTCAACATATGATTGATGATGATGATTTATCTGTGATTCATAACTCAGTCACACAATAGATTTTGGCAGGCCTCTACAGCTGACGACGTCATGCTAGCAGGCCGTGGCTAAAAAATCGATCCCAATTCCTTACTAAAAAAACGTAATTACATTTGTAATTAAAATTTGAGCATACTAAAATTAAAATCATTTTACATATAAAGGGGTCCCTCAATACCATTTACACACGTATTGGCATTACATTCGTTGATACAATATTTTACCTCGGGGAGTGTGGGAGCAAACCGTGGCTAAAAAAACGATCCCAATTCCTGACTAAAATAACATAATTACATTTGGGATATACATTTTTACATATAAAGGGGTCCCCTCGATATCAATAACACATGTATTGGCATTAAACTTGTTGATATTTTATCATTTAACCTCGGTGAGCGCTTGCCTTGTGGCCATAGAAGCGAACGGCGTCCGACGTGACAGGCGATCATGTTGGAACTATTACGAGTTCCATAACCCGGAAGTGGGGTCCGCCGGGCTGTACAGCGTATGTCTATGGGAGTGTCGCCACTCTGTTTTAATCTACTGCTCTGCCCAGAGTCGATGGGCTCCGAAGGAAAAAGCTCTCCTAGATTTGAGCCTCGACTTTGGAACGACCAGCAGGACACGTGAGGATCTCAGACTGCGGGACGGCCCTAATTTGGGACAAAACCCAGACAAGCTTTAAAAGTGACCAATAAAATCTTACAATCACCCGCCGAGAAAGACAGATTTATTGGTGAATCCAGAGAGGAGGACGCTAAGAGTTATCGAAACGAGTGAAGATGAGAGCATGGATCACCTTTACCAGGATTGCTTGGGGTATATTGATTTAATCTGGGAGAAAGACCTTTAATGAATGAAACAAGATTGGACAAGATAGAAAATATCTTTTTTTTCTGTAATTGTGTTTGCTTTTTTCAGCCATAAAAATACACAAATGATTTTTTCAGTCCCCATTATAACCAGATTAAAAAAACACCCCACATGAGCTGTAAGGAGAAAAATTAAGCTAAACTTTAAAATGATATATAGAGGGGTTAAATTAGCGTATTATATTTGCGTTCTTTCGCTTTCTGGTTTTATGTATATTACTTTATTCTTCGAAAATGAAGATTGATGCGTTTGGGGATAAAAACTACAACTCCCATGACGTCTTCAGCCTCGGTCGCGTAGGTGTTTCCGGTGTCTTATGACATTTTACTTCCTTCCACACAGACCGACACGAACAAATCGAGAAAGAAGACATCGCTAACTTTTAAAAGCTGTAGTTTACAGTCACATTTTTAGCTAAGTTTTCGTTTTATTGTCGTCTTAAAATGCGCGTAATGTCGCGAGAGGTGTCTGAGAACTGAGGTATCGCTGAAAACCGTTGACGTAGCGTGCAGGCCTCTGAAGAAAGTTTGGTCGCGGGCCTGTAAACAACATGTCCTCCGCCTCGCAGTCCTCCTCTAGACGGCAATGGTGCTACCTCTGCGATCTGCCCAAGATGCCCTGGGCCATGCTGTGGGAGTTCAGCGAGGCAGTCTGCCGGGGATGTGTCAACTACGACGGCGCGGACAGGATAGAGCTCCTCATCGAGACTGCCAGGCAGCTGAAGAGCACTCACGGGGTTTTAGACGGCAGATCCCCCGGTCCTCCGCAGGGGAAACCCAGCTCTGCGGGGCCCATTGAAGCGGGGCGGCAGCATGCAGAGCGTATAGAGAGGGGGAGGGGTGAGTATGGGGTATCCTCTCGCCTCCCGAATGGGCTGCACAGAGCTGAGGATGTGGCTCTGTCAGAGGGCAGCAGACAGAGCCCAAACACTCGCAGGGCTGTGGTGGGAGCAGTCCCCAGTCTCCACGGCACCATCTCCCACGCTTTGATAGCTCAGGGGTTAGTGGCAGCCCCACATGGCCTCCTAGCTCCATTATCAGGCTCCAGGGCAGGGGCCACACCTATTGCAGTCTCAGCTGGTCCCATAATGGGTGAAGCTGGCAGGAGACAGGCTGTGTCTCTGGGTGTGGGGGCCAGCACCTCAGCCCTGGTGGGCATCGACCCTGCAGTGTGGAGGAACAATGAGGTAATGGCTGAACTGAATGAGGTGGCTCGCAGCAGGGTCGAAGGCTGGCCCAACCGTCCCAAAGCAGTCCGGGATGTCCTCGTAGCTCTCAGCAGCTGTGTTCCCTTCAACGTCCGCTTCAAGAAAGACCACAACCTGATGGGTCGGGTCCTGGCTTTCGACGCTAGCAGCACCCCAGAGTTTGAGCTGAAGGTGTTTGTGGAGTATCCAGCTGGCTCTGGGATGATCTTCTCAGGAGTCCCAGACCTGGTCAGGCAGATGTTTCGAGACTCGGCCAAAGACGCAGGTAAAGTGGTGAACTCTGGGCTCCGTTATGTGGAGTATGAGAAGAGGCAAGGCTCGGGAGACTGGCGTGGACTGTCTGAGCTGTTGAATGATGGGGTTCGGATGTTTAAAGAGCCACCAATTCCAGAGGTTCTCCCCCAGCCAGATCCAGGGTTGACCATGGCAGCAGTTGGGCGTCCTGGACCTGCAAAGGGTGCAACCCGCCGCCGTAAAGCTTCACCAGGCTCTGAAAATGGAGAGAGTGAAGGGAGACCTGATCATCCTGCCAGAGAGCCGTGGCCTCGGGGTGCGTACTCAGGCATGGAGCCCCTTCCGGGCATGGCTGCCCCTCCAGAGGGTCCGCCCCGTCTACACAGCCAGCCCTCACCGATCTCAGCACTCATGGGTGTCGCAGAAAGCCTGAGCTCCAACCAGATGGCCAGAGACAGCCCCAGCATGTCCACAGCCCACTCCTCCTCAGCTGGGCATCCAACCAGCAGCAGCCCCTCCACCGCCTCCACCTCAGTCTCCCAGGCAGCCATGGTGCAGGGTCTGAGCACAGCAGGGCAGAGCAGTAACACCAGCGCTGGTGAGTCCACAAGCAGCGGTCAGGGCACGCTGCTATGTTGCACCCTCTGCAGAGAGCGCCTGGAGGACACTCACTTCGTCCAGTGTCCGTCTGTCCCCCATCACAAGTTCTGCTTCCCCTGCACCCGAGGGTTCATCCGCAGTCAGGGGCAAGGTGGGGAAGTATACTGCCCTAGTGGAGAGCGCTGTCCCCTGGCTGGATCCACTGTGCCTTGGGCCTTCATGCAGGGAGAGATCTCCACCATCCTGGCCGGAGATGGGGACGTGACAGTAAAGAAGGAGAGTGACCCTTGACGTCTCCATCCTCATGTGGTGAATGGTAAGACACTGACTGAGAGGAAATTTGGGAGCACTTCAACATTAAATCAATTTAATTCAAAAACAGATTTATTCACAGAAATGGTCTTAATTATTGATCAGCAGTCCTCTCATATTGATTGTTTTAGAAAACAAAAACGACACCAGTGTTCCTAAAGAAGTCGTCTTTGGTTTGTTTTCCACTTTAACTTTTGGTGAAAACCATTGCTTGTAGTTGGTTCATTAGGAATTTTAGATATCAAGAAAAACTTTTCTTTCAGATTTTTAAAATTCATCAGGTACACAAGATAAAAATGTTTCCTTGGAATCAAGTTAATTTCTTGCAAATTTACAGCTTATAATGGTGATCACCACTGAGACAGGATGACCCATGCTGACCTAAAACCTTTATCTATGATTAAATTTGGGTCATTGTAATTTCATTCAGGAATATCCCCATCCATGCCATATTAGTTTTAAATATATATATACACACGCGCGCCCCCAGAGTCTTATCTTATGAATATGTAAAGGTCATGCGATGAAAACAATTTTATCTGCAGTTGCTAAAAATAATTTAATCAAAAAAATATCTCTAATAATCCATTCAGTAATTTGGCCTGTGTTGAAATTAAGATCATATGCCATCATTGACAGACACACATTAAAAAACCATCATCGTAATCCAGGCTGCACGCAATCTATTTTCCACCTGTAGATTTTTTTCAACATGTTGAAAACCAGTCAGTCCTTTTTTCTTTTTTAAAAAGGTTTTAAAGAAATACTCGATGTCTTTGCGTCATTTAAAGATTTCTTTAACTGATTTTTGTAGTTTTAGACAGTGACTATCATGAGACCACTCTTAGATGCAGTTTAACAGAATCAGCTGTTTTGACAAAAGTAGATCAAATAATGAAGAATCAACAAACTGAACCATGTCTAGTCATCTGTACCCTGTGATAATTCATTTTGTCAAGCAGCCTCTCATTTCGCTATTGGCTTAATTTCAGCGTTTTATCAAAAACAAATTCAATGCACTTTCTGATTTGTCCTGGATATTGAACATATCCAGATTTCTATCAGTAGAAGTGACAGCTTGTAAGAGCAGGAAGACATGACTTTGTCTTTGTGTTTGCACTTTGTATAATAAAGTAAAAACTGTGAAGTCAGATGTGGAAATAAAGTTACACTGCTAAAGAATTGTATCAGAATGAAGGAAAGATTTAAAAGCCAAAATTTAGATTATATTTGTGATGAACAGTATCCAAATGTTCAGCATAAATGTTGTACAGTAGTCCATTAATGAATATTTAGCATGAAAGTTGAAATGGAGAAAACTGGTGCTCATTGAATAAGAATATTCAATATTCAATAAGACTGAGGTTAAACTTTCAGAAGTAGTTAAATGCTCAGAGATCAAAACATTGTGGGATAAGTCATATGAAGAGACCAAAGTCTAGCTTGGGTTTAAGTTATAAAACCAAGTGAAAACATTTAGTGCTGAATTATTGAAAACAAAAAAAAAAAAAACAGTGAGAAGATTAAGGTAAGATGTTTCATCTCCTTTTAAAGTGATCCTGCACAGGGAGGTATGGTGCAGACATAAGCAGACATGATAATTAACAGCAAAAAAACAAACCGAGTCAAAGCAACAAAACAAGGTGATAGAAATCAATTCAGGAGATCCTGCTCAGGATGATCCACTAAATTAGAGAATTGGATCAAGATGTCGGAGTAAATTAAAAATTGCCCAGAACGAAGTCAAAATAAAGAGATCAACACCTCAACACTGTAAAGCTCGCCTACCTGGATGTAAGCAAGCACAGACGATAGACAGTATTTCAATGTAGTGCAGTTTGCCAGTATGTGATCTAAAAAAATGGAGATAAATTTGGATTTAAGTTGTATCTTATTCAGCAGGCATACAACCACTTGAACAAAGCAATGTGGAACCGCAACAGACATGTGGACTGTCACCTGCAAAAGGACTGAAGGCTGGTGGTGCTAGCCCTGCTAACGTTAGCCACTCTTTGTATCTTATTGCACACTCAGTGATTTGGTGTTTCACAATAGATTTTACCCAAATTTGACTGTTTTTTGAGTGTTTTCTTTCCCTTTGACTTGTAGGTTTGTTATAATTTAAAGTTCTCCTGTAATGACAGTCCTTGGCAAAATCCAAAATGTTCCTCACACCCCAAATTTCTTATAGTTAAGCTCCAACCTGACACACCAGGTATACGCAACGCAGGGAGACGCAACAATTGTGTATAATGATGTTTTGTTTTTTTTAAACAATTTAGTTAAAACTTCAGACATTTAAATGTTGTGAAAATTGATATATGAAAGTTGTATTTATATATTTTATCGTTGTCTCCCCTTCTTGAGGTGAATGTCTCCAACAAACTTCATGTCTCTGATCTTTCTCAGAGACGATTCCCACGCTGATTTTTCTTGCAACATCTGATCAAAAAAAAAATATTTGTCCAACAGGTGACTTATTTTGTGCTTGTAAAAAAACAAACTAATCTCCGAATTAGCTTTCAGTCATCCTAACCAACCAGCATTTAATATATGCCATAAAGATAAAGACGGGATGCACCAGATCCAGCTAAATGTCAGCTACTGATAATAGTATGTGACACATCTTAAACCAATAACACGACATCTGTCAACAGAGTAATGCTGTGTTCAAGTTCGAGTCCATTTAATGTAAAGTTAAAGAAATGTAATTTCAGATCACTTGAGTTATGACCGATTACAAACCGAATTACAGACACATCTACAGTAATAGTCTGCGGTAAGAGCTGCATCTAAAGGTTACTAGAATGAACATTTTTAACAGGCAAGATGCAATTTTCATGGTGAACAGAAAACGTTTTGAAAATTGAAGCATTTGTTTATTTTTTTCATTTGCTGTTTCTGCTGCTGATTGATTGTCAAAAGTAGAAGGTCCACATCCAAACAAACATTTAACTAAATGTGTTAGATGTGAAGCTGAGAAGTGTTTCTGTTATTTGAAAAACAAAAATATGAATATGAAAACTATAATAAAGAAGAAAACAGCCAAATGTGTTGTTGCTGTCAGGAAAGTTAATGAATCCTAACCTGTTTTTTTTCTTCTCTCCTCACAGTGGATCAAACACTTTGAAAGCACTTCCCAATTACGACAGCAGAGGTCCACTTTGTCTGCAGCTCATGATGTGTGCCTCTGAGAGCAGAAAAACTCAGAACCAGGAGGAAGAGGAGGAAGAAGACAGCTACACAAACACAGAAACTAAAGACACAACCAGACTCACTATGAGCAGAGGGACACGTCCGTCTGTCAGGGCTGCCGCATCACCACTGAATGTTAGTCCTGACCAAAAGTTTAAAGCCCAGGATAGAAGCACACGCTTGTTTTTAAAAACGACAATCTTCTTTGTCTTTCATTTGTGTTTTTTGTTCTCGTTGTTGCATACTACAGATGGACGGCGGCGGTAAAAGATAAATGCAATTCTTCAAAAAACAAATGAATGTTCAAAATGTGGCAGAAACCATGGGGTCCTTAAAGCCAAGGATTAAAAATGTAATCCCACAGTATGTCTCTTAGGTAATCTCCTTCTATTGTATGTCAAAAATGTGAATTTACTTTCAATATGGCTATGTAATTTCTATTTTTGATACAATACAAAATTTATATGTATTTGTTTATAGTGATAAGAAGACCAAAGATGGCTTCATGCTCAATGTATGTTTATTGTATTGTAGCTGTGTATGCTGTACTCACTGATAACTTCAGCATCAGTCACTAATTTGTTCATCTATCACAGACGTAAGCTTGTTTTTGTCTATTTACTTTTTGAATTCTATGTATGGTAAAGATAATTAGCACCACGATCTTCAATGGATAACCCACATACTCATGTGATCTGAACAGGTCAATTCTACAATAAATGACTAAATAGATACTACCGCTGCCTTATTCTGTGACCTGCAGTGTCAAATAAGCAGCACATGGTCAAAAGTTTAATGTTTTTATGAAACTTAATTTGACAAATAATAAATGTGAAAACCCACACCATGGATCATAAAAACAGTTAGCTTTTTATAGGCACAGAACCAACATTAACCATTGACCCACAGCTTACTCAAACACTGCGCTGTTAAACTACAAAGTGAGCGGGGAAATGAAGAGTACTCAGCTGTTTTTAAACATTAAAAGTGGTTTGGACCCAAATTTCTAAGTGCAAAAGTAATGTAACAGCAACAACCCGAGACTGTATTTGAACTGATTCAGACTCAGTGACATCTCTAATTTGCTTAAGCAGTGGGGTGGGGAATTTAAGAATAGCAGTTAAGAGATATGAAGTGCTGACTAATCTTTTTGTCGACCTCAAAAAAAGGGTCTGGAGCCTCCTGGCAAACCGTTTCAAATCACCCACCTGCCTGTAAACCCAGCTGTACACCTGATTATATTAAGGCATACAAAGCTTTAATCTAAACACAACAGAAGAGAGGGGCCATGAAAAATACCTGAGATTTGCCTTTTTTTTTCTCAGAATCTGAAAATTAATATTCAGATTATTCTATCTTTGATTTCAGGATCAAAGAGATTCTTAAAAAGTCAATTCTGAAAAATAGGAAATCTGAGGGAAAAAGTATCTCAGAATTTTTATAATTGTCATAAAGGCAGAATTTAGAAGTTTCATTTGTTTTTTTGTTCTTGATTTTTCCCCTTGGTATCATGTTTGTTGGTTTGTTTTATGTTAGGTAATTTATTTATTTTTTAATTTAGGTATGTCATGTCCCCTGTACTAGAAAAAATGTCTTAAAATTCAAAGATAAATGTAGGAATCCAGACCCTTAAAAAAGTAAATTTAAACCCCCAAAAATCCTAAAGAAAACTTACCAAAATTTAAAACAAATGGAATAAAATTATGAAAAAATCACAATTTTAAAGAATTCTCAGATGAAAACCATTTGAGATTAAATTTGGGATTAAAGTCAGTTTGAGAAAAACAGTTCGGATTATCAGGAAAAAAGAATTAGAATTCCAAACTTAATTTTACATTCATGAATTCAGAATTCTAAGAAAAAAAAGTAATAAAAAAAAATCTGACTTTTTTCCCTGAATTTCTTTAGGGTCAGACACGTGGTATTTAAACCAGAAGTCTGACAACTAACTCAGAATTTACTGAGGGAAAAGGGTCAGACCTGAAATAAAATGACAGCGACCGTGAACCTCTTTAGTATATTGTTGTAATAAATGAGTGTATGAGTTTTGTTTACAGAGAAATACGATGTTCTAACTTGATCTGTCATTTGCACCAGTCAGTGAATATTCACCTCTGTTGTGAAGCTTGTCAGTGTCACATGGGTGTTAAAGGGATTCCCTGACACTTGGAACCAGCCTCTTGTGGACTTTAGAGGAACTGCATTTTTTCACACATCAACCCTGACCTCATTACAACGGTGGGGGGTGCTGCCCAAACCCTAGACTGTGAAACTAGTATGGAGAGCCTATCAGTGCACCTGCTGGTATAGACAGAGTCAACTGCAAGGGACCAAACCTGAAGGAGGACAGCTGTAACTGCCTGAAGTTACCATATGAATCATTGAGAAGAGTGTTATTACCATAGCCACAGGTACCCACAATAGTGTACTTGCAGATTGATTTACAACTTTTCATGATGAGGCGTAGTTTGGCAACAGCGCCCCCTAAAAACAAGTAGGACTTTCAGTAAGAGTCTACAAATTTCCTCCTCCATAGCAAATCATTTTCATTTTTGATGATATTTCTCGTCCCGTCTTTAGGAGAGATGTTAAGGATGACTACATCAAAAAATCATGTGTGTAGAGCAAAGGGCGTGGCCATGGCGACCTTTTCACTTTGATGTTTTTACACCAGAAATGAGCCACAACACTCAAAGGCAATCAGAAGCTAAAGCCATCACAATTGTCCTGGCTGCCATGGAGAGCATAGCATGGGGGATGACAGGCTGTGTGACCGAGCAGTGGTCAGCTGGGGGGGCTATGCACAGGGGTGGTGATATGACACCGTTCGTGCCCGTTGATGCCCCGTAGGACTCCAGTTTTATTTATATTCTGAATTTACACAGGACTTCTGCTGCATATTTATATTTATACTTTTATTAATTATCTGGACTTATATTTAAATTCTTATTTATAACTTGGACTTACACAGGACTTATGCTGCATATTTGTATTCATATTAATATTGTGGACTTACACTGGACTTCTGCTGCATATTAATATTTATATTCATATTCATATTTATATTGTGGACTTACACTGGACTTCTGCTGCATATTAATATTTATATTCATATTCATATTTATATTGTGGACTTACACAGGGCCTCTGCTGCATATGTATATTCATATTTATAATCCGGATTTACACAGGCCTCTGCTGCATATTTATATTTATATTCTGAACTTAAACAGGACTTCAAATGCATATTCATATTTATATTCTGAATTTACAAATAACTTCTGCTGCATATATTTATATTTATATTCTGAATTTACACAGGACGTCTGCTGCATATTTATATTGTGGACTTAAACAGGAGCTATGCTGCATATTTATATTTATATTTACAATCTGGATTTACAAACGACTTGCTGCATGTTTATACTTATGACCTGGACTTACACATGACTTCTGCTGCATATTTATATGTATATTGTGGATTTACACAGGACCTCGGCTGAATATTTATATTTACAGTTATAATCTGGAATAACAAAGGAAATCCACTGCATATTTTTACAGTACATTTATATTGTTGATTTACACAGGAGCTCTGCTGCATATTTATATTTATAATCTGGATTTACAAAAAACTTTTGCTGCATGTTTATACTTATATCCTGGACTTACACAGGACCTCTGCTGCATATTCATATTCATAGTTATTATCTGGATTTACAAAGGACCCCTGCTGCATATTTATATTGTATATTCATATAGTTGATTTACACAGGAGCTCTCCTGCATATTCATATTTATATTCTGAATTTACACAGGACCTCTGCTGCATATAATTATTTTGCACATAGATATGAAATGCTTGTGGTACTGAAAGAATACAATATTGCAGGACTTTTGCTCAGTTTTAATAAGTGGGTGGCTCTTAAAAGAGCCGTTGTGGTGTGTATCCTTGCAGGGTACTGTTCCCTCTGCTGAGAAATATGCTGTGAAGCCTTCCCTGACCCGGATGGCTTCTCTGGATGAGTTGTTGGATCCAACCATAGACTGTATATAGAATGGACAGAGTCTGCCTCCTCGCTGGGTGAAGCCACTCCGAGAACAGCACCCTCTGTTGATGGGCTGCAGTATAGGTCATAAATCCTGCCTCCGCCAGCAAAGCTTATGGAGCTGTGGACAAACACTAGAAATTTATTACACAGAACATAATTTTTTCTCCCCCCTGCTTGTGATGTTGACATGTAGTTATTGTAAGACTGGTTTGTGCTCAAGTCCTCTTTTCTGTGAAGCTCAGTTTTTAAAAGTTATTAGGGGGTTCATGTTGGCTATGATTGACACCTGATACAGCCTATGGGCGTTCAGGGATTGCGTAGCCCTCCCGGGGGACACGCTGTTTGAGCCGAGCGTCATCACAGCGACTCTCTGCGATTGCGCGGCCAAATGCGCGCATTGCTACTGCGCAGCGCTGGTTTCAGGAAATGAAGAAAAATCCCGGAAATACCGAGAGCTTTTTGGCTTCAAATCCGTATACAGGCGGTAGGCGGAACCAAGTTGTCCATAGTATATACAGTCTATGGATCCAACTCTACCCAGACCTGGCAGTGGCTGCACCTCACTGCTCCCCAACTCTGCAGATGCCTCTGTTGAGCTCTGTATGTAGTTGTGGAGAACACAGTTGTCTTCACACATTTCTCTGGAATATCTGGATTGATCTCAATGGCATGCTTGTATATCCTCCACTGAAGGCATCTCCACAACCAGACAAGCTTGGGACAGACAGTAGTTGAAGACCCGTCTCTCTCATTTCTTGGTGACCAGGTGGAGCATATGAAGATCAGAAGCTGGTACTTCCTTCATAAAGTCATAAAACTATTATTCGATAAATCATATTAAACAGATTCAGACGCTTACTTTACTTATACTTACTTTCTCCAGCCTCAGGGACCGAGAGGAGCTCAGGAGACCATGTAAGACAAAAGTGAGATCAGACAAAGACTGGTTAGCAAGAAGGTCATCAAACGATTATTCAATAAATCATATAAAACAAATATAGAAGCTTATACTTACTTTCTTTGGCCTTAGGGACCAGGAGGAGCTCAGGAGACCATGTAAGACAAAAGTGAGATCAGACAAAGATTGGTTAGTGAGAAAGTCTTAAGTTGTTATTCAATAAATTATATTAAATAGATCCAAAAGCTTATACTTACTTTCTTCAGCATCAGTGTCCTGGAGAAGTAAGACCAAGATCGTTTAGTGAGAAAGTCTTAACTATTGTTCAATAAATGATATTAATATCAAGTAAAATTTGGTCTGATATAAATGCTTATACTTACTTTTTTGGTGTGGCACACAGCCACTCATGTGGGAGAGAGAGAACGGTATTCAAGTGTAAGTAAAACTGGCAAATACTCTTTGACTTGTAATGACAACAATATAGGACATAAATGACAGCAATAGAGTAAATTTAACAGAAATGAGCAGTAGGAAGTTTATTTTATCACTGACAACCACATGTGAGAGAGTCTACAGTCACTGGTTTTGGTGCTGTTCTTTAAAAATCCTAAAAAAATTGTTGTTTTAACCAGTTAAAACTTTGACAAATAATTTAATAAATATTATGAAACGACGCAAGTCCATCCTGAGGCGTCACCAGTCCAGCCAGACACAAAGACCGGCCTTCAGGGTTCAAGAAAGTAGATCCAACAGTCGTGCCAGAGGAAAAAAAAGTGATCTTGCCCAGCCAGACACAAAGGCAAGATTATAAAGGGTCCATAATCCCATAAATATAAAGAAATAAATTGGGTCCAGGTGCCAGACACTACCTGCGACACTGAAAGCCCTGCCAGATGCAAAGGCTGCTCGGGGTAAGCTTGCCCAGCCAGACACAAAGGCAAGACTCTAAAAAGGGTCCATTATCCCTGATAAATAAAGAAATAAAGGTTCCTTGTGCAAGACGCTACTAAGGTTTTCCAAAGTCCTTAAAAAGAAGGAAAATGTCATCCACAGGATTAAAAGGGTCCATTATCCCTGTCCTGGGAATCAAAGGTCCTGGTGTGAGACACTCCTCTGGGTTTTAAAAGTCCATCCAGATGTGAGGAGTTCCTTGGATTGCTGTTTCTGTCAGCCGCAGAGGACAGGTGTGGCTTCATCAATCCTGCCAGTTGAGACTGATGGTTCCTCCAGTGGTGAAATGAGGCGAAGCAGGAGAAGAGAAATCAGGCAAAGCAGGAGAAGAGAAATCAGGCAAAGCAGGAGGGGAGAATAAGCTTAAAGGAAAGCAGGAGCAAAGAGACAGAGAATGGCACTCCTAATGAGCCAATCTCGGTCTCTTTGGTGCAGGTGTCTCCTCCTCATCAATGTCCTCCCTCTACCGCCGCCTTCCCCTGACAGAGGAAGCAGGAGAAGCAGCAGGGGAGGAACCAGGAAGAGAAGGAGAGACATGAGGAGAAGCAGTGGAAGAGGAAGCAGTAAAAGAGGAAGCACAGGAAGAGGAAGCAGTAGGGGAGGAAGAAGAAGCAGAGGAGAACGAAGCAGAGTAAGAGGAGGCAGAGGAAGAGGAAGCAGAGAAAGAAGAAGCAGAGAAAGAGGAAGCAGAGCAAGAGGAGGCAGAGAAAGAGGAAGCAGAGGAAGAGGAAGCAGTAAAAGAGGAAGCACAGGAAGAGAAAGCAGAGAAGGCAGAGGAAGAAGAAGCAGAGGAGAAGGAAGCAGAGGAAGAGGAGGCAGAGGAAGAGGAAGCAGAGCAAGAGGAGGCAGAGCAAGAGGAAGCAGAGGAAGAGGAACCAGAGCAAGAGGAAGCAGAGGAGGAGGAGCAAGTAGAGCAAGAGGAGGCAGCGAAAGAAGAAGCAGAGGAAGAGGAAGCAGAGGAAGAGGAGGCAGAGGAGGAGGAGGAAGCAGGGGAAGGGGAGGCAGAGAAAGAGGAAGCAGAGGAAGAAGAAGCAGAGAAAGAGGAAGAAGATAAAGATAACAGAATCAGAGAAAAAAGAAAAAGAGAAATAAGAGAAGTCAGAGGGAGGGGGAGAAAATGCAGGAGAAGGAGGAGGCAGAGCAAGAGGAGGAGGAGGAGGAGCAGGGGCAAAAGCATGAGGAGGAGCGTAACAGAAAACAGGAGGAGGAGCAGGGGCAAAGGCAAGAAGGGGGGAGCAGGGGCAAAAGAAGGAGGAGGAGCAGGGGCAAAAGCAGGAGGAGGAACGTAATGGAAAACAGGAGGAGTAGCAGGGGCAAAAGAAGGCGGAGGAGGAGGGGCAGGGGCAAAAGCAGGAGGAGAGACAAAGATAAGAGTGCGAAGAAAAACAGGAAGAAAAGCAGGAGGAATACCAAGAATGAAAGCAGGGGGAAGAGCAAGAATAAAAGCAGGAGGATGAGCAGGATGAAAAAGTGTGGGGGAGGAATAAGATGAACAGCAGGAGGGTAAGCAGGGTTAGAAACAGCAGAAGAGGAGCCAGAGGAGGAAACAAGAGAGGAACCAGAGGAAGAAGCAAGAGAGGAAACAGAAACCGGAGAGGAAGAAGAGGAAGAAGCAGGAGAGGAAACAGGGGAAGAAGCAGGAGGGTTAGCAGGAGGAGGAGCAACAGTGGCAGGAGGAGCAGCAGCAGGAGGAAGAGCAGGAGCAGCAGCAGGAGCAGCAAGCTGGAGGGCACCACCTGAGGGAGGAAAGGTTTTAAAGGGTCAAAATCTGTACATCCATAAAAGAGAATGAGACATCATGAGGCCTACAGGATCATTCATGGTATTCTGCTGTTTGACTTTTCGTGACCCCTTATCAACGATAACTGCAGTTAAGATGCTGATTTGTTACACTCATTCTCTTCCTTGTATACATATTGTGGGAATATTTTTTTACAGAGTATTTGTAAGGGTGTTTTTAAATTTGTATGTTAATGCCAGTCAGCATGGTGCGCGCCTTCACTTCCGGTAAAGGGATTGTCTGCATTTACCGAGTCTGCTCTCTGTCAGTGTAGTGGCAGAAATAATGGCTACCACACAATCAATTATTGGCTGTGTCTGAAATTAATCACTCAATCCCTAACCCCTAACCCCCATATGGGGTTTCAGATATAGTTGACTATGTAGTGAACTCAATCACTGGAGGTTTTGGACACTACATGCCAAGACGCAATGCATGACGGGATGCCCACCACCTGTGAGTGACCATCGGATGGTCACTACATTTTGCAATGCTTTATGGGAAATTTTGAGTTGCCTATATGAGGCACTGGAATTGATCACTTACGTTTCGGACACCCCATATAGTCACCTATATAGGGGTTAGGGATCCATTTTAGACACAGCCATTACTATTTTGAGTATCCTTTAGAATTAGAAACTCCTTTTTGTCTTTTACTCAAAGACGCACAGTATACTTCAGTCTCAACTCTTATGTCTATCTATTATTTAAACAGACTTCATAAAGTGGTTAAACATTCGAAAGAAGTGGCCCAGGTGCCATCTTTGAAAATGTTATTTCTACAGTTAATTTTGAAAGTTGAAGTCTTTACACCATACACACGAGTAAATAAAAGATCTTTCACCTTAACACACCTCAATTAATAAGTTTTACCAATTTCCCCAGGCAAAATTAGACATTTCTGACATTAAGGTGGTTTTGGGTCAAGCTGTCTTAAGAGTGGAATTCATAACTCGGTTCCCACAACTGGTTGATTTAACTTCAAATAACTGTTGATTCTTACACTTTAATCCTACTTGATAGATATGCACTATATCTAAAATCATTTAACATGTAAATTTGAGGGAAATGGGAGGATTTTATTGAGAAATTTTAAAGCTGTCTTACCTGTCTCACTGGACAGGATGCGCTCCGCCTGGCATCCGTCGGCAGCCATCTTCCGTTTATTTCGGACCCGCAGGTGTTTTTCCTTGGCAGTTTTTCCTTCTTGGTGTTCTCCTCAGGTGTTTTTTCTTCTCGGTAAGACTCAGTAAGGTTTGTAGTCCAGGTGAATTTCGCTTTTCCAAAATATTGTCTTCTCAGTTGAAAGTTGTGCGCAAGCCTGCCAGAGGGAAAAGGTTGAATAAAAACATTTTTTATTCAACTGTTCGTTTCCAGACCACAGACCGGATATAAAGAGTTCTGATATACCTGAGCAAGATATACATTTAGTACAAGCAGGGGCAGATCTACCGGGGTGGCATAAAGTGGCAAATGCCACCCTAATAGACAGGCTTGCCACCCCAGTTGGCAGCGACAAATTAAATGGCCAATTTGACATTTACGAGTGTGAATCTTCATTGTCCAACTGCATTGAATGCAGCACGAGATTGCAACAGAGCGTGGGTGGCGACGCAGGGTGTTGTGGTGGTGTGCCCGCGAGACGAGTGACTTTTTTAATTGGTAAAAGCGAAGGAGCTGGCCACAAGTCGCAAAAAAGAGGGAGACACAACAGGAATGAGGTAAAAACTGATTAACTATCAATAAATGAATTTGTAATGAAAGCACAGTGCTAGCGCTGCGGCAATGTTGATTTTGAGATCGTGTTGAAGAACGTAATTTCGCTAATTTTAAGCTAGGCTACATTTGCATCAGCAGCTAGATCCTCTGTAGGTTATGAAAGCTAATATTGATTCCATATCTGGCAGAGTAACATAAGTAAAATAACTTCAAATCTTGCAGAAATGAAGAGGAAAGGCAGCATAATTAGTTTTTTTGTTTTTTTTTTTCATCACAGACAAAGAAAAAGGCAGGAGAAATAGAAAATGAGGTAGACGGACACGATTAGAAGGATGTAGAGAGAGATCAGGTGGACAGAGAGAGAAGAGGTGGAAGGACAGAGGGAATACGAAGACAAAGTGGAAGAAGGGAGAGAAAGGCATGACAAATGTCACAGTGGTAGAACAGCAGGCCAAGGTGACCAGGTGACATGAGGAGGTGGCAGGAGAGGAATATGTGGAGCAGGGAGAACATCTCAGAGATGAGGAGGCAGAAGAGGGACAGGACAACGTGTAGGACCCAGACAATGAGACTTTGACTGCTGTAAAAACATATTGGGTTAATATTTTTTTTCCAATTTTTTTCATATATCTCTTAATTAACCTTTGCTTTGATCAAAACTAGTAAATGTTTCATCTAAAAACATTTTTTAACCCTTTAAGGGTCCATTTAAAACATAATATCACTGATATGGTAGAAAAATACACAAAAATGACCTATTTTCATTATAAAACATCATCGGAAACAGGTGATTTTTTACATGTTGCATAGTCTTGGCCTTGTGAAGGATTAGGAACCTCAGAAACTATGATGCATTTTTGTGTAATGTGTGATTTTCATAAAAACACTTGCACTATTCATGTCTTTTCTATACTCGCATTCTCTTTCAGTACCAGCTTGGTAGTAATGTGCTGAGCCAGAACTCAGCTCTCTCTCTCTCTCTCTGTGTGTGTGTGTGTGTGTGTGTGTGTGTGTGTGTGTGTGTGTGTGTGTGTGTGTGTGTGTGTGTGTGTGTGTGTGTTCAATGTTTGAAGCAAGACCGGCAGGAGATCTCTGTGTTCATGCCATATGTGTTTTCCACAAAACACACACGTTAGCCTCCTCCTGTATCACTTTCCCCAGTTCCAGGAGAGATCCACATCCCACTGAGAGGCAGTAGATTCACCCCTCGAATAAAACAGGCCAGACAAAATCAGAAGCCCCAAAAAATGTGTGTTTGCGTGCGTGTGTGAATGCGTGCATGTGAGTGTGTGCATGTTAGAGAGAGAGGGGAGGAGCCTGCAGGTCATGACCCAGCACTGACCTGGGCACAAAAGTAAAATATGCTCTTCAGCTCTCAGAGGTACAGAGAGGTGTTCAAAAATAAAAATAAAAGTGAGCTGTTATGTCTGGAGGTGTTTATGCACCTGCTATCTGGCCTTTTGATCTCCGGGGGCCCCACACCAGGCTCCATCTCTGCAATCCGTAACTTGCAGATTCTAATGACCATTTTCTCATGAGAAGAGCAAGAGAAAGCATGAAGAGAAGCTTCAGCACCACAGAGGCCCTTGCAATGGTCATTGATTCTGATGAGATGGAATCTGACCCCCCACAGGATCCATCATCCTCAGATTCAGAAAAGTCAACCACCACTGCTTCAGAATCTGATCTGGATTTTTTTCCGCAGCCGTCATCCTCACCTTCAAGTTCCTCAGAAACGGAGGAGGAGACAGAAGCTACCCCGGTGAGTTCTACATGGACGGGGAGAAATGGAGTAGTTTGGTCTTCCACAAACCAGGAGACACTCTTCCATCCACCTGCGATGGGCAGGAAAAAAGGGGGACCTACTCACTATGCCACTGTGAGGGTCCACAATATAGAATCTGCATTTGGCCTTTTCTTCACACCCGAAGTCATTGACCTTGTGGTTGAAAACACCAACCTTTATGGGCACTTGAGCCAGCAGAAGAGCCATCCACCAGCTCTGAAGGGTTCTGCAAAAAGAGAACTGACAAAACCTGTGTGTTCTGTGGGAAACACATCTGCCATGAACACAGAGTGATCTCCTGCGGGTCTTGCTTCAAACATTGAACATGCACACGCACACACACACACACACACACACACACACACACACACACACACACACACATTTTTTCTCTCTTTACTCACTCAGTTTCTCACACATTCACTCTCTTAGGCTTCCCAGGTTTCTTTCAATCCTCTCCACCGCTTCAACCCCAAAAGTTAGTTGTTTGTTCTGGTTTGATACTCTGTTGTTGTATATTTGTGGCTTTTGTTTTATTGCATTTTGAGCGATAAAATATGGTTTGGTTCTTATGTTACATTGGTTACATTTTTTCATTACTTCCACCTGCTGGAAGAAAATGCGAGTATCGAAAACACATGAATACTGTAAGTGTAATTTTTTTATGACAATCAGATGTTACACAAAAATGTATCAAGGTTTCTGAGGTTCCTAATCCTTAACAAGGCCAAGAATATGCAACACACATTCTTGGCCATTTTTTCCCAATATTAGTGACTTTATGTTTTAAATGGGCCATTAAGGGGTTAGAATTTTGATTCTTGATGAAACATTTACTAGTTTTGAATAGAGCAGAAGTTAATTAAGAGATATATGAAAAAAAAAAATCTGGAAAAAATATGAATCCAATATGTTTTTACAGCAGTCAATGTCAGTGGCTTTTTCAGCCACTGAGTGTTAAGAGCGGATGTAAATCTCCAATTCCAAGATGGCGCCGGTGTGTGTGGCCTGCCGTCTCTCGCTGTCAGCGCTGTTCCTGTTTGTGCTGTTTGTGTCTTTCGTTATCAGTAAAGTAAGCTCACTGTATGTGTATGACCACCAAACACTGCTGGATCTTCGCCCCTCTGCTAAGGATTTGGTGAAAGTAGATCCTGATCACTGTGGTCACACGACGTTTAAGCCGTTTCACCCCTGCGGTATACCTGCTCACCTTCGCTGCACTTTCGCTCCATTTCCCCGGCGTAAACGCCGGCGCCGCCGTGGCAAACGCAGCGGACAGCAGGTGAAAGTTAAATCTCTTTTGGCTCGATCTTCCGTGGTTTCCCTGAGGAGAAATGGAGTGGGATCTGGTCTCTTTCCTCATCTGCGATCGCTGCACCCTGTCGACTCCTGGCTGGTACCTGCCGTCGGATCCGATGGGATGGTCCGTCCCCGCGGCCCCTGCTCTCCTCGTCCCCGCCGGCGTGGGGTGAATCCCCGCCATCTACGGGCCCTGTGTCGGGCTCCGCGATCAGCTGATGCCTCGGATGTGCCGATCTCTGCCAGGTTCGGCCTAGTCAATGCCAGATCACTGGCAAACAAAACTTTTATCCTGAAGGATTTCTTCATGTCCCGTGGATTGGATTTTCTCTGTGTGACGGAAACATGGCTGAGTACCGGTGAGTCCAGTCCTCTTATTGAACTCTGCCCGCCGGATTGCTGCTATTTTAATTCCCCGCGGTCGTCTGGTCGAAAAGGAGGTGGAATAGCAGTTATTTTTAAAAGCGACTTTAAATGCCGGCAGATCTGCCTGAAATTCTCATTCACAAGTTTCGAAATGTGCTTGTTTGAACTGGGCTGCTCTCATGTTGTCCTGTGCGCCGTCATCTATCGACCACCCAAGTACAATAAGGATTTTATAAGTGACTTTTCTGAATTTCTGGCCGAAATTCTGCCGAAATACGACCGTGTCCTTATTGTTGGTGATTTTAATATCCACACTTGTTGCCCTGAAGAGCCGGTCTCCAGGAGCTTTTTAAATCTCATTGACTCTTTTAACTTCGTGCAGTCTGTGTCCGGTTCTACACATAATCTCGGGCACACACTAGATTTGGTGCTCTCGCATGGTCTGTGTGTGTCTAACCTTGTCATTTGTGACGCTGTTTTCTCGGATCATATGCCGATTTTATTTGACATCCCCACTCAGTGTCCGGTTAAATTGCGCGTTCCACCTAAACCGCGTCGCATGTTTAACTCTTCCTCGCCTGCTCTGTTCTCCTCTACCTACGTTGGTCTCTGCGAGGATGACTCTGCAGCCCCTGTGTGTTTGGATACTGAGGAACTGGTACTGAGATTTCACTCCACCTGTTTACAAACACTGGACACGATCGCTCCTCTGAAGACCCGGCGCACCAAACCTACACCCGAGCCCTGGTTGAACGACGTCACTCGTGCAGCCAGGCGTGAGTGCAGGAGGGCAGAGCGCAGGTGGAAAAAGGACAGTCTGCAAGTGTATCTTGGCATCCTTAAAGATAGTCTGAGGAATTACCAGAGGATTGTGAAAGCTGAGAAGAATAAATATTTCTCTGAATTGATTGCTTTTAACTGCAACAACCCCAGAGCTCTGTTCAAAACCATAAACACTGTCCTTGAGGCTCCCAAGTCTCTTGGTTTTGATGCCTCCACTGAAATCTGTGGAAAATTCCCCCACTTCTTCAGTGATAAAATTATGTCAACCAGAGCCTGTATCTCTCAGCCATCGTATGACCCTTCAGCCCCTCTGCACCCCTCATCTGTCTTCTCTAAATTTGAGTCTGTGTCCCTCTCTATTTTAAAGGACATAGTCAGCCATATGAAGCCTTCTGGTTCCCCTGCTGATGCCATCCCCCCTCGCTTGTTTAAAGAGGTACTTGCTACTATTGGACCAAATGTCCTTAATATTGTAAATTGTAGCCTCTCATCTGGTACAGTACCTAGGGATTTTAAACATGCTGTGGTACGACCTCTACTCAAAAAAACTGGCCTTGACCCATCCCTCTGTGCCAATTTCAGGCCCATCTCAAATCTTCCATATCTGTCCAAGATTCTAGAGAAGGTTGTCTACAACCAGTTGTTACCATTCTTGGAAGACAATGGTATCACAGAGTTGTTCCAGTCTGGTTTTAAAGCTCTCCACAGCACAGAGTCAGCACTTTTAAAGGTTTCAAACGATATTCTAATGACAACAGACTCTGGAAAGTTTGTTGTCCTTGTGCTCCTAGATCTGTCTGCTGCATTTGACACTGTTGACCACAGCATTTTAATCTCTCGCCTGGAGCACTGTGTGGGCATTAAGGGTGTTGCCCTGGACTGGTTCCGGTCTTATTTAAGGGACAGAAGTTTCTGTGTTCAAATTGACAACTCTACATCCTCAACAGCTCCTCTTCCACATGGGGTCCCTCAGGGCTCAATCCTTGGCCCTCTTTTATTTGCCTTTTATTTACTCCCCCTTGGTTCTGTTTTTAGGAAACATGGCATCTCCTTTCATTTTTATGCTGATGATTGTCAGATCTATCTTCCACTAGCACAGAACAACTCCAACTCAGTCCACCAACTCACTGACTGCCTTAAGGACATTAAAGCCTGGCTTTCTTTTAACTTCCTCAGTCTAAATGAGAACAAGACTGAGGTAATGTTGTTTGGACCAAGTGGCGGCCACCCCCCAACATCGACCTAGGCTCCCTCTCACCCTACCTAAAAGAGGTCATCACTAATCTGGGAGTTAAATTTGACCCGGATTTTAAATTTGAGAAGCAGATCAGCGGAGTGGTACAAAAAAGTTTTTATCAGCTACGTCAAATAGCGAAGGTGAAGCCCATTTTATCAAGACCTGACCTGGAAAAATTAATCCATGCTTTTATAACTACCCGTCTTGATTACTGCAACTCCTTGTACGTAGGGATCAGCCAGGCTTCCCTTGCCCGCCTGCAGCTTATGCAGAACTCTGCTGCACGTCTCCTGACACAGACCCGCAGGCGTGAGCACATCACCCCCATCCTGGCATCCTTACACTGGCTCCCTGTTCAGTACAGAATTCATTTTAAGCTTTTAGCATTTGTTTTTAAGGGCCTGAACAACCTTGCTCCACCCTATATTTCGGAGATGCTCCAGCCTTATTGCCCACCCCGACCCCTAAGATCAGCTGATCAGCTTTTACTGACGGTCCCCAGTACTAGGCTGAAGCTCAGAGGGGACAGAGCGTTTGCTGCTGCTGCCCCTAAGCTCTGGAATGAGTTGCCCTTGAAAATTAGACAGGCCTCCTCATTTCCTGTTTTTAAATCCCTTTTAAAAACGCACTTTTACTCATTGGCTTTTAGTACATTGTAGTGTTAATTTGTTTTTTATCATTTTAGCACTTGCTGTGAGCCTCCTTATTTATACACTTATTTATTCTTTTGCATTACTGTATTTCTGCTTGCGTTATCTTGTTTTTTGATTGTTTTATTTGTTTTTATGTCACTGTACAGCACTTTGGCTACCCTTGTGGTTATTTTAAATGTGCTATACAAATAAAGTTGATTGATTGATTGTCTTTATTCTGAATATAAAATACATGATTTGATAATATACCAAACACCATTACCCAACAGCCTACAGCTATGACACTAATACCAAAAGATCACATTCTTATATAAGCAAACACGTGGTTTATAAAGATAGTGGTATAAATCCTCTTTATGTACATGTGGTTACATCTCAAATCTTTTTCAAAGCATTTTTTGTGATTATTAAACAAAACAGGCAGTGGTTTGATTGATCGTCAATCAGACGAATCACAGATAATCTCTGGGGTTCAGATGGGGCACCCGGTGTCTCCCAGGGCCTCCCGAGCTCCCTTCAGGGTCTCTCTCTTCACACATTTCCAGTATCCAGAAATTCCGGTCTGCGGCTGCACCTGGAGGTGAAACAGGGTTATCAAAAAGTCACAGCACCGCAGATTTGAGTGGATATCAAATTTCCATCTTTATCAGCATTTCATCCTCAGATTCAGAACTTTTTTTTAGTATGTTGTACGGCCTTGAACTTGCAGCATTTGTCACCTATGTGGGGTTATTGATGTCAGAGGTAGCCTCCTCAGCCTAAATGCTGTACTATCTCAGGCCCTGGTCAGCACTGACCAGTGCTTTATTGTAATATGCTGCTTAAACTACCTTAGAAAGAAAGAAAAAGGACTAGATGACTGTTTTGAAAAGCTGGACAGGATTTTTACATCACTGTTGACATTGAAGTGTCAAGAAATTTTGTGGGCTTAACCTTTAACAAATCAATTATCTGGATTTTCTCACATTTTTATGAAGGATCTGTAAAAAGGTCTGATCTTGAGTTTGTTTAATTAAGACGAATCAGTCTCACAGAAACATTAAGGTTCAGACGGATGGACTCACCTTCAGGCCTCGCAGCACCCTGTCCTTCATCACACCGATGAACTCCTTATGGCTCAGACGGTTGTCTCCGTCCATGTCGAAGAGCTTGAAGACAGTGTCAAGGACGCTCTCAGACAGATCGTGGCCCGTGGCAATCCTCACTGCTCGCTTAAACTGAGCTGCAGTCAAAGACGGAAAAATTAGCTTTACTCGAAGAAGACACTTGTCAAATGTTACTTAATCAAGAGTTGTTACCCATTCCAACAGGACGGTTGGCTTCAGACACCATTTTCATGGAAAAGGCAAAGTCCTCCAGGTTGTTGGTGAAGAGACAGAAGGCCTTAAACTCATCGAATGTGATACTCTGAAACACAGAAAGTTCACCTGTTAGCTGCATAAAATAACATGTACTCACTTTTGTAAATTTCAGGGGTTAAGAGTCTGGTGCAGAGACAGAAGCCTCTAAATATCAGATGAACACGAACTGCTGAGCTGGACCCACACCCATACAGTGACAGTCCCATCTGAGTGTGTGTACCTGTCCAGCTGGGATCTTCTTCCTCATGTTCTCCCAGTACATCTCATTGTCTTCTTCGTTGGTGTAGTGCAGCAGCCACTCTGCAAAGTCCTCTCTCCTCATAGTGTCCATGCCCTTAGAGAACTGCAGGAACTCCATCTCCTGGACCTCAGCCTGCAGGTCTTCCATGAACCTGAAACACATGGAAATGCCCATTTCCTTGCTCATCTTTTTCTCGGATCTGCACTTTGTTGATTTGGTTTGTGAAGTTAAGTTGTTGCTAAGTGGTTCGTTGTGAAGAAGAGTCACTTCTATTTTCTCTTCATAAAGATGTACAGAAAACAGAGAGCCACCACGTAGCTGCTTGCGCTCACGACTTCACTGATAACTCTTGTGTAAAGAAAGAGCAGAATGAGCTAGATTTGGGTCTCTAAAGAAGGTCTTACTGTTAAAAATCTATGAAGTCCTGAAACCACAGGCTGTAAGTGGCATCATAACAGCAGCTAAAGTAACAATGCAAAGCTGATGTGGGTGCTAACAGATGTTTGATAGGATGGCATAACTTTGGAGTTGAATCAAGACAAAGCTGTGTAAAACGTAACACCCACAAGCTGTGTCTAACTTTTAAGGGTCCTCAAAAAATGTTTTTCATGGCTTTAGGGATTAAGGATTAAGCTGTTCATTGACAGTCAATCATTTTGTTAAAAGCTCACTTAGGAGATTTTATAACTGGCTTTGTTATTGAAGTCAATACTGATGTCTCTTTGTGAGCTGAGAAAGTAAACACTACAGTTATCTTTTTTAAAACAGCACCAAACCCTCGTTGTGATTAAAAAAAAATCTTTCCACAGATGCTTTGCCCCTCTGCCATTAAATACACACAAAGAGCGACCAACTATTTATCTATCCAAAGGTTTGAAGAGGCCAACTTATTTTTTGTATTTATGGCACTTTAGGGGGCACTACACTCCTCCTTAGGACACCACTCAGTGCTCCACATCACCTTCTCTCTACTGTGAATGCACTTGAGTATATTTCATCACATCTATTCTGCTAAATCAGAGAAGACCCTCTGCTGTTTATGTTTTTTTTTTTTTTTAACAAACAGATTTTCAGGGGGAATCCAGATCAAAAATGTCAGGGCTGAATTTTTTCCTATCCCATTAAGAAACCTTCTCTTGATTACCCTTATACTGTGAAACATTCAAACATATACTCATGTATCTTTGATGTCCGCCTGTGTCAGTTAAATACCTCTTACGTATGAATGCTGCTTTATCATAAATGACCTTTCACTCACCTGCGAAAATCCTGATACTGCAGCTTGTTTTCTCCCCTTTTCCCAAAGAAGTAGGCCTGCAGTGTCGTGTTCACACCGTCTCCTTCCTCTGCTGGAACCTGTAAACATCCACAAATGAAGCAGAACAGTGTGATGTATCACAAATATTAACACAGGTCAGATACTGTGTTAAATGTAAATACTCACCTCTGTGCCATCCTTTTGAACTCTGTTTTTGCTTTTCCCAATGATTTTTTTCAGCTACAGAAGCAGAAAACATGCATTAGAAAGGAGAGTCAGCATTATGAAAGAGACACTAAACTCAAATTCTCTAACTGGAAATTTTAAAGTCATAATCTCAACACTTTTCTAATAAGTTATCATGTCCAAAAGAGTTTGAATGTTGAGTAACATGTATATAGAAACAGGATGCTTGAATTTGCAAAACATTGAAACTCCAGTTTCAAATTAAAAAATGCACAAAGACAACTGATCAAACATCAAAAGTGAACATTTCAAAACTTGCTTATTTTAATCTCCAAGCAAGCGACATATCTCGAACAGTTGGGACAGAGGCATGTTGGCCTCTCTGATCACTTCCTCTCAAAACAATACTTAAGTATTTGGAGGCTGATTGACTTCACTATCAAAGTTGAGCTTTCCCATTTTTGCCTGATAGAGGATCAGTTGCTAAAGAGGGGTCACCTTAGTCTAACTTTATCTGTCATAAAGCAACAAAACTTCCAATGGGTCAGGACTGCAGTTCAGCCCCAGGACTCTTTCACTACATGCTGCTCAGACTGGCTGTTGTGAAAAGTGCAGAATGTGGTTTGAGATTGTCTTGCTGCAGAGGCAGAGCCAGGTGGTGGTTATGATCACCACTGAAATCTGATTGGTCACTCCAGTGGCAACCCGGAAATCCTAAAAACAGGCTGCCGGAAGCTGGTCTGCAGTTCTTACATTTCTCTTGTTGATACTATTAATGAGAACTTCTTCTGGAGTTTTGAAAGGTTTAATTAATTAAACCTTATATTAATTTAATTTAATCTGTATTGTGTTTCCCATCAATGTTAATAAGTTTATACAAAAATAAAACTTCAAACTATGCTGTTATTGGAAGTTAAAGTAAACGCATTAATGGAGATAAACTTATTGGGTTTGGTGTAAGCCCTACAGAAAGTCAGTGCCCCATTTTGGCCACCCCAGTCAAAAAACTCTAGCTCTGCCACTGTCTCTGCTGAAAGGTCTCATACTACCCTTCTGAATATTGTGTTAATATGTGGCACCATCTTTGTTTCAAACCTTTTTTATAATGTTGAGCAGTAATGAGGCCTTCCCAAATGTGTGAACTATCCATGCCGTAGGTGCTGATGCACCCCCATGCCATCACAAATGTTGACCAGATAAGTTTCCAGCATTCCTGAATCCTGGGTCTGTGATGCAATGATGAGTTGTGTTCACAGGGAGTGGTTTTGTAAGTATGTCTGAGCGCATGTCGTGATTTCCACAACCGAGTCATGTCTGTTTTCAATGTTGATTGAGGTTTTAGATAAAGATTCAGATCTTAGTTTTTATTTGTTTTATCCTTTTATTACTTTTATGACCCCCAGTGTTTCCTCTGGGGGAGCCCTCAGCACCGCGGTGGTCAGCTGTGGTCGTAGGGGCCAGTCGGTGTCTGCCACATCTCTCCTCTGGCCCTGTGGCTGTGGGTGGCTCTCTGCTCCTGGTGTTGATGGCGCTTTCTTAACTGTTCACCTGTACTCAACCTCATGTTCACTATCTTAGCATCCATTCGTACAGCTGTGTTGGTGTGTGTGCCTGTGTGTGTGGCTTTAGGGGAGATTGTGTATGTGACTTTTTGTTTTTTCGTTTTTCTTAACGGATTGTAAAGCACTTTGTGTTACATCCTTTGTATGAAAAGCACTTTATAAATTGTTTGATTTGATTTTGTACTGTAGATGAGGAAATCCCCTTGTTTTACCTTGAGAAACGTCATTCTTACAGTGTTGAACTGTCAATCAGTGCAGTCTCTCACAGAGTGGTAAACCTCTCTCCATCTGTACTTCAGAAAGACTCAGCCTCTCTGGGATGTTCTTTTTATATCCACCCTTGTTTATTGACAGTTCACCTAATTCATTATGGCATGTGTTCCACTTCCTTGTTTTCTTGTTGCATTACAGAACTTTTCTAGTCTGTTTCTGGCACTTCCCAATTTTTTTTATAAGAGTTGTTAGCATGATACTCAAACTACAATCCCAAAGACAAAATCATTTCTCCACTTGACACTTGATATGTTGTCTTTGTGCTGGTTTCAGTTAAATACAAGATGTCAGTGTTTTGCAAATCATCACACTCTGTTCTATCCGCATCTTTGCACTGCATCACAATTTTTTTGGTGAAGGGAGTTGTGTCACAAAAAAATAAAGAGAAATGAGCTTTGAGCAGATCAGAGATAAATCATTTATCTATGTCAGTAATGAAAAAACACTGGAGCAGACAAGAACCCATGCTCTCTTATTTTGAGGCATGTGCACCAAGTCATAACATGTAAATACGCCACAGAGTGCATCATAGCGTGCCAACATGCAGTCTAGCAGCCTAAGGCCTGATCTCAGCACACAGAGGATTTCTCCTGTCATCACTCTGGCAGAGTCCGGCTGAAAGGTCACATGACTCTAAATAACTGGACTACACTGGGGGGCTGACTCAGGCTGCAGAGATGCAAACACATGACAGATGGAAAACAGACTACAGCAGCTAACAGTGCAGCTCCACCTCACCTTCAAATCTCATACTTACGACGAGGCTGGCTTCAGAGCTTCAGGCAGCATTAAAGGTGGGATTATTTAAAGTTTAAATGCACACATTTACATTGGCATGAAGAGAAAAAAATCACGTTTTCCCAGGATTACATTCAAAATAAAGTGAACAGTCAACATTACCCCTGTACTACAGAAATCATCTCAATAAAAACCCAAAGAACTTCAAACATCTTACCTTCAGGAATTCCTTTTGGTCCACCTGCTCATTTCCATCAACATCAAGCATTTTGAAAGCAATATGAAATCCTGTGCGCGGCTCTGCAACAAGCAATTCTCTGTCAGTCATCTCAACCCTTTCTGAATGCAACAGAAAACCCTAACATGAATCCATAACAAGTGTAATAATGTCATATTATACACTGATATATTATCAATACATTTAAACCTAAAATATCCCAAGTCAGTGAGGCACTTATCCGTTCATTTGGCTAGCAGGAAAAAGAAGAATTTCTCAACACGGAATGGAAAACAGTGTTGAGAAATTAAACACAAACCAGGTCAACAGCTGCAGAGAGACTGTTTAGCCCCTTACAAATGCAGGTGAGCAAACTCATTCATAAAAGTGTGCTTACTGATGACAATGCAAACATTTTAAGGCATAAAAATATCCCGCAAATCCATTCAGCACAATGTTACCCAGAAAGGGGAACCCTGAAAAACCCTCGCGCTCATGCAAGATTCAGAAACCTACTTACTGGTCAGGATTGTCAGCAGAAACAGATACTCTGTGTAGGATATCAGACCTGTAGGACAAAACAAATATAAGAGCAATCAATAAATATGTCGACTGACCATGAAAATGAGATTTTTGGGTGGCAGTAGCTCAGGAGGTAGAGTGGTTGTCCAATAACTGGAGGGCTGGCGGTTCGATTCCCCCCCTATCCCAAGTCTGTCTGTTGTGTCCTTGGGCAAGACACTTAACCCACCTTGCTCCCAGTGTGTGTCCTCCACTGGTGTATGAATGTGAGTGTTGTGTGGTGGTGGTTGGAGAGGCCGTAGGCACAAACTGGCAGCCGTGTTTCCGTCAGTCTGCCCCAGGGCAGCTGTGACTGCCAAGGTAGTTTACCACCACCAAGGTGTGACTGTGTGAACGAATGAATGATGTATCCAATGTAAAGTGCTTTGGGGGTGTCTGATAAAGCGCTATAACATCTGATGTATTATCATTTATATTTTCCTGTTAGAGGAGCAACCACAAAAATCTCTTGTTCTGTTTGGCATCATCTACTGGGATTGAGCACTACTACAATATAAAACAATACATTTTGGTATGATATGATACAATATGTTAGAATGTAATACGACATGAAAGCTAGACTGCCAAGGTACTGTCCACTATTTAGGAAACACTGGCAGTACATCCTCAGCCGTAAAATCTTCACTCGTTGCTTACATGTCTGTACAAATCTATTCAGCTACAGATTTGAGAGATGCAGTGATGTGAGATAAGAGGAGTCAAAGGCATATAGTAAACCACTAAAAAAAAGGAGTGATTTACTTTGCATTTAACTGATCAACAACCAAAAGTTACATCCAGATATTTAATGAACTAAAATTCCTTAGTTCAGTAAGAATGCACTGATGAAACTCAACATTAACGGAAACACAACACATCCCAGACCAGATCACTTTGAAGATATCACACACAGCTGCCTCTAAAGGAGTCAGAAACAGATCATAAGAACATCTGAAGGTCCAGTATGCTGATATTTCTCTGTTCACACTGTGGTAACTCACCGTTGTCCCCCAGGTTCCTGAACAGATCATTCCCAGGCCGAGCTCTAGAGGCAGCTTTTAACATTTGGGTAACTTCCTGCAGAAACACACACAGTACAACAACAATCAGCTTAAACAGATCATAGCACTCTACAGGTGCACTTTATTGATTTTATTTACACACACTGATAATGTAAACAAACCTGTTCTGATAAAACCTTCTTCTGCAGCTTTCCTAAAGAAGAATAAACACAACAGATTTGCAGATCAGTTAAAAAGTCCCAAGAATAAACGTGAGGATTTGGTCTGTATGGCTTGTGATCCTCTCATTCAGCTTTGTTTGAATAATCTGACTTTACTGAGGAAACAAAACAAAACAAAACACACGTTCTGCAAGTTTTACAACAGCATGGCTCTGTAGTAGAAGAATCCAGGTGCTAAACTGGCCTGACTGCAGTCCTGACTCATTGAATACATTTGGTGCACAATGTAATAAAAAAGAATTGGCAACAGCGTCCCTGAGCTGTTAAGCAGCTGAAATCTTTGCACTATTCCTAAGTAAATGTAGTTTAAATGTTTTGGGAAAAATCTAAATAGATTTTTATCACACAGCATTCAAACTTTTTTTTAATAAGGGTTACATTTTACAGAGATTTGTTTTCAGATTACTAATTACATACAATATCCTCTCTCACACCAAGTCAAGATCACTCCACCAGGGAAGACAGAGTTAAATGTAAATTCTCTCACAAGACCTTTGTGTGCTCAACAGAGTTGAAATCTACCAAGTGGCCATGAAAGCTAAAACACGTCATTTTCATTCACTTAATTTTAATACTCAATAAAGAACAGAGTGAGAGCTCACAGTCAGTATGAAATCAGTATGCTGTGTGCTTGTGTTTTTGCAGTTTAGGGCAAGATGGTTCTTTCTTTCTTTTTTAATTTAAGGGCAAACTGGTTTTCCATTGTATACAGTGTCAGTAAATTATGTCAATAAAACTGGTGTGTCTTACGGTCCACATTCTCCAGCATGACAGAGTACAGAAAGTCTCTGGGGGTCATGTAGGGCTCATGCTCGTACGTCACTGAGGCGAACTGGATGAAGCGGACCTTCCTGGCAGACAGTTGTGGTACTGCAGCTTCCTGAAACAATAGTAATAAAAAAAATACATCACTGTACTATACTGACCCTTGTAAAGATGCTTCATTGATGGCAACATAAAAAAGCGTCAAATAATGATCTTAAAAAACATAAAATAGAAAGAGAAATAAAACAGCAACAATGAAAAGACCTGTCTGTACTATACTGAACCATGTAAACATTTACCATCATGGGCACAATTAAATTTTTGTCCAATTTTCTACACAACTAATCAAATCTAAATTGAACACTGACAGGAAGTTGGGTCAATCAGTGTACAGTGGCACAATCTAAAATCAGACACAGTTAAAGCCATCTCCTACTAAACCTTTGTTTATTCTTTTAATGAGATACTTATGTGTCTTACACAAATATCTGTGATAAGACTCGGTCCTTTTACTGCCTGTAATTTGTTTCTACTATGTACTGTAGAGCGATACGACTCACAGGCGATTTGTTACTCTGTCTCTGGCACAATAAATCAATCAATCTCTCTTTGTTTGGCAAATGTTTTCCAAAGATCGACCAAGAGCAGAGCACTTTTGGCATTTAACAAGTTGAAGTGGAAAGAATACGTTTCTTCAACAGGCAGAAACTGCGTGCAGAACCAGACTCATGATAGACACTCATCTGCTGAGACTGTGTTTGGATTGGAAAGGGGTTGGAGAAAAACACAAGGGTTTCAACAAAGTCACAGTAACCAAAGATGACTGATCATTCTGTCAGATAAATTAGTATCATATGAAGTTTCTACAGTTTTGAGGGTCAGTAGATTATTCTATTTAAACACCTGATCTGACTCTGTGCACATGAGTTAAGAAACAAAATCCTAATTTGATCATCAGTAACTTTGTACCAGTGAAGTCTGGACAACACTGTAGACCAGGGTCTCTGTTAAAAGACTGGTGACATCTCATACAAAGAACTGTAAATGCATGTCATCAGTCACTTGTAACATAAATAAATGTATCCTGTAAAGTAACAATAACTGCTCATGTGTCATGGCCTGTGAATCTGGGGTGTCTGTTAAAGCTGGAGAAGCTGTTATAACCTCAGGGACCTAATGCTAAACTGACATAACAAAACATACAACGTACTGTACATAACATACTATAACATACACCATGTCACCTTGTTCAATGCCTTTTTCAGCATCCCTAAATATGACTGACTTACAACATGTAAAATGTCCATAAAACTAGTATAAATGAAGGTCTAGAAAAAAATAGATCACTATTATTAACTTCAAACACGTCTAATAAGATTTTTCATGATAATGAACCTGGTTATTGTCAGTCACAGCTGGGGGGCGTTTGTGTTTAACTTCTGCCTGAGTATTCACGCCCTTTCTTTACACAAATGTGTCCACAAAACGGATATTTAGTGACATTAAGCAGTGTAACTTACAAGTGCAGACTTTTGGAAGTCACTGTGTTCATATTTCTTGTCGATATGTTCTAAAAATATGAACTTTAATCGTGTGTGTGTACTCACTTTTTGCTCCTCGGCATGAACAGCAAAGGGCAGAGTCCTGTTATTAGCATGATACTGATAATAACAGATGAGTCCAGCGCCGACTACAGAGCCCAAAACACCAGGAGCGACAGCCCGGCGCAGAGCTAAACTCTTCAGAGACTGAGGACTCCTCAAAACAGTCCTCAAAACCGCGGAGAGCCTTCCCCAGCTGGCCATTTTGATAAGCTGGAGAGCTAGCTGGGTGATCAAATTCCTCAGCTTCCGTAACTGCGCACTGTAACTGCGCAGAGCCGCTCCCACAGGTATGAGATGAAGTCACGTGACGGGATAGGAAACCAGCCAAATGGAGAGATAAGATCAAGAAAAACGAGTGATAAAGACGACGGGTTATAAGTAATAGGTTCATAAAAAATAATAATAATAATAAAAAACGAATAAAAAATTAAAACTGATAATAAAAAATTGATGAATAAATTAATAAACCACAGGAAAAAATTACAACATAAATAATCAAAATGGCTCCAGACTAGTCCACCCTGAAACCCTTAGGCCTTTGTTAGCTATTAAGGTACCACACAAAACCTCATTGAGGCGAAATGTTTAACAAATGAACACAAACAGACTTTCTCAGATAGCATCATAGTTGATATTTTCACAGACAAGTATGAGCAGAATTATTCAGTTCATTAAACATAATCATGAAAATGTACATCCTTTAAATACATAAACAGCTGTTAAAAGATTGCTTATTTGTTCAAATATCTGTGTAGGTCACTCAGAGGAGAACTATCTGAGTTCCTGGATGTAAAAATGTTTGTGTTGCTCATGCAATTGTACGCACAGAAGCAAGCAATTCCTCTAGAGCATTATGATAATCTTATGACATGGTTAAAAGATTATATCAGCTCTAAACTTAAGGGGGTACTTCACTTGTAAGGTAACGTACACACTAACTATGAAGGTGCTTTTTGTCAGCAGGAACTTTCTCTGGGACTAGGAACTTACTTACAACAAGCTTTGAAACGATAAACATGGTAGGCTATAGAAGTGTAAACCAAAGTATCATTTTCTGTTCAACAAGATACCACCATTCCAAATCCTGAGGCTGTAAAACAGGCCCATCCATCCATCCGTTCTCTCCCACTCCCAGGATCGGATCCTAGGTCCAGGCGTCTGAGCAATTTGATGCAGAAACCTTTCTCCCGAGCAATATTTTCCAGTTCCTTCTGTGGACCCTGAGGTGTTCCCAAGCCGGCTCTGGGTCGACCATGGCTTCTCTTCCTAGCTGGTTGCACCCAGAATCTCGCACAAGGGAGGCGTCTACTCACTAACTATTGCCTGTAACCATGGATGAGAGTAGAATCATAGATCAACTGGTAAATCACAAGCTCCGCCTTCATGCTCAGCTCTTTCTTCAACTCGATGGTCTGGCACAATGTCTGCATTACTGCTGTGCTGCACCAGTGCACCTGTCAATCTTATGATACATAATATGACCCTGAAATACTTAAACTTTTTCATTTGGGGCAAGACCCACTCCCCTCCCCAAGGAAAGTGATCCACTGTATACTAGCGGAGAGACTTGAAGAAAGCATGACAATTTTATAGCATTACCACTTTGTCTTTGCTGTTTATGACCAACTACCTACTTTGTTAGAAAGAATGAAGACCCTCAATCAGGGCCGACTACTGACACAGGTTACCATGACCAAGCAGATGCACACTGGAGGCACCTGAGTATGCATGGCCCCTGAAAAAATAACATTCACTGAACTACCATTAATTATTAAAACACTTATTTTTACTGCAGATTTAAACACAGTCGCAGCCTGCTACAAAATACAGTTGTAGTTTCTTTATCTCATTTATATATTTGTGAAAAAAGGGTTAGGTATTTTTCTTTTGTATTTTGTGAGGAACAAGGGTTTCCTGTCAAGTTTTGTCATGTCTAGTTTTACATTTCTTTGATGGATCTGCTGTTTCATGATGATAGTTTTATGTCTTCTCATAGGCTGTATTGGCTGAGCGAGATTGTGTTGGTTCGTTCCATTTCAGTGGGGCAACATAAACTGTGATTCATAAAATAGCTCTATTGATAGTTAGTACAAAAAAAAAAATCTACTCATGCCATCTGGTCGATTTTTAGTAATCAGTGTTTCGGTGTCGAACTATTTCCTTTCTGCGGCATAGTGATACTTGCACACACGCAATCGAATATGCAGAGGGTGAAGCGATTTTTGTCACGTGGACCAATAGGAGCCGAGTCTCGTTGCCATGGTGCTGTTTATATTTTATTGCTTTTATTACACAGTACGTTGTTTCATTTTTATGTATGAAACATAAGCTTTTAGCTAAATTTACTGTATTTCATTGTGCTGGGTGCAAATCACTTGAGTTGAGACGTTTTCTTCAAGAAATTTGCTACATTTTATAATCTGAATTCACTTATGCGTATACTAAGGCACCAATAACTGTTTCAGGTGTTAGGTAGATGTATTTATGACATTTGAGAAAGATTTTGTCTTGCCAGAATCAACATAGCAGTTTCTACAAGCAAAAACAGCAGCACCATATAACCGTTTTTGTGTTACTCACATATATGTACATTTCTGGCTGGTCTTTTGTCTCACCCTGTAGAGAAAGCCACTTTCTAATACTAGTTCTGCAAGTTTCCCAACGTGTCCTTGTAAAGTTGAGAACATCTTCACTCTGGACAGATGATCGATGCATATAGCATCGTTTCGTTCCTTTTGAAGGCTATTTTCTTTTTTTCCTTTTCTTTTCTTACTCTTCGCTTGTCTCGCTGCTAGATGCGCTCGTCGCCATGTTTATGTATTTCTGATACCATGGCAACGAGACTCGGCTCCTATTGGTCCACGTGACAAAAATCGCTTCACCCCTCTGCATATTCGATTGCGCGTGTGCAAGTATCACTATGCTGCAGAAAGGAAATAGTTCGACACCGAAACACTGATTACTAAAAATCGACCGGATGGCACGAGTAGATATTTTTTTTAGTACTTACTATCAATAGAGCTATTTTATGAATCACAGTTTATGTAGCCCCACTGAAGTAGAACGAGATTCACTTTTTAAGCACTTTTTCCTCTGTCCCAATACAGCCTATCAGCTGAAATCCTTGACTTTGACCTCACAGACGCTGAAGGAGCTGCACCAAATGTTTAAAACAAGTGTACTCCAGTTATTGGTTATGCTCTGGGGTTTGAGCCAAGGGGCAACTTCAGGTGTGGAAGCCCAGGCAGAAGTGTACAACCTTGCAGTTCCTCAAATGTCCACTTGAGGCTGGCAGCAAAAGCAAATAAATCCTTTGTACTCAGTTTTAAAATGTGATTTTCCAGCAGAATTTAACATGTTACAAGCCTTGCTAAAAACAGTTTAGGTATGAATAAGTCATTTTTTATACAAACATTTCATATAAACCCACCTCTTACCACTGGGGAGATTTTGACTTCTCTTTCAGTATGCCTCAGACAGAAAAAAATGCGAAGTGCTAAATAGGGGAAATGAAATATTTATACATTTTGAAAAATAAAGACAACTGTTTGGACAATTATTATAATTTTTTGTTTATACTTCACTTACAGCCTCAAAATACTGCTTTATAAAACTGATGTAGTATTATGTAAAAGCAATAGGATGCATTGTAAGTGGTGGGTTTATATACAGTCTTACATGTATGTCTGCACACTCTAAACAAAGGGTGAATATTTTCTACATTACTAAAAGCTCTAAAATAAATTTAAAACAGGGCACTGATAGCCTAGTGGTTTATTTTGAGCCTGGCAGCCTGGGTTCGATTCCACCCTCTGGCATGTCATTCTCTGCTCTCTCCCCTGTTTCCTGCTCTATCCACTGTCCTCCATCTGTCAATAAAGGCCTTTAAACCTCCTCTTCAGGGGCCACTGGGTGAAGTCACAGAGACTATGTCCATATGTCATACAGTCTATGGGTAGAGCATATTCCAAAAGTACAGTTGCCTAATCCCTGACCCAGCAGGTCTTGGATGGACTCTAACTGTCCGACCTTGGCCTCTCGTTACCCTGCTCTTTCTTCACATGTAACTGTCAATCTCCACTCCATCAATCTCCATCAAACCCCCCTGAAAAATAAATTCCTATTCCAGAGACAAAACTTTACAAGAGTGCATTTAAAAAGTACACGTGAAAGCAGTTTTTGTTTAATGTTTGTGTGCGTGATCGGCGTGTGCGTCCACATCAATTCCACGTCAAGTTTGCATCAGCAGGTTTGGAGGTTTATTTAATGTCATAGCAGCAAGTTGTAATGTAAAGTAACAAAGACATACACACTTGTAAGACCATCAATGAAGGAAACAAAGTTTGCACAATATTTTTTTCTTCAGTCACGGTTTATGCTGCCTATTGATTTTCAACTGTTACTGTTATAACATAGTGGAAAAAAAATTCCCCCTTTGTGTTTCATAAAAGTGATGGTAAGCAATCAGTTAAAACGCACATGGTGATGCGGGCTAAATATTTGCCATGAGCGATGAATCAGAACACTTACAGCCACATGAAAATACTACAGCTCCTATTTCAGTGATAAAAACGTGTATTGCAATGACAGGCTCACTGTCAGACCTCACTCATCTTTCAATAACCAGTCGCTCTCTCTCTTTCTGAACCCCTGTTTTAGCAATCTGCATGACATGGCACTTATGTAAAAACAAACAGTGAGTGACAAAATGAGAATAACATTCACATCAGTACATAGCTTATCTATTCTCATTCAGCTCATTTGAAGGCTGCAGTGATACAGACAGACACAGAAACACCGTCACTACAATCCTCAAGTCAGTGAATTCAAATACGGCTGCATCTGAGATCAACTTTTGGTGTTTTTATAGAAAGGAAGACTTTCTTAAGTCATTTTTTACATTTTTGAGGTGCAATTTGAAAGGATGGAAAGGGAAAACAAACTGGAAGTACATTTAGTCTCAGCTGCTGTCTCAGCTGCTGTCTGTGCTTTACTGCACAGTGCTCCTGTCTCAGTTTCTCATGTGAGTGCCATGTGTTGGGAACTACGGAAGCCCTGAGTGACAAATGAATTGAAGAAATCTGTCAATCCATTTTCTGAATTGGATCTGATTTTTGTCATTTCCTGTGCTCTCTACATAAGTATGGATAGAAAATATGATTTCCTCCCTAACTTCTTAGATTGTTTGCGCACATAAAAAAGTTTAAAAAAAGAGAGAAAATATATTTTAATTATGTACAATTTTCTGAGTAGTTTTTCTCCATCTGAGAAAAGTTTAAGCAGGTGAAACAAAGTGGCAGCAGTAAAAAAGTAGAAGATAAAACTTGTGTTGTGACAAAACTTGGAGAAAACTTGGCTTAGCGTTTAAATCACTCCTCAGGTACGGAGGCTGAACTCCATGAAGCAGTTGGTCTTGGTCCTTTATCATGTCAGCCTCCACTCTGTCCTAAATACAACTTAATCTACTGCCCTATCCTTAAAAACAGCACAAAAAACACTACTAAAAAACAAAAATAAAAAAAAGTAAACAGCTAAGATTAGATTGTGTTGGGCAAGTTAAAAATCATTATTTGTGTTTAACAGATTGGTTAGTTACAACTAAATACTCCATGACATTGCGCTAAGTATAATACTTGTTCAACTAGATTTTTGGAGGAACCAAACCTTTTTTTTGCTTGTTTAAGATCATTATATCACCAAGCTCACACCTCCATAAATTCACCACTTTCCTCAGCGCTTCACAAAGTGTGTCTGAATCTGCTTGATGAACTGTTGGCGCTGTCAAGCTCTAATCTTTCCAGCTCTGAGCAAGATTTGTCTTTCAAATCTAAACCAACTGCAGGGTTGTGTTTGAGCATTGGAGTGCCAGACTATCTTTCTCAGGTTTACAGTCTTGAGTTTTGCTTGCTTTATCCTCTGTATAGTAAAAACATGCTTTTATTTTGAAATGATGTATGTGCTTCTTCCAGTGGTTTGTAAGTTGAATGATGACAGTAAAAAGAAAGGTTAGAAAGTATAATGTATTAAAGAGGCTCAAGCTCGTACATCATTTTTGGATTCAGTGTAAATCGTGTTTTTAAACTACCTGAACATTTTTTCTGAGGCCAGCTAATGCTGCTTCTTCTTCATCTCCATATTATGGTAGGTGGCAACCAGTGTAAAGAGTCAGGACCTTTCTCTACTATGGGCCAATTACTTCCACTTTATGCTTAATTTTGCTGCACTTTAGCCTCTTGGTGCTTGAATTTGCATTAAAACAACATGTATTACAAAAAAAAGAAAAAAAAAATGCCATGCAAGACTTTTTTTCAACCTGCCAAAATTTGGGGGGTAATCTGATCACAGATGGTAGAAAAACGGTAACCCAGATAGATTATCTTGCTAAATATTTTAAGAGGAAAAAGCTGAGACCGCCACAAAAAAGAGATCAACGGATGTCTTTCTGTCTTTGTGGCCTCTCAGGGCTTCCGTAGAAACGACCACATTTACTCACATGAATTGTACTCCTGTTGTAAAAAGAACAGACAGAAATGACAAACACACAGTAAGTGGACTAATGCCTGTTCATCTCTGTGATCACAGCAGACTGTACATCACTTTAGTCACCAGTAGTTAGATTTTCCAGAGCAGCATGTACTGAACCGCTCAGTTTTTTATAATCTTGTCTGTAATATATAAATTTAGCACACCTCTCACAGACACACAGACTACTCAATCAGCTATTAGTATTATTACAAGTTTCTTATTGGGGCTGCGGGGCAACTCCTGACTCTGATATGAATAAATATAGGCTTATAAAAATACAACAAGCATACCTACAGTATGTCCTGCTGCTCTTCCCTGGTAAAAGGTGTTTCATACAACTAGATACTGGTGTACGTATATACACTATGATATTTAATAGTGACTCCTAATTTGCATATTCTTCATTTAGATGTAATAAACATTTATATATTGAAGTGATGATTGTTTTTATTTGTGGATTAATACAAATCTTTTAGTTTTACCCATTTCAGTTCAGAGTATTGTTTTTATTAGAGCACAGGATTTATTGGTATACATACAAAGATAGGTATATACAATTCATGACTTGAATCATGACAGTTTTACATTAACTTGCCTTTGATGGAGAGGTTTCCAATCAGTCTGAACTTAAAAACACACAGGGTACAGAGAGGTTTGACTCCCAGTGAACTGCGTTGGGGTTTTTACAATTTCGGGCACCACAGACTCGGTGGTGATGAAACATTTCAAAGCTGGAATCAGTACATTCGGTGAAAAATGAATCGCAGTAATACAGTACAAACAGCAGAGGGGCCATTTGGCTTTTTAATTCATGTTACAGATCAAGCCCCCCTCCCCAAAAGAAACACACCTTTCTTCTCATGCTTACTGTGGAAAGAAGACACGCTTACATCTGGATTTTCTCCCCACTCACCTTGAATTATTGCAACTCCAAACCGCCCAAATTATTTTAAGAAAATCAAAATAAAGGCAAGTTTAACAGGTGCACTAATAGACTATTTCATGCAATGTTCTGATTTTTGTCATGTATACAAAGGCATTGTGTCACATAGGCTTAGTGTCACTTTGAACACACCTCAGGTTAGAATTTGAATGAAAGCTCTTTTCTCGACATGAATCGGTATGGACAAATAATAATCATATTAAAAACAAAAAAAGAAACAGTAGAAATGTGTTTTCATTGACACCAATGAAGTCAGGTGGGTAACACCAGCATTCCTTTATATTAAGATGATTCAAAGCTAGCCGTGTGATGGGATTAAATGTCTTTATGTTTAGTATACAGATGTGTCAAGTGTCTAAGGTGCACAACTGCCTGGAGTAAGCTTACGTGGAGGTGACAAATCATAAAGTTCACATTTGCAATTATTTCCGTTTCCCTTTTTCTCTCTTTAACAAAGAGAAGAAATAAAAAAGTATATTGCTTCAAAAAACATTTTTTCCTTTTTTTTTTGTAGTATTGTGAAACATTTCATTCACCACTTCTCTGGTTTTTGTCTAGCTAGACAGAGCATTACATTATCAGTCAAAGATACATACAGAAAGATGCTGTGAATCCAAGAGGTTAAACGATCGACGATGGGACGTGACGGTGGCTAATTCCTGGGACCGCTTGTTGAAGTTTGTCTGTCTGTTTTTGAGTCTGTCTGTCTGTCTGATCCCACCTCCTCTCTACCAGCAGGTGGCACAATGCGAGCACTGATGTATTGCCTGGGTGAGGGGGAGGGGCTGAGAGGTTAGTCCGTCACAGTCACAATAAGTCAGTCCGAGGACCTTCAGGGGTCTCAGTGTGTTCCAGCTCTGTGACTGAGGGTCTGCAAACCTAGCTGCACATGCTCTCCAACCATCCCTCCCTCCCTTCCCCCCACCCACCACCTCCTACGCCTTAAGTCAGTGAGTAATGTTAAAACACAAACAGGGGTGGGGTCTCCTCATTTGCTCTTTCCAGACGTGCTGGAGCCCCCCGCCCCGCCCTCAATTTTGTCGGCGATTTCTGATGTGTCTAACTTCTCCGAGCCGTCCCCTTTCTCTGACCTCTCCTTCTCAGACCTCTCCTCCCCCTCGGCCAGCTCGGACCGCTCTGACCTGGCATCCGCGTCCCCCTCTGACTTCTCCTTCCTCTCGGAGTGGTCAGGGTCCATGGACGAGGTCCCCGGCTTGTCCCACTTGGCCATGGCTTCGTGCTCATCTATACAGGTGGTGATGTTTGAAGTCCAGGCCTTCAGGTCCTCCTGCACAGACCAAACAGAAACAGAAAATGTAATGACTTTCATTTTTGCATGGGGAGTCCAATTTGACCAAGAAACAGGTCAAACCGGTTGATTCACATCAACACGTTAAGGGTCCAATGAGACCAAAATTTGAAGTATTTTCATAAAACAAAAAGAGACAGCTACAGGCCCTGTGTTTTCAGTCTGACATTTACACCATGAGTCTGTTTATTTTCACATGTGTATATGTGACTATGTAGTTCTCCCTCCCTGCCTGCAGTTGGTGCTGTTGGGTCTTCAGCTGTGTTGTGTTGCAGGTGGCTGTAAGGGATTGTGGCATTAGATGGCTTCTGATTTTAAAATAGAACCTGTGGATGCTCTGCCTCCTTTTTTCACACCTAATATAACCATGCTGTTTGTCTTGGTCAGCTGAATTTTTTTGTGTAAATAGTGTAAAAAACCTCTAGGTCCCTGGGAAGAGATATCCTGTACGCACCTCTGTTAAGCTCAAAAGATCCCTGTGGTTGCTTTTCTTCTTTTTACTGAGATATGATAGTTAAGTAGTTATTACAGTACTTTAGTCAGGACCTCTTTCATCACAGAGCATTATTATTTTCATGCAATATGGTGACTCTGTTCTGAGTCTAGTTTAATAATCAACAGCATCAAAGACAAGTACATTATTCACCCTGCAAATATTTGGAGTTTATTTTGAGAGACTCATGATGAGACTCATTTTGTAATGACAGCTTGTAATGTAAAAAGAAATATCATATAAAAATTAGTGATTTCTAACATCATGTCACTTTGTAATCTCAGTGTTTTTGTCTTGCTTGTGGCAAAAAATATCATCAGGTTCAATATAAACGACATTACCATGTTTAAAGATAAAACAAAAAATGTACCTAAAGTACTTAAAATGAGTAAAATATGTGAAAAAATGTGTGCTAGTTGGATAGGCAAAATTAACATGTTAATGTTTTTGAATTGGGACATTATTAGACCTTTTTCATGAGATTTAGCACATTTTTTCTTGTCAAATCTTAGAATAACACTTTTGTCTGGTGAATGTGGCTTATATTCAGTTTAATGAGATTATTTCTCAAAGAAAGTCATTAAGTTTTCAGTTTTTACTGTGAAATTGGTGGGACACTTCACAAAATGTGCTTTTTAAAGTTTTGGCGATAAGGTTCTCCTCGTGCCTGAGTGAGCCGAGAAACAGATGTGTCATGATTACACATTTTTACTTCACGATTTTTCACGTATCTTTTTAAAAGATGTTACAACCCCAAAAAACAGGGCTTTATTGGTTAGATCATGTAAAAATACCTGCCGGCACAGCAAGAGGAGTTTTTTCCTTAGTTCCTTCTAGAATTTCATCAGGAATTTGTGTGTTTCAGCTGCTCAGGCAGTCATTTCACTGTTAGCTATTCCTTAAACTCACGTCTCTGCAGCACACCTAAACCTCTGTTTATATCATATGTTAAGACTCTCCCCCTCATACAACAAACTCGCGTGCTCTTACCTCATCTTTTGCATGGAACGCAAAGTTGTTCCCATCATTTAACCTGTTACAGAAAAACCAACAGGCATGTTAGTTTTCTGACAAACCAGAGGACTTTTATGACTACGGATTTGAATTTTCTGCACTTTAGGCAATTTATTCATATTAATCGCTCAAATCTAGACAACAACATGAAACATGTATTATTCCACAGACAAACCAATGATGACCCAGTACTCACTTCAGGATGAAGACATTCTTCTTCTTCTTGTATCCCATTGTAGGATCAAATGAGCAGATACTGAGGTCAACTGAAGGCTCCTCGTTGTATGTTGTGGTGTGGTTTCTAGCATCCTTGTAGAAGGTCAGTTTCCCGTCTTTCAGCACACAGTAAACGTTCACCCAGGACTTGCTGTAAATCAAAACAACACATGAAGTAGATCTGATAAAATTAAGATTGAACACAATTTTGGATATAAATTGAACTATTCATGTTAAAATTTTGACTACAGACTCATTTTTTCTTACAAAAGCTTCAGTGTTGTTTGGGGTTCTGTTATTTTGTAGCACGTTCTGAGAACGTGTCAATTTTTTTTACAACCTAACTGATGAAGCTCTTACTTTACACTTATGGAGGGAAGTTCAGGTCCTCTTATAACACTGTGATTTAAGTTTTAAGTTAATATTGGATATTTCATAACATTTCACTGCTTTCTAGAGATTGAAAGCACAATAGACTGAAAATCTGAAGAAACAATGAGCAGAGACAAACAAGAAGTTAATTTCTCCCTTTGCTAACTTAAAACATGACCAATTCCTTACAAATGTTGTCTTATGTATTGTTTTGCTAAACTAATTCCTAGTTTTCAATTGAGACAAGGAGTCCCTCAGTTAACCTGTTCACTGCTAAACCTCACTGGTTTTACTGTCTTGTGAAAAGCCGTACCTGTTTGGACTCCTCTGCTGAGCTTCGAGGTCAGAGGTGGTGGCCTTTTTGCGGTAGAGGAAACCTTCATTGTGGGCAGTGTGTGAAGGTGGCTGTGGGGTCGTTGGGGCACCGGTAGCAGGAGCAGAGCGAGAACGTCTCGTCTCCTCAGGCTCTTTTGGACGGGGCCTCCTCCTCGGTTTGGGTCGATCTCTGGCACGAGGACGTCCGTCAAAACGAGTCACGGGTGCTGAGAGGCTGCTGGGAGGCCGATAAGGTTCTCCCCGTGCCTGAGTGAGCCGAGAAACAGATGTGTCATGATTACACATTTTTATTTTCACGATTTTTATGGCTCCAAAAATTCATGGCAGAGAATTCAAGACTGTCAGGGAACCTTTATTTGGAAAAGTATCTTGCATTTGCATTGACATAATTTGCATTGCAGTAGTAGCCACTACGGTAATGGTTAGTGTAAGTAACATTGTACTATAAGATATTGCCTCTCTAAAAGATTGTCTGTGGTGTTTTTTTTTGACATTTTCATTGTCTTGAATTTAGTGATTTTTTTGACCTACACTATATAAACACGATTTTACTTTGTAATGGTTTATATGCTACCACGAGATCATACGCTGGAAGAGAAAAGCTAAAACTACAAATGTCAGATTTATTAGTATCTCCTGGTGAGGCTATCTGGTAGCAAAAAAAAGAAATCTTATTGGTATACCAGTAACGTCCCCCAAATAAATAATCAAATTGATAATTATATTAATAAGATTCAAAAGAAGTATTAAAAAGAACACAAGGACTGGACAATGATATACCTGACAATGACAATAAGACACGCGTACAGACATACCTGTGGTTTTTGTTCAGTTGTAAGAGGCTGAATGATAGCTGTGTTCTGATGTTTGCTAATAGGCTGTCAAATGTGATTTCTAGCTCAAAATATAAGCTGATCTCTCTCCTGATCATCTCTCTATAGTCTGTGTGGCTGTTAAGAGACCACAGTTATCTAAAATATCAAGGTTTTGCAACTTAAAAGCACTGTAATAAAACATGATAATGTCCAGTCCTGAGCATGACGTCACAAGAGGATGGTCATGGAGAGACTATGGACAATTTTATACTATATTTGCACAATATCAGTATTCAAAAAGGAATAAATTGTTACTGTCTTTTTAAAAGTATCTACAGAGGTCATTAGACATCAAATAAACAAGCACAATATTTAAGTGTTGGAGGTTGAGTAACTCACATGTGCTGCTTCTCTCTCCTGGACCTGTTCTACAATCTCCGCCATGGTCGATCTCTTGTCCCTGCATTTGCAACAGACATGAGTCATCAAAACAATCACCACATCATTACATGACCTTAAAAATCATTAGGATCACATGGACACTGCTGACTCGGCAAACTGTGAGCCAGATTTTGTACAACTGTCACAGCAGGACTCATTCACATACCCTGAGCGTTTGTCAGAGCCCTCCTTTGCAGAGCCCTCCAGGTCACTGGAGTCCTGCCTCTGCAACCTCTGCTTGCTGCTCCCCTCCTGTTCACTGGACGACTGCCTCTCCAGGCGCCTCCGGTAGCGCTCCTGGCGTACTATCAGTGGTAGCTCGTTTAGCCTTGCCTGGATCTCCTGCTCACTGGAGGTCTGTCTACCCAACTTGTACTCCCTCTCTCGCCTCAGATGGTCCATTTGCGGATCAGAGCGACTTCCTCGAGGATCCCTTTGCAGTCGGCCGTGGAGAAGCTCCAGCCCTGATTCTGGCCCCATGTCGGCCATAGGGATGTCCCCATACTGTTCCCGCTGCACTCTGCTGGCTTCCAGAAGAGGATTTACCGCCTTGTGGATGTGGTTAATCCTGGGCTGCATAAAGTCAGCCTTCAGATGCTGCCATGCATATGCCATCTTAGGGTCCATGATGCCGCCACTCTGTGCCAGGAATCCAGAGCTGCCCAGACTTCCACTGCTGTAGTGATTTTGTGCCAGGAAACCCGAGCTGCCCATTCCCCCACTGCCAGTGCTCTGATAATTCTGCCCCAGGTACCCAGAGCTTACCATGTTAGGCTGTTGTGCCAAATATCCAGAGCTTCCCAAGTTAGGCTGTTGTGCCAGATACCCAGAGCTACCCATATTAGGCTGTTGTGCCAAATATCCTGAACTCCCTAAATTAGGCTGCTGTCCTAAATACCCCGAACTCCCCATGTTTTGTGTTTGGGCTAAGTACCCAGAACTCCCCATGTTTTGTGTTTGGGCCAAATACCCAGAACTTCCCATATTCTGTGGAGGCAGATACCCTGGGCTTCCCATCCCCCCACCGCTGGGCTGTTGAGCTAAGTTACCTGAACTCCCTAACCTGCCACTGCTGAGATGGTTTTGCATCCCAGCCCCACACCCAGTATTCAGTCCAAAGTACCCAGAGCTCTCTGCACTGCCAGCAGTTTGATGGTTAATCCCCAGATAAGTTGATGTGTCTCCTCCAGCACTGTGGGAGGTCATGGCTGAGAAACCCGAGTCACTTCCAGCTCCAGCTCCAGGGTGGTTCATACCGAGATACGAGGAACCCACCAACTTTCCACAGCCCTGCTGCTCAAGCCCATGGTAGCCTGATCCGTTCAGGACAGGGTTGAAGCTGGACAAGGACAATCTCTGGGTGGCAGGGGTGGCACCCAATTCCAGGCTGGTCTGTAAGGGCTTGCTTTCTAAATGTCCCTGTACCGACTGCCTCAAGAAGGATGAGGTAGCACTGGTTGAGGGGATACTGGGAGTCAGGCAGGACAACGGGAACATCCTTCGACTGGAGAGTGGTGTTGTCTTTTTCTCCTCCTCTTTTTTCTTCTCAGCCTAAAAAAAGAGGTAACTTTACAGCTAATATCTCTAGAGTGACACAGTTAACCCTTTCATGCCTGATGTTTTTCAAATCAAAATGAAAGTACAGACATCTTCTTTGCAAACTTGGATAATGCTAAGGGCTAATACAATACCAAATTGGCCAGAATACCCTGTAAGACAACCGCCTAAGACCCACCCCCACCCCCACCACCATTTCTAAGAATTTTTCTCAGTAAAATAGTTTTAGAAGACCAAATCATGTTTTGATGAAGAAAAACAATTTGAAATTTTTAATTTTTATTTAAAAGGAACTTTTTAAATACAACAAGATAGTTGCTGTTCTTAGCATCTTGTGATAAATCATGTTTTCAGCATCTTTTGAAGCAAAATGAAAATATTTTATAAAATTATTATCATACTTTCTCAATGATCACGAAGTACTAAATTCTGATTGGTCAAAACCAATGACAATGTATACTTATTTAACATAGCAGAGGTTACACCAGGGATGACCTGATCATTCATGCTAGCCTTTTCAAATCAATTGATGTAGGTAAAAGTTATGAAACGTCTATTTTACTGTTTTTGTTTTCTCAATGTGACAAAAGCGTTACTTTCTGAGAATATCAATAAACAACTGCTGCTGTTATTTTCTCCAACTGATAACAGTGTCCTCTGAATAATTAATGTTAATGAGTCAAGGTAAATGTTGTTTGGACACCAAAGCTCCCCTGGTTTCCTACTCTGTCCTCTGATGTACCTCTCTGAGTAATAAAAGCATAAAAAAACAAATAATGATAACGATAACCTGCTGTTTATTACATGGATGGCGGAATTCAGTATTGATCTTTCTTTTGTTTTAAGCCACATAGATGATCTTTTTGTGCTTCCCACCTTCAGACATTACACGTGGTGACGGATGACATCATAATTCTACCATCATAACTCTACCTTAGTTTTTGGGGTAACTTGTCTTACTTTTGTGTGACTCAGCTCCAATCACTGTGTCTCTCCATCTTTAATCCTCCAGACACTGTAGTTGTGAGATACAGCTGGCCTCAACCATGATGGGTACTCTTGCTTTATGGACATGTGGTCACAACGTCTTTTATAATGAATATTGCCATTCACCAGCTAGCCTTCAAATTAAAGAGGATATCACTTTTTCTGGATGTATTTCAAGGAAAAAAATGTCTGTTATTGCTAAGGTTCATGCAATAATAAACACTGAAATAGATAGAGAAATATGAGGCTTTTTAACACTGCTCTTGGAAATGTCATTCAAATGTAAATCATATCATGTTATTTGATAAAAAGTACAAAATAAGGGGACATTTGAATATAATCCTCATAAGTGAATAACATCTATTGGCACATCTGTCTGGTGTAGCTGACAGACATGTTAAAATAAATCTAAACCTAATATTTTTTCTTAACTTCCTATTTTTTTCATAATAAACCATATATTTTTTGAGAAGCATGGTTAATATGTGTTATTTTGTCACATGTTATTCCCCTAATCAGTGCAATTAAAGTATACCATTGTCCACATGAGTTTGAAGATAATGCTTTATGTGTCCCCAGATGTTTGGGGCACAAATAATATATATCTGCTCATTCAGTCTTCATTTTCTGTCGTGAACACCATGCATGAAAGGGTCAAAGGTCTAAAGAAAAGGTCAACAGCATCATCAAGTCATAAGGAATTTCTGTTCAGCTAAACGATGAGGCGTGAGGGCATATGAGGTGCAGTGAGTGAGAAAAAAAAACACATGCAAAAGAGTCACGAGACAGATTTGATCCCGTTATGATGCAAACTCATGGCATGCGCACATGCCTGCTAAGCAAACACAACCACTCAAGGTCACTTTTTTTCCTGTAGCAGCATTAAATTGTGACTCCACCATCAGACTGATTAAACATTTATCTACAGTCAAGCTTACTGCGGAAAGCTGGCGGAGAGAGCTGAAGCGTTCTTTCCAGGTTACAGCAGCCTTGCGGAAGGCCTCGTGGCGAAGGATGAGCTGCTCAACCTCGTCTGTTTGGGCCCGGGCCTCGCCTCCTTCCGGATCCCTGGAGGTGATCAGCGGCTCCTTGGCCTTCAGCCAGGCCTCCGCCTTCACCGTCTCCTGTGCGAACTGGAAGTTTTCCTGCTCTAAAGGTGACAGCAGACCAGCAGCACATTTACCATCATGACATTTTTGACGCAGGCTCAAGGAGAAACCTGTTATCAAATGCTCTCATGCACATTGTAGAGAACATTATGCTTGGCATGTCAAACACAGAACACTAGATTCATGTTTCACTCATGACAGCAGGAAAAAGGTTAAAAAAAATCACAGTTTGAGCTACTCACTGCGCAGTAACCTCTCCTGGTGTTTGTCCCATTTCTCTATGAGATCCTTCTGCTTGGCCAGAAGGCTGTCCAGCTTCTCTTGTATCTGTGTTGGCAGACAGATTGCAGCCATGACCACAACAACATACTGCTACGTCTTAATCAGGTTATTATTCATTGTGGTCAGTGGGATGGTCAAACACATGCTCTTTGTTAGCCTGACCTCCTCTGATGCAGGGTTTCCTGCAGCGATCAGGATCTTGCCGAGATCTGCACACTGCTGGATGGTCTTACTGCGGCCGTCAATTTTGGCTTTCAGCTCCTGGTGTTGTCTCATCATCCCCTCCAGAGCCGTTAAATCCCTGAAGAGAGATTGATCAGGTTATTCAGATAAGATGAAGTAACAAACGTTGTTAGAAATCCCTATGAGGGTAAAGTATGATTCACACGGGTACCAGTCAAAAACATGTAATACAATACTTGTGCCAATAACATTAGTCATTGATTTATTCATCAATCACTGCCTCACTGCCCATTTTGGTATGAGGGATATACTGTAGTGAGTGAAAACTATTTGATGGCCAAAACATTCATGCTTGGACCTTAAGATCAGCCAACCTGCCAAATGTGGTTGGGTTTCAGCTGTGGTGGGTTACAAGGGCACTCTGGTCACCTTGTGGGACTGACTTTCATATATGTATTCTTCTTTAAAAACCCACTCTGATGAAAATCATGTTTTTCCTGATGTCTACAGGTTTATATGGCATTTTTCTAATATTGCAGGACATGTCATGAGAAAAGTAAGTGAGAAAATGCATTTCTGAGTATTTCTGCATTAAAATCGCTGTGAATCTCTGGCAGACCCAAACGGCAGGTTCAGACACAGTGAGATTTCCTATGTAGCAAATTCAAGCTCCGCCCCTAGAGCCCAGCTATGCAGGCCAGACTCGGAAAAGTAGAGAGATCGATTGCGGAACAACTGTGTGTGTTAGCAGATTGCAATTCTCGTAAGAAAGCTAATTATGATATTAACTTTCAACATGCTGCCAAAGACATGAGTGTCTGAGAGCTGAATAGCTGCTATGTTATCTGCCACTTCTACTACACCGGCAATGTTAGACTGCAAGTTAGCATGAAGAGTAGTGTGCAGAGCAGCACTGTCTCCACCAACGACTCAGAGGTGAATTGCTAATGATCTACTGGAGCTCTGCAGGAGAAAAGTCTTTGAAAATGATGCAGGTAATGCATTTTTTTTTTTTTCAAAAAACATCATAAATACACAGTCCAGTTGCCTGTTTTAAGTCTTCAAGATAACCATGACCATGAATGAGAATCTACATGGACATCATAAATACAATTAAAAGACCACTGATAACACTCCAAGTTAAAAAAAACAAAACAAAATTGATCGGAGAGGGACATTAAATGTCATCTATACAATAGGCATCTGTAATAATAGACTAATTGCAATGCAATACAAGGACACTGAGCTGTGTTACTGGGCGTTTCAATAAAACAAACTGCTGATGGATGAATGTCAAACACACGTGAGAAAAAAAAACAATATTAGTGAAAATCTCAGTGACGTTTGAAGCAGAATGAGATAAGTCTACAATAAGGGAAATGTTCTGAAATTGGAACAAGAACCATTTATCAAAATACTAGCCTTATATTCGCACTGAGCGCACGTCACCCCTCACTGTAAAGCTCCATAGAGAACATGTGCCTGAACAGAGACCTGTTTTACATCTTTATCAGTCCTTAAATGCTAAATGTTAATCTGAATATTAATACATGAACAGATAAACAAGTGCACCAAACCTGCAGCAGATACAACAGTGTGGAATTTATAGCACTTCATTGCATAATATGCAAAATTGAAGAACAGATGTAACGTGAAATTAGGTCAAGGTGACACAGCAGCCTCATTTATACTTTACAGTAATGACATCCTGTCTGCGGGGACTGATCAAAACCACAGAGACGTTCAGACACTGAACAGTCACACTGAACAGTCCCCCAGGATCCCGAGGGCTTCTCGTGTGATTTCACGTCCTAAAATGCCTGAAATCAAGTAAGCTGTTTGAAAAGTTGACTGCATGTTATGATATTTTTAAGCTTTTTGAGTTTAATGCAAAAAAAACAAAAACAAAAAAAACCTCTTACAATATGAGCAAACCATTCTATGATACCATTTCCAGTCAATTTCCACGTCAAATGAACTTGAAAAAATCAGGTAGGACAGAATAATGAAAGGACATGCAGCTGAACAAAAGTATCATGGGTCTTACCTGGGCTCATCCCATCCTATCTGCCCCATGATGCCCTCCATCCACATCAGGTTTTCACGCACCACAGAGAAGAACTGGACCTTATCAGTCACTGAGGTGACCTGGACTCGACTGGCCTCACAGGAGCTCAGCAGCTCCTTCCACGCCTCCATCACCTCCTGCTCCTTCACCATGATGGCTTCAGCTTTTTCTCCAGCATAGATGGTCCTTAGCTGGGCTGCATTCTCCTGCAGCTGCCTCACCTGCACACAGAAACGGAGCAGAAGAAAGTTCATTTATTAAATATTTTGAACTGAATTGATTTACAGGTTTTGGAGATTGTCAACAAACATTATAAACTAAAAATGAAAGTAGTTTATTTGTTGATGGAATCCACGTCTGTAAAATCTGTGTGTGAAATCAGTTTTTTAAATTCTACAATAGCGACCATTAACACAGTCTAACTTAATGTCAATAGTGTTTCCCACACAAAGATACCTGGGCAGACCACCCAAGTATATTTTCAGCTGCCCAGTAATATCCACCGTTTTAACATTTTTCATTATTCTAAAACTGACGTTTTAAAGTCATGTGCAGCTGGTTACTGTAGATGTTGTCCTGCCTTATTTTAGTTTTGGACTGTGACAAATCTTGTACACACAAAGATCAGCTGTTGTGATAACATAATTCACTTCAAAATGTGATTTGGGCCTCTCTGAAAGCTGTTGCTGGTAAACAGATACAAAAAAAAGAAAAATACAAGAGAGAGGAACTGTTGCAAGTCATGCAGAATTTGGTTTGGCATTGTCTAGCTGAAACATGTAAAGCCCTTCCTGAAAAAGACTCTGCCTGGACGGCAGCATTAAAAAATTCCATCCCTTTCTCAGTTTGGGGTTTCTAACTCTAACCCCAAAGATATATTGTGACCATATACCAAATATTTCTTTTTTTCATGCTGTAGACACTGGTATTTATCAGGGAAATTGTAATGTTTTCAAAAATATGATAGTTTGGTGCAGGACCTTCATGGCTTCTAAAACATGCATGGCAGTACTTGAAAATACTGCGTCTCTCTTGAAGGAATCTGTCTATGGCATTGACAGAACAAACCAACCAAAAGACAATATTAAAACAAAACAAAAAATCTGAAGTGAGTATGGTATCTAAATGACAACTGCAAGTAGCCTACTGCAAAAGCGAGGCAGATCAAAGTCTCCTGTCTAAAGAACCATCATTTTATTTTACTTATAAAGTTTTGAAAGAAGCAAGAAATTCATTATTGGTCTGGCTGTGTGCTGTAAGGAAGCAACAGTAAGAGTTGGGTTTGAACAAAGGCTTTTAATATCTGATATGCTTTGTGTAAGCTTATGTGATAAAGACAACAAATATCCATACATTCAGTACTAGATAAACGGACAAAGATCTTTAAGTAATTTTAAAAGGTGTTATTTAACTGCCAAATCTGCAAAGGACACATGAACTATACTGATGGTTAAGTCAACAAAAGACAAGCTGCTCATTTGTTTTCCAGAGTTTCAAAACCTGAGCTCAGATTTATGATAGTAATTCAAGTAAATAAAACTGTAATTCTGAACACAAACGTATGCAGACAGCGGTGTTATTCTGTGTCAGTGAGCAGTGATTGATCTCATCAAAAGTAATTTTGTATGAATTCTTATCCTCTCATCCTTGAGTCTGTGAGCAGCAGGTTTACTGTGTGAGCGATGGGCTCACGGAGGAACCAGAACACTTGCCTGAGCGACGAGCAGCTGAAGGGCATGTTCGAAGGAGTGCATCAGTCTCTGCAGGGTGGCCGGGTTGGTGATGTTGGCTTGGCACGCCCTCACCTCTGGCAGCTGCTTCATCTTCCCCGCGATCTGAGCCAAGACCTACAACGCAGGATAGAAACGTCACGAGCGCTTTAAAAATAGCAGCCACATGCCACGGCCAGACTGTCTACCTTTGATGATAACGCGATACACCTGAGTCATGGGCCGATGCTGTTTTGACTGTACCTCTTTGCAGTCGGTGAAGAACTTGTGCAGCTGGTGGGACGCCGCCAGCATCTGCCTGCGGGTCTCCATCAGCTCCAGCAGGTCTGCCCATGACTCGTTCAGCCCGTCCTTCCACTCTGCAATGGTGGCGGCATCAGCGTGTCCACAATCGATCATCTCGTTAACCATTTTGTTCACCTGCTCCATGCGCTGCTGACCCATGCTGTTTGTCTCTGAGGCAAACTTAGTGAACTTTTCCTGCAGAACCTAAAACACAAAAATCCCATAAGAAGACATCACAGACATGAAAGGATTCACAGGAAGTTACCAAGTCTTTAGAAATGATCATTTTATGAAGCTAAAATTCATTCTTGTGAAACCGTCTTTTGAGTGAAGCATTCTTGTGAAATAAAACTTCAAACATGGCAATCTTTTGTCAAATGAAAGGGAAATAAATGAGACTAAGTCCTTGAGATTAACATTCATGTCCAAATGGGGCATCAGTCTAGTCTTTGACACAAAGTTGGAGCTGGGAATGTTTTTTGTTGTTTTAAGAGAAAATAAATCGCTTAAATGAAGGCAGGACTCTTAAATGAGTGAGTCAGAAAGGCGGCTCGGTTAAAAGGAGTCACAGAGCAGGCCTGTACAATCATTAAAGGATTCACTGTTTACTGTGTCTCCATCAGCCAAACTGCTTCTCCTCTTTTGTCTTTTTTTAGTTTTTATTATCAAGTCAGTCATCAGTGGTTTTAAAGTGGCTTGCGGAAGGAAAGTATGACGCAATATAAATGTAGAGATGTAATTTAGTGTTAAAATATCAGCTCAGAGCCTTTGGCCTGTCAGGCACACACACACACACACACACACACACACACACACACACACACACACACACACACACACACACACACACACACACACACACACACACACACACACACAGGGATGCTGCATGGGGGAGAAAAGCCATGAGGATTCTCAGGATGTAGGACAAAAAAGAAGCCCTAGAAGATGATGGTACATCTTTCTATCCATACTACACATTTAAATGTAAATGCCCTCTTCTTAGTGCACTTATTAAAATAACTTTTTCTTAATCTGTTATTGTTTATGCAAAAAAAGTTACATCCAGATAGCCTCTGTATTGCCAAACTTCCTCCTCTAATTACATAAAATGACTCAGCCCAGCCCTGGAAAGTGCACATTTGGAGAGGAGTGAAGAGAGCAGCAGCATGTCGAGATTATAGAAAAGAGGAATAAATTAAAAAAGAAAGGTTGACAGCATGTCTTTCACTGTCTTTCTTAGTAAGGTGGGTCTAGTCCAGGAGTGTTAGAAAACAACCTGAAGACAAAGACCATTTGAAATCAACTACTTTTGTTCTTCGAAGTTTGGTTATCCCGCCTCATCTTCATTTCACTGCACAGAGACTATAGCATTCATGACCACTGTATTATTCACTGTATTATTGTGTATTATTGTCAGGCTGCTATAGTTTTAGGTAGTGAAGTGGTACGGCCCGATGCAATCTTTGCATGGGACCCAAAACCCGGGGTGGTGCCTCTAAAAAAATATTTAATTATTATTTTTTTCTAAGGTACATATTTTTGTGCTTTTATTGGAGAGGATGGGACAGTGGTCAGAGCAAGTAACTAAGAGAGGTAGCGACAAGCAGGGAAGGGACTGCAGACTGGATTTGGTCCAGGGCCACCTGCTTCAGGACTAAAGCCTCTGTACATGAAGTGTGTGACTCACACATTGGGCTAAAGATCTTCAGATTATCTCTGACATCATTTATAGCTGTTTTTACAGGCTGTTCTTGCTTCCTTAAAATTGTCAAAATCTTTAATTCTTCCAAATGTTTTAATCCCACTTCTATGCCTCAAAATCATACAGTCCCTTTTATTCCTATATTTAAAACATATCTGCTGTAAACCGAAGAGGAAGAGCATCATTAGCTGAGTTACATGGGAAAGTGCAGAGAGAGAGGGGGAGAGCAGAGAAACTGAGAAATGAATAATTTCATGAATGCTTCATGATGGCTGTAAGAAAACCTGTATAATTGATTAGTTGAGTAGAAATAACCATCTTCTAGATTTACACTTACGATGTTAGCCTGTTGATCTGAAATGTATTTCCTGACTTACCGTGACGTGCTCTAGGTCGTGCCCGAGCTCAGTGGAACTGGCCACGGCCTCCCGCTCAGTGATCCACTTCTCCAGCTCCTCCACGTCCTTGTTGAGCTGATATAGCCAGTACTGCTGCTCCAGCTTGGTCTTCCTGTGCTCCACCATGTCCTTCAGAGACACGTACAGCCGGTCTATGTGCGACTGCTGCTTGGTGATCTGCTCACTGTGGAAACGTAGGGTGAAATTAATGTTACAAACACAAACTTGATGATATAACATCCTGATTTAGTTTTCTGTGTATGAAGCATGTAAAACTTAAACATTTCTCCATTTTTGGACCATTTATGTCGTTTTTTTAAGGCTTATTAGACTGTGAATCATGCTTCACCTTTCTGGGTGCCCAAGCTCCAGTAGATGCTGGCATTGCTGGGATAACATGCCCACTGTCTCTGCGTAAGTTTCCACAGTTTGCTCCAGGGTCAGGTGGGCTTTCAGCAGCTGCAGAGTGCTCGCCTCATCCTGAAATATAGGAGAATCATTCAAAGCTTCTGTAAAGAGTTATCGGTTTGAGTCAATTTTGGTGCCCCCTGTGGACAAAGAGGTTTCCTGATCTTGTCCTGTTCATGGAAGTAGTGTTTTCTGAAAGTAAAAATCTCCTCCTGACATCTGTTTTCTATTACATTTATCACTGAATGTAAATATTTGTCGTGGAAAATGGGAAACATAGGCTCTTTTTGCCAGGTGCTGCTTTTGTAGGGTCACAAAGAGGCATCACTTGCTTCATAACTAGCTACAAACTCTAAATACAGGCTTAAACTCTTGTGTCATGATAACAGACATTATGAGGTTTTTAAAGGCCCCATATTAAGGTATTTCAATCTGTTTACAACATGTCCTGGTTATCTTTCAGTTTCAAAAAAGCATCAAATACGCATAAAAAAGCAGCAAATCCAGCCGCTGTGAAGGATCTGCAGCCTCTCAGTTTCTAACCTTATTATCCTTGCACTGATCTGAGTGGGTAACCTGATACCCCGGATTGACTGATTCACATATCCATTGCATGATAGAATATATATTTCACATCCATCCGGTCACCACCCCATAGATCGTGTTTAGGGAGGGCAGAGCTCTTCAAGAAATCTCAGAGGGTGATTGGACAAATGTTTTGTCTGCCACATTCATTACAGGCCAAACAGAGCAACAAAACATGACTTTGTAGGTATTTGCTACTGTCCTAAAGGAGTAGGCTACATGAGGCAAGCTTAACAGGCACTAGTCACTATATTTTAGTCCAAAGACAATCATCTAATGAGGAATTATACAACTATATTTCTATTTTACCAAGCATTTGTTCATGACGTTAACAACAATCCCCACTTAGTTTTTACAATACACCTCTAATGAGGATATCTCCCTGGTTATGATCAAACAGTTACAAAAAATGCAAACACACTCATCTCTTCACAGACCTCCATTGTTCACAGCCGCCATGACATAACATGGCCATAGCTACCACCTTTTTCTCCTCAAATGATGCTGATTGGTGGAGCCACTGTCTGACCAGGAACAAGCGTATCAGCTTGAAGCTTTGCAAGATGGTTCTGATGATGGATATAGAATCTGGGCAGTTCATTTCTTGCAATGTCACTGAGTGGGGGTGATGCTTTGATAATGAGGTACTGCACTGATTGGCTACCTGAAAATTGTGTAAGGGGGTTGAGTGCAAGTCGGTGCAGATGCAGAGGTAGAAAAACACCAAAACAAACATGGCGAGTGCTCCAGAAGAACCCACTTTAGTATGGTACATATATCATCCAGAATCTGACCCTGAACAACAGAATGCAGTTGTGGTTATAGCAGCACGTCCTTCAAATAAATTAAGAACCGACTTAAGCTGACAAGATGTGGTTAAAAATAAAAAAGAAACATTGTTTTCTTTGGTCCTAGGAGTCAATTCCAGGGCCTCTTGCCTCCAATAGAGACGTTTTTTGGTCAGTTAATGGTCTACAAAAACAATATAGAAGGTTATAGGTATAGACTCTGTTGGTGTCAGGAATTGGTATTCTGTTTTACGAAAGGTGGGCTTTCGCTAAAGGAAGAGCAATCCTCTAGACATGTTAAGCAGTGTGAGCTAGGAATTTGTTTTTGGCTTGTTTCCAGCACTGGGGAAAGACAACACGGGTCTTCATTATCATAAAGCGACTCCATGTTTGGGATCAAGAGTGTTGCTTGAATAAGTTAACACTGACAAATAGTAGGGGCCTGACTGATGGAGGATTTAAATGCACTTCTAAAGATAGAACAGCCAAACATCTATACTTGACTGATAGTGAAGAAAAACTGAGGGGTTCAAATCCTTAGATGCCTATAATATATTTTAGGTTTATTACTATGGCAATAATATAAAAACTTTTTTTCTATTTTGTTTTGCTATCCAAAACAGTAGTAGCCCATATGCTATTCATAGCCCATAATAGACACTGTAACAACATCCATTGATACAACAGGACTTCTGTGCTTTTTACGTTCAACCAAAGCTGTCCTCATTGTTGTTGACAGGCAGTGACAGGCTTGTATACCGACAAATTTCAATTTTGAGACATAACCATAACTGCTCTTATTCCAGCACCCAACAACATGACGTGGCTCACTCTAATTTTGCTCTTTTTGCCTTCAGCTACTACAGTGATGTCACAGTGACCTTGGCCCAAAGAGGATCACTGGACATGGGAAAATGTGTGTTTATCAAACAGGACTTTTAACAAGTTTTAACCCACTCTTCAAATAAACACACCATGATAAGTCACTATCAATCACTAAGATTCAAGATAATTCAATAAAAATGTTTCCTAGTTGAATTAATGGAACCAGTTGCTGATATCGTGGGAGATATGTAAGCCGAACTATCTCATGGCAAACTTTGTAGATGTTGATATAGAAAGAAAAGATATTCAAAGTTGTCATGTTCTCTACACTGGGCTTAAAGAAATTCATTTAATCTTTCTGCTGTTATCTTGTTGCCTTATCTGTTAAACTGAAGGATTGTTATGTGACCTTGTCCCCCCTTTTCATGTAGGCTGATATCTAGAAAGTGCACTCAATTTGTCTGGAAAACAGGCACTAAAACCAGATCAATATAGTAGATGAACAATTGCTTGAAGTTAAGAGACAATCTACAGCCAATCAGGATCGAGTCTTCACCCACACTATAAGTGAAAACTCATGACATTGGTTTCAGGGTTTAACCTCACCGTTCCTTTCTCCTCATTGGCCAGATGAAGCTTCTGTCCTGACAGCCAGGACTCCACTTTGGCTGCCTCGTTGTAGTACTGCTGAGACTGCAGCGCGGCGTCCAACAACACAGCCCTCCTCTCTGTCTCCAGCTGCAGAACCTCCCACAGCTGGCGCACATGCCCCGCCCCCTCACGCACAAACTCGACCTCAGGAGTCCTCAGGGAGGCAATGATCCCTGCTCGGTCCAGAACCTCCTCAACACGAGCCCGTCGCCCTGTTAGCTCCCTCTGCAGAGTCTGAAAGACCAGACAGAGGAAGGATTCAGAGTCTCATCATTCTGGTGATAGTTTAGGCCAATATCAGCCTTTACGGATTTATCCATCTCACTGAAAACGTTTCTCATTGTGTGCTGATGTACAAACTACTCTACAGAACATTTACCATTATCATTTAATAACACACGAGAGGGAAAGATGTGCTCTGAATATCACCAGTGCCATGATCTAGTCATAAGAACCAGATTGAGCTCAGATTACAATGTGCCAATATTCAGTACATGTGCAGTAGAAATATAGTTTGGCACAACAGTTATTTAAAGTGGAAAGAAGAACTTAAATAAGATGAAAATGCAGGTTAAAAATGTACTATGTAGGAAATCCTACAAGAATAAATTATCCAGAAATGAGAATAACTTCTTTAGGCCTGAGACCTTTAAGATGGACTGAGATGAAACAGACAACTGTGCTGTGGTATGATGAGATTTATTTTGCAATTAGATTTATTATGAGCATATATTTTTCATTAAACTATAAAGTATTCCAGTTTCAACATTTCATGTGTTTTCTTTGCACAATTTGTTAATTAGATATAGACTCTGACTAATTTGCTAACCATCAAACACTGTCTTTATAAACACTCTACACAACATCCCAACTTTTTGGAAACTAGGGTTACATATTCACAACATCTAGCTAAGGCAGACTTATACATGCGGCAAAAAGTCCCCGTAATGACGGACTCTAAAGCTGTGTCTTCATTCAGAGCTAGGATTCTTCAAGTGTAATCTGTAGACCACTCGGCTGAACTGAAACATGATCGTCTTGTCTATGTAGGATTTCCTGTTTGCACTTTCATTTGGTCCTGCACTGACACAGTAACTGGTCAATAGCTGGCTAGCTATCTGACATAAATCACGTAATCCAACATTCATCACCATCATTTTCAAAAACAAACTCAGGAGTCATGTTGTGTGCCTTTTTCACACATTTATATTGTTATTCCACTGAGATGAAACCAAACACAGGCATCATCAGCTCCTAAGTCTGCCCTCATGTTTGGATGCACCTGATGCATCATGCACCAATGTGACACATTTGCTCTTCTTCTTAAAGGATGTAGCTTCAGAACAAAGACCACAGGTTGTACAAGACATGTCATAGGTGTTTACTGACTGTAGAGCTAAAAGATATGGAGTGGCCCCTGCTGACTGGCTTCAGTATTGATGTTAACAAATGTGTATCATAAAATTAAATATATTTTAAAAAAGTGTTCAAGGTTCAGATAACACTGCCGGGCTGTGGACAATGTCAATCTGAGAGATCTTCAGCTTTTTATTGCTGCATTTAATCTTGGTTAGTGGACAGTGTGTCACATCAGTTCCTCAACCAGCCAGGTCACCTCTGTTCATGCCAGTGAAACAAATCAGTGCTTGGTGAGGCAGGTTTTGACTTAATAACACAATGGGCAAAAATTAACTGAGATTGCAGATTCTTTTCAAGGTCAAAAAGGTGTAAACAGATATCCACGTGCAGAAAGCCTAATTTAATTCTAGCTCAAAAATAGACAATGCTGATGAACAGACTTGTAATGATATCCTTATTGGTGGGTTCCTCTGTATGTTCCCAGACTGTGCACCTACATTTCAGCTGATTAACCCAACATCATGACTGCAGCTCACCTGGTTTTTCTTGACGTGCTGCTGCACACTCTGGAGGTTATTCCCATAATCCTTACAGGAGGCCACAGGAAGTCTCTCCTGAATCCACAACTGTCAGAGAACAACAGGCAGGTCAGTAAATTTTTCATAGTGTATGATCAATGTTTGAACCTCAGTAACAGCTATAGAGACATCTGTAAGATGAGATGAGATAAGAAGAACTTTATTAATCCCAGAAGGGAAATTCAATACATATAGTAGTAGTTAACATGATACAATCCTTCAAACAGATCCGAGCTTTCTTTGCTTAATTGATGTCAAGACTTCAATGTTAAATCCCAAAATAGTTCAAATTGATCAACGTGCTTGTCAGTACACATGATGAGTAAAACATTAACTCAAGGAAGAAATAACAAACGTAACAGTTATCTGCAGCTGCTTCTCTGCAGGATATTTAAACCAAACTGCTTTACATTAGATTATTATTTTCCTGTTGTTCCTACCAACTACCAACATAAATAATTTCTGAATATAAATATTTTTTTTATTTGACTTTATACTACATAATGGTATTCATATTCATATCATAGCAAAGTGTTAGTTCAGGCAAGCCACTGAGTCAAACTCAGCCCAGAGTGAATCAGCTGATTCTAAAACCAGCCCATAGCAGCTGATAGCTCAGCTGATCACCTCTGAGCTTCCAGTTGGCTGATGTCAGACAGTGTTGTATTAAAACAGCTTTAACCTGTCTACTCTTCCTGTTTCCTCTGCAAACTGCTTTGCAACTTACTCCAGCTTCTACTTTACATATTGTATGTATTGTTTTGTTAGTATGAATTTGAACTATTTCAAAATGCACCTTTCAGTTTTTAAGTGCTTTATATATATATATATATATATATATATATATATATATATATATATATATATATATATATATATATATATATCCTTAATATATTGTCATATTTTCTGTCATATTTAGGTTTGCTGTGCAGGGACATATAATACATTTGAAGTTCTGGATGCTTGTCCAACATGAAGAAAGCTTAGGTCCTAATTAAGATGTAAGCCAGGTAACCATGTATGTCTGTTTCAAATCTTTAACTGTATTTAAGAGAATTCATTACATCGAACCTTAGTCTTTGTATAAATTATTAAGCCCTAACCCTAATCCTCTCATCTTTATACTTCGAAATTACGAATATCACCTCTGTTCTGTAATCCTGGGTGTCTTTGACACTGCTCTTCTTGCCTTTTCTTGTCATGTATACACATGAAACATAGAGGGGGTGTGCTCTACCTACATATATGGAGAAGCAGGGAGCTCTCAGAATGGATCGATATCACCAAATAAGACTTCCTGCATACAAATAATCCTTTCTGACAAAAGTTGTCCAGAATTTCTCATGAGAATACTGATTATGGTGGTGAAGTATTGTAAATCAAGATAATATATTCAGTGACATATCTTTTTTATTTAGAGAAGTGTTTAAATCAAGACATTGGATTTGATCAATTTTGATATCTCAATTTTATAATTTCAGCTAGAATGATATAAAAACATAAAGTTTATTATTATAATATTATATACTTCAGCTGTTTGCTTAACAGATGAACAAAAGGGGAATTAATAAAATGACAGGATGTGAATAAAAGGATCAGAGACTCAGGGCATGCACTCACTATCTCATCCTCCAGGTCCTGTGCGACTTGGTGCATCTCTTTGGAAGCCAGCAGGATGCGGCGTCTCTCCTTCAGGGGCTCGATGAGGCGGACTATGCGGGTCTCCACCATGCCTGACTGCTCGCCGCCTTCCCTGTCGCCTGTCATCAGCCCTCGCTGGGGGAGGCAGACCCCCTGCAGGCTTCCCAGCTCCCCCACATCCTTGTAAAAGTCCCCAATCTGAGACTCCATGGCCTGCAGCAGAGGGAGAGGAAGGTCATGTTACAGCCATGCAAAGGGACGCACAAACACAGCCCATCAGCTGTTTCCTACCAGAACATTTCAGGGTTATGTAATCGGTGCCTCACTTTAAAGAAGAAAAAGCATATGGTGCATTTTTTAATACCACTGAACCTCAGGTTGCCCCAGCAGCAGCCTCTGTGGACGCATGTCAGAGCTGAGAGACATTATATAAACAAGCATGAGCTGATGTTTGCAGTCTGTCACAAACATTACAAACATCAGGGCACATTACAGCTTTAAGTCAAACTAATGTTTCTCACTGTTTGCTGTGTGTGTGTGTGTGTGTGTGTGTGTGTGTGTGTGTGTGTGTGTGTGTGTGTGTGTGTGTGTGTGTGTGTAGGTAAAAATAATCTTTGTGGGTGAGCTAAATGCCACAGAGGAGATCTAAAGATGTACTTATTGCACAACTAAAATCCATTTGCTTAACTTCAGTGGAATTTTGATGCAGAGATGCTGCATCCATTTGATGTCTGAAATGCCATGGGACATGAGATACATTTTTAACTAGTAAACATGTTTTTTTGCTCATAATTATTTTGACAATGAGAATGTTTTATTTTGGTTGATTTTGGTGACCTGTGTGGATAAAGCTGTGCCTCTCTCCTCTTCACTGAAGCCCTGTACACCTAACGATAGTGTTTTCTATCTAAAAAAACACACCCTGCTTCCTAAACAGTCAAATGTATCCCTCATTGGAAAATCCTGCTGTTTTAAGCATTTCAGTTAAGTCTGAAAAGAAAAGCAGCACTCCTCTTCTTCTTCATTAGTTGACATGTAAATCCCATAGACTGTATATACTATATGGACAACTTGGTTCCGCCTACCGCCTGTATACGGATTTGAAGCCAAATAGCTCTCGGTAATTACGGGATTTTTCTTTATTTCCTGAAACCGGCGCTGCGCAGTAGCGATGCGCGGATTCGGGTGTGCAGTCGCCGAGAGTCCCTGTAATGACGCTCGGCTCAAACAGCGTATCCCGCAATCCCTGAACGCCCATAGGCTGTATCAGGTGTCAATCATAGAAAACATGAACCCCCTAATAACTTTTATAAACGGAGCTTCACAGAAAAAAGAGGACTTGAGCACAAACCAGCCTCACTGTAACTACATGTCAACACTACAAGCAGGGGGAGAAAAATTTATGTTCTGTGTAGTAAATTTCTAAAGTTTGTCCACAACTCCACAAGCTTTGCTGGTGGAGGCGGGATTTATGACCTATACTGCAGCCCATCAACAGAGGGTGCTGTTCTCGGAGTGGCTTCACCCAGCAAGGAGGCAGACTCTGTCCATTCTTTATACAGTCTATGGTAAATCCTGTAGCCAGAGTCAGTAAATCACGAGTTCTGCTGAATAAATCCTCAATCACCGTCCTCATTTATTTAACACGACAGTGTTGTTAGACATGCCAGTTTGCATTTAACATTACACTGACTAAAATAATAGGTATGTGAGCATCATGTTAGCCCACAAAGGCACCTGAGAGTCACCAAGTGCACTGCGCTGAATGAAATCTAAGAGGCAGCACAATATTAGAAAGAGCTGACATTGTGGTTTTTCCATCTGCAACATTTGCTGAAATATTATATGAAAAATACAAGGATTACACCAGACAAATGTGTGGTGTGTTATATGTGAATATGTAAAAGAAAAAAATATAAAAATCACTTCTCTTATAATGTGGGACTTAAAGTTTAATACAGTTTGACAAACCAAAACTGAACTCACTTGGTTCAGCCTTTTACCAAAAAATCTGATACACTACTGCAGACCATGACAATGGGCTTTTACACTATACCAGTGTTGAAAGTGACTGTTGCTTTAAAACATAAAACACTAAAACGCAGCTTTAAAAACAGCAGATGGTAATGCAGTGACATCATAGCAGTGGTCCTTCACACTGAAACAGAGAATAGACAAAGTAGAAGTAGCTGACTGCCAGAGAGCTCGCTAAATCATCCACCTAAGAGAGGATTTGTCATTTTTAAAACTGAAAATATCAGAATAAAAGCACGACAGACAGTCGACTAATGAGTTAATGTATTCTCCAAAGAAGTTTAGGTAACAGAACTGATAATGTATCACAATGTAATATTATTAGAAATGGATGATGACGTGTAAAGTCATTGTGCTTCTTAGTAAAGTTTATGAAGTATTTTGTTTCTCCGCTTTATTTCAACTTTATCAATATAATGATAAAATCATGAAAGCAATATGTTATGGCCAGGAGCAAAATGCAAGTTAACAATACTCACAGTCTCTATTGTTGTTCTGCTGTTTTTCATGCTGCCCATATCACCTGTATTTGCAGCATATATCTTTTGAATCCATGACACACCAAAAGAGCAGTTTTATCATCACTTAGTTATTGCCAAATAATCTGATGTTATTTGACAGCAGGCTGAAACTTCGTTAAAAGGATTAAATGGGGCATAATTTACAGATAGGGCAACAGTTCATATGTGAATGCTTAGTGAGAAAACATTGATTGTAAATATTTAATAGCTAAATTGATGTTGTAAAGTGAGATCTTTGCAAATGTTCATGTTCAAAGAATTTTAGGTGCTTGTATGAATCTTCACATTTGTTTGTTCACGCTGGTGACTTTCATTGATCAGCATCAGTGATGTGGGGGACAAACCATAGAAGGCAGAAAAAAAAACTAACAGATCTGGTCTTGATTGTCATTGACACACTCCAGAGATGAAACTGTTGATTTTTCAGGGTGACTGGTCCTGACATCCTACAATTGTCACACTGAGCTCTAACTGTGCCAAAATCACAAAGTCTAACCTTAGTTTTGAGATCATGTTTAAGACGTTTTCTTCATTTTGTGTATTTGGGCTTGTCAGCCTCTATTAAATAGGACTGCTGAAGAGAGACAGGGCACATGTGTTAGTAGAGAGAGGGGAAGACATGCAGCAAAGGGTCCTGGTGGGGAATCTAACCAGCGAATGCTTTGAGGACAAGGATTATAACCTCTATGTGTGGGGCACTTAGACCACCAGGCTATCAGCGCCTATGAAATTATTCAAATGAAATATGTTTTACATGTGTTTACCTAAATTCCCCCAGGGATAAAAAAAGTATTCTGATTCTGATTTATTTGGACTAACACTACTTCTGACTTCCAATCCAAAGCATTTCAGAGGCTGATTGTAACTTTTCACTCTTTACCTGTCAGTATTTCTGTCACAGAACTTTCATTCGTAATGTATTAGATGCACTTTCTTACTGTATTAAATTTACTAATACATTTCAGTGACACTGATGTATGACCGAAATGTATTGATACAATATCGTTGGCAATTATGAATTGCTTCACTTGAAAAGCCATTAACTGATGCAGACAGCCTGACTCATGAACAATTATAATAGGTATAAAACTTTGAAAAGTGCAACTTTACTAAATGAGTATTTTCATTTCTATACACATGTAACTTTTATTTGCAGTACCTGTGACTTTATTGAAAAACTTAAATGTGTAAATTTTGCTTTTGGTAGAGTATTTTCATTCTTACCTTCAAAATATGTAAATAACCTCGTTGACCAATAAAAAGAAAGAATTTTGTTATTTTAGTCACTAAAATGACTTAAAAAGATACCCTGTACGTCTTTTAAGTTTTGTTTATCACTGTCTCATGTCATGAATGCTTTGAAACTCATGGTGGAAAACGGTGTCTGCATGGTAAACCAGCCTGATGTTTGCATGGTTTGTTTTAGTTTTCTGTCTAAAATGCAATAGAATTTCAAAAGAAAAACTGTTTGCAGACACTTGTGAAAAATAAAGGACAATCATTTGAAAAGCATGACAAATGAGCTTAAAGAAAACCCTGCCCATTTCTGTCATGATCACAGTGAAACCTCTGGAGGTCCTGAAACTTGCCTGAAACTTCTGGAGCTGCTCATTGAAGGTGGGCAGATGGTGGGCCTGCTCCAGTTGTGGGGGCTGCTGCTCCAGGTGGGAGAGCTGGTTGTCCAGGTCTGAGTAGCTCTTCACCGCTGGCTCGGGCTTGTTGTTCTCAAAGAGCTGGCGGGCTTTTGCCTTGGTGGTGGTCTCCAGGTCGGACCAGCACTCTCTGATCTCTTCCAGCTTCTGCTGAACCACTGGACGTAGCTCTGGCTTCTCTTGGATCAGCTCCTGACCCTCCTGGAGAAACAAAGTGATTGAATGTTGGGTTGACTGTAAGAGTACCACACAATACATCTATAATTTATCAATACCATCACATCCGTTTTCACATTAACAATCTTTAGCACTGAAAGGCAAACTCTGTTTTGTTTTATTCATTTATTTATCCCTGTATTTATATGTGTGTTCTTTTGCATATCTGGTGATCCAGGTGACTTATAGACACAGAGGGTTTTGGGATTGTACCAGCAGCTATTGATCAGGCTATGATGGCTGCAATGTAGTTGTTCAAGCAAAAAAGTCATATTTTAGTCTAGCAAAGTGCTGAAAAGAACAGAATGAGATACAAAATGGACCTCAATCTACAACTGAGGACAGGTTTGCTTTCATAAAGGCCACCATGCTCCTCTGATAAAAAAGTAACATTAACATTTCTTGTAAGGACTGAGTGGTTGCCTGCTACCATAAACAGTTTGTCTGTATTGTTTAGTAACTTAAGTCCCCAAAACACTGTAATTATAAACACAGATATCAACATGTCATCAGCCATCTCTAACAATATCTGCAGTTATGATTTATCAACATCACCAGCCCCATATTTGCAACTTCAAACAAATCACTCAAGTCACTTTCCTCAGCAGACTTGGCTGTCCAGTTAGCGGTCCATATATATGCCTACACTGTTATCACGCACTAGGATGAGCTGGAAAACACTGTAGTAAAATCTGTGCGTGCATAGAGGTCAGTTCTCCATGAGATCAAGAGTGGGGCTGCATCAAGGTGAAAGGAGATATACATTTACTGTAGATTAGTGATGAAAAATGAAAACAAACAAACAAAAAAAAAAACAAAAAAACTGGTGGGTTAATGTTGAGCATCGTACAAAAAAGGGATGGCCTGATCAGGCCATATGACTGACATTTATGTGACTAATGCATATGTGCAAATTGTAACCTGTCTTACAGCCTCAGGTTGAAACAGTCACAAAACATTTTCATTTTCCTCAAAAACTTGTAAAGCTTGGAGTAGCTAGTGCATTAGTGGCAGCTAATGGGGATCTGGATAAAGGAGAAGGGAATACAATAAAGACACAAGCTGCAATAAACGAGCCCTCACAACTGGAGTAAAACAAATTCCTGTTTGATGGTGACACATTAAAGTTTTTCAGTCAATATGTTCAACAGAAGAAGAGAGGTACACATGCCATTTCCTGTTGGCAGGGGGGGACTAGGGCAAAAAAATGGTATTCCTGTTGAGACTAGGGCAAATAGCTATTGTGCAACATTTGGACCTGATCTAACATTGGACATGAAAACAACAAAGACTGAGATGTTTTGACAATTTAAGAGGAAAAAACCTCAACATTTGACCCTCTGCCACTGCCACACCCTTTGGCGAAAAACCTTTGATATCCAGACATTGTCGTTGTGTTTATAATATACAGACAAAGGAAGAGTAAACCAAAGAAAATCCCTGGAACAGGTCCATTATATGCACCATGTAGGCGTGATATTGACCTAGTATTTGTAAGCATGTGCCCCATGGACAATGACTTAAGTCCCTGTCCCATCAGTCATTAGTTCAACTCATGGTGAGGACGAATTTCTGCATGTCCTATCTCACTCTCTTCTTCCTGTCTGATTTCAGCTTCAATACCTCATCAAATTAAGGCAAATATACCAGGAAAGAGTAACCCTGGATACTTATACCTTGCTATGTTGGTGCACAGGCCCTTAATATGACCAGACTTTGGATGATCAGTACAAGACCCAGGATATATTGAATTTTTGAATAAGCCTAATCAGTGTACCACCTAATATGTGTGTCATTTAAACAAAGAGGAAAGGGTGGGAGAAAGAAAGAGAGAAAGACAGAATAAAAGAAAGAAAAAAGACAGAAAAAAAAGACAGAAAGAAAGAAAGAAAGAAAGAAAGACAGAAAGAAAGAAAGAAAGAGAAAAATTAAGTTCCTTGTGTTTAACAGGACCCTCACACTGTTTAATGCTCAGGCCCTGCGTATGTCCCACACTGTGAAAACCAGCAGAGTTTCCTCTTTAAAAATCACATTATGATTGTCATTTCCTGGCTGAGTGGTTTTCCTGTTTCCCCTCCTTGAATGTCAGTGTTTGCTCTGAGGGACGGTTCTTATGGGCTGAGATGAATGTTGCTTTTCTTACCACTCAACTGTGAACTGCATCCCCACTTTACAAAAAAATGTCCTCCATTTTAGACTGACAGAACAAAGGAAATCTATTACTGAATCAAAATCTTTTCTTTTGAATCCAATGTCTTTTCCAGATCACAGAGTTTTGAATTATTGGTAAATTTTAATCATTTCTCTGAATCAAAGGGTATTCGCAGTCACAGAAACTGTAGGGCTATAATATTTCCTCAGTACCTGAGCACATCATGCTATACTGCACCATCAACATGTGGATCTTGCTGCTATACATGATCTGAGCTACATTATTTGCACAGTGAGAGTAACTCTTCATGGTGCTGAAAGTGAGCAGCTTAATTCAGTTTTGTCCCTAAAATTGCTCAGGAAAACACAGCACCACGCCAGGCTGGAGCCTCCTGCTTACAGAGAGGCAGGTGTGTGGAGCAAAGTTTGGCCTGGGGCTGACCTAAAAATCATGCATGGCAGGGCTAATAAAACCCCTGATCTGTCCTTTGTTTGTGCTCCTCTTTCTGAATCTTTGACAGGATTTGGACGAGAAGCTGCAGAGTGATCAAAGATTGTGGCGTTTTACTTTGTGTCCATGAAGCTGTTTCTCCCTACGATGGATTATTAGCAGTCTCCTCCCCTCACAAGGCATCAGGGAATAGGAGGTGTTCCCCCTGTATGAGCAGATGTGGGGTATTTTTGCATGCAGTGCACAAAGTTCGTTTATAGCATGAACCTTCATGCATCAACAGCACCTGAAAATGCTGCAGATTTGGGGGATTATTGAAAGAAAGCAATAATTGATGCACCATTCCTGAATGCATATGATAATAGGTAATGAATTCATTATTTACTCAGCTCAGATTGTAATAACCAGCATGCACATGATGGATTTCACCCTCTAGATTCTGCTTTATCGCTCACACAGTGCTGGACCTATATCCAATGGCTTTCATAATGCAGTGCTGCATTCCTCCTCTTGGCACAGACTCTCTGCTTAACTGCTGCTAGCGCTCACTCTCTCACATCCCTCGCTCTCGCCGATCTCCTCTCATCCACGCTCTCCCTCTCATAATGCAGAGCCAGCAGAAAGCAGGTCTCTCTCTCTCTCTCTCTGGCTTTACTGACACACAGAGTGAAGCAGAGGGAGAAGGAATCAGAGAGGGGGTGGAGAGAGGAGAGGAGGAGAAGGGAGGTAAAAAGGAGGAAGAATCAAAGGTTTGTGGAGCAGAGAGGAGGCTGCGGGTGTGATGCTACAGCCTGGGCACAGTTGGATCCAAAGGGCATCTGTGAAGTGAATTTGCGAGGCGGTCATGGCCGGCATGGTGCGATATTTTAATGGCTTCCATGTATGAATCATGCTATCATGGCAGGATTGTGTTGCCAAATTCTGCAGGCTTTCTTGTAATGCTGATGCAGCATAAAGAAAAAGTGGGTGGGACTGAAGAGCTGGTTTGATACCACCAGCACAAACAACAATGTACTCACACCTACTCCTTCTATTCAAGTAACACAATGCCACTTCTGCCTTTATCTACACAAAAATTCAACCATTAGAGAACTGGATGATGTTTAAACACTGAGCACAAATCCACATTCACATCAGGGCTGCCACAGTATTCTGGTGAGGATGAAAACTGTCTTGAAAAGAAAGAGGAATATTGTAGTGGGCTAAAACAAGCATATTATAATACAGTGTAACTATATTAGTCCATGTTATTAGTCCAGGACAGTAGTGGGCCTTTGTGCCTCCTACCAAAAAATGAAGGAGGCTGAAGAAGAGGCAGAGGCAATGACGAAGACTCAGGGTCTGTTTGAATAGTCCTTTTTTTTTAGGAAGGTTCCTAAATGAGCAAAACCACCCAGAAGTCTTTGAGCATCGGCCATGATAAGAGCTTCTCCAATTCTTCAAGGAAATGAGGTTCACTGATTCCTTTGTTACTTCCTTCAGCAAAGGATACACTGGTATAGGTTGACCATATTCTGAATCCCCCAAAAAAGGGCACGACTACGCAGGGGTGGAGTCACGGAGTCGCGTAGTAAATTTTGAGTTTTTCAGGTGGGGTCCAGTGTTTTTTTTTACGCGCTACTTACTCAGTAAGTCAGTGTGACACAAACTCAAAACTTCCATACAAAACCCTGGACATTTGAGGATTTTACAAACTCCCCCAGACAGCCCCCCAAAAAGAGGATATACTGTATCTGGGTAAAAGAGGACGTATGGTCACCCTACACTGCAACATCCTTGATGGAGGAGAAAAGGAAAATGAACCATAATTCTCTGCGCCAACTATACTTTAAGTCATGCCCCTCCTGACAGGCATGTCAACAAGCGATCAGCATGACAGCAAATTCACTGAATTAAACAACAATAATCAAATTGATGATTCATGTGGATGAATATGAAAGATGAGAATGAGCTGAGCAACATTTTCAGCCTGACCAATATTTTACTTCACCTTTGCTGACTTACAGTAACCCTTCTCCTTGACCTCTCTAAGGTCAGATAGATAATACTTCAGTCTGTCTCAGCACCTAAAGACTTGTCATGTGTTTTACATCTGCATCCCCTCCATTTGTCCACCTCTAACTATCTTTAACACCATTGAGGATTTATTTATTTGTATCTTAAAACAAATTTGTTTAAAATAAAATGTATAATAGTGCATAAATGGCAAAAGCCATTAAATATGACAGCAGGCCTAAACCTCTGATAACATGTTTATTGCATGGCCAAGACAATCAATAAAGACTGAAACTGAGAGAGATATTAGCGATGTACCGGTTGCAAAAGAGTGACCTCCTAGACCTGGCTTCTGTACATTCCATATGATCCAGTTCCTGTGAGGGATCCGGTTTCCTTTCTCCCCCGTTTTGTTAATTTGCACGACAGAATATGGGATTGATCTCCTCTCCACACTGCTCCGGCTCTGCTTTGCTCAGGCACACCATGCACTGACCGAATGCTGCATCAATATGCGGCCGATAGGGGTGGGCAGTATTGCCTCTAAATATTATCACTATAATTTAAAAAAAAATGTAATAAAAAAAAAAAGACAATGTTTTAACTCTGCTTGCAGCTTTGATTTAGCGGCACTTATTTGTGCAAAAAATAGAAGGCTTTAATTTTTATCACTTCTTTACCCTTTTTTTGCAGGTTTCAAAATCAACTAACCCCTCATAATTTTAATGGATGTAAATTCTTATTAACAAGGCCCGTGGTGTTTAATTAGGAGGTTGAAATATTATAAATAATATAATAAATCTTTCAATGCTTTAATAAAAAAACTGACATGCTCTTTACTCACAAAATAAATAAATAAAGGTTAAAACATTTTTCTCGTTGTTTTGGTTTATAGTACTCCTTTCCTTTACTTCTCTGCAGTTTAAGACATGAGTCTTTAGTAGAAACACACAAATTCACAATTAAAACCGTTATTGTGGAGATTTGTCCCTACTATGTCAAACCAAGTTGGGCCATTCCAGTGCAAATTCGAAGTTAAGGCCCCAGTAAGACGCAGACCAAGCAAGTGCACCCACTAAATGTTGCTGTTATACACAGCCTTGGAACCTGTAGTGATGAAGACTTTAGTTTACCTGATGACGGAGGCATTTTGATTGTAGACATTAACATCAAGCTGTGAAATGAGGAGTAGGAGGCTGTGAGTGTAGGTCCATGTGGCTCTGCTCTGATGCTAAAGAAGACCTACTGTGAGGTGACGTCACGATATGACATTATATTTGTATATAATTTTCTGTTGTACATTCAGATTATATAATTGCAGTTAATGTTGAGGATATATGATATGATATGGCACCGGCCTAGTCGTGCTAAATGGTGCAATGTTAATGTTTTGATAACAAACATGATTAAAAATACTCTTACAATCTCTACGCAACAAGCCCAAGTAAAATCCTTCACGAGACTGAATTACATGTAAAGTCAAGGCAAAAAGACGCGACCAGACGCTCCTGCTACTCTGGTGGCGCGTATGACGCGAATTGGGCGGGAGCTGAAAATGTCTCAACTTGAGCAGATATTCGCAACGCGATAACCAATCGGCATGAAGATTGCTGGGTGACATATGAAAATGGATGGTTGTTCACTGGTATCTAAATGGAGGACAAACTGATCGTGTCTGTGTGTGGGTGCCCCGAATTAAATGATACCTTTTCTTTCAATTACTGAATAAAAAGGAGCTTGTCTGAAGGCAAGTAAGTGAGGAGGTCGGATTACCTGGTAAACTGTAAAAAAAACTTTGTCTATCACTTGATCCCGACGGTTGAATTGGCAGGGATTACCATTGATATTACTGTTGATGCGCAAACGAAGTGAGTACATACTATTTATTAATATGTCTAGATTTGCGCTAATCATGTGAGTAAATGATTTTACTTGCGCTTGGTGTGAGCACCTTATTATGCTGGAAATAATAAGGTTGATTCTAATAACGATTCATAATTTAAGTAAAATGCATACTCAATTATCAATCGTATTTAAAATAATGCTAAAAACTGTCTTCTGTAACAAAAGCCATGATAGGAATATGTAGAGCTGTTTAGAAGCTGACAGAGCTGACTCTTCATGCTAAGCTGAGCCAAATGATCTGGATCACTAAAAATCACTGAAATTCCCATCAGTAATAAATAAAAAGTGACCTTTCAAAGACTTTGATTGATTTGCACTGAACAGAGGAGAGACAGCAGCATAAAGCACTGATTATGGTTTGTTGTTGACAAAAACTATTAAAAACACATTAAAGAGCCCAGACACTTACAGGGGACAGTCCTCCATTACTGTGAGTGGCATCACTGTACACCGCCCTGTTTAACACTCTCACGAGCATCAGTCTCTTAAAAATAGCCACTGACAAACACACACTTACAATTGGGTCCTGTTAAGTTATTTTCTCTGAACTACAGGCCTTTTTTCCCAGCGTGACATTTTGACATCTTCAGGCAGGGAAAAACTAAAGTGTTTCATGTCCCTGTAAGCTGAGACAGTGGGACAGTGAGATAGCATGCAGCAAATCGGGTTCTGATCCCTGACAGCTATAAGGGATTTTATGTCACATTTAGCCCCGCAAATGTGACACACTGAGAATCTACTTTGAATTTTTTATAGATAATTTCAACCATTAAATTCATTTTAATTAGGCAATTATAGATAATGTCAACAATACATAAATGCACTGAACGCATTACTACCAAGCAAAGATACTATGTGGAATTTACATTGAAATTTTAATACTGTTGAGACCAGTGACTGTCAAATAAATGGAGTCAATTTGATCCAATACACAATTTAAAGGCACTATAGTTTTTTTTTACTGGTTTAGAAACAAACTTAAATGAATACTGCTGCCTCCTTGACCCTCAAAAGCAAACGAAACAAAAGCTCCTTGCAGCAGCTTTAAATCATGCTTTCACAGGCCACTTTACATGTTGCAGTAACTAGGCTTTGAGACAACAGATAAACAAGCATTTGTATTTTGTCAGAATTAACCCTAACCAGACGGCTAATTGGCCTGCTGGCTAGATCCTGGTTACACTGCATGGATGGGTTTTTTGGTGGGAGTCTTCACATGCAATCACATGATAAGCCACATATAACATATAAGCAGTAGATTGTGTCCTTCCAGAGGAGGAAATCTACTTCTAGGCTTATAAAATCAGCATCTCCTCATCTATGGTGTCATCAGGGAGAAACACTGTCCATAAACTTTTCACTCGTTCATCCCCGCCCATTTGCATGGTGTGAAATACAATCCGCCTGAAACACAGAGTGTTTTATTTTGAAAAGAAGCCGGATGTTTTATTTTGTGTCTGTGCCTGACTTTCTTTGCAACACCGGCTAATCTGTGCTGAATTTAGCATGTTGGCAAAAACATGCTGAAAATAAATATGAAAGCAATTAAAACGTATTAAAATTATATTCTGTCCTCTTGTGTGATCAGTATAATTTCCTTCGATTTAGTCCATTTAATCAAATAAATAAATAGGAGGGGGCTGAGATGTAAGCAATAATACATTTTTAATTTATTCATTTTTAAAGTTTTTTTTCTCTAATTATTCAGCATATAAGGTTTGAAAATATTAACAAATGAGTAAATCTTTTGTTAGAAAAAGAAACATTCCTGTTGATCCCAAAACTATGAAAAATTTAAGACAGGGTAAGAATTAAAAAAAAAAAAAAGGAGACCAACTAATCCGGTATCCCTCTTAAAAACCACAAGTCTTGCTTATTAGACTGTCAATGATCTGTGTTTCAGCGTCTCAGTCCCATCATCTGTGTGTTTACAAATCAGTGACCCCTGAGCCCACGCAAAGGCTTGGCACAAGGTCAGCTGTGAGTCCTCTGGCTGTAACAGAGAAGCTCCCACAGATCCTCTACGTCCAAAGCCGGCTGGAACTGTGGTGGCTTCATGTGCTGAGTAAGTACTGAGAGAGAACAGAGGTGAGGGGCCGAGGCGGGAACCCTTCCAAAAGGACGCTGAGTTCTCCGATCACGGCAGGACGCGGCGTCATCTCTTCTCTCTGTCTCTCAGGTAACAACAGAGAGAGTGATGGGGGTAGATTAGGTGATGTTAGCAGGGCTGTGGAGACATTATGGTCTCTGTAACTGTCTGTCCTGAGTTTCGTACAGAACTTCTTGAAATGATGCCAGTCAGGACAGACAAGACAACCTCTTTGGTTCAGCCATCTTCTGCCCGCTAATCTACACTCATTTCACATACTCCAGTAGATATTTTAAACAAAGGCTTGTGAAACATGCTGGACCCAAGTCCTGTAAAAGTTCAATCAGATCAATCATTCTGGTTAATGTCCATTCATTTTTAAAAGATTATTTTGGTTTAATCTTGAAAGCTTGTTCTATGCTACAAAAACATGTTACAAGAATCATTAACTTTTTATAACTGTGAGTATTTGCATCAAACAAACTCAAGAAGCTGTCACATTAGCCAGAGGTATGTTTGGAACTTAAGGGTGTGTTGCACACAGCTGTCAAGTTTGAATTATTTCTTTATGGACTAAGACAGAAATTTTCATTAAATGTCTAAACAAATTTTGAATGGAAAAAATGAAAAAAAGCACACAGTGAAGCTTTAAAGATCCTATAAAAAGATAAAAAAAAAACAAACAAAGAAAGAATGAGGTGTAATAGAATACAATAATATAGAATAGAATCGAAATGAATAGAACATTCAGTGAACCATGATAATGGGACATTGTAAAACAAAAAAATATTATGAGAGAAAATTGTTTAAAAAAATTACATTAACAAATAGAATGTAAATACAAACAAAAATAGATATAGTAAAATTGAAATAAAACATACAATATATAATATGTAAGTATAAAAGATTAAAAAGAATAAAGGAGTGGAAAAAGCATAGAGTGAAAGAATAGAGTGAAAAAGAATCAAATTTAATAGACAATAATACATTAACTTTATAACAAAACTGGAAAAACAGAATGGAATAGAATGTATTAAAACAAAGACTACAATAGATGACAGATGTCAACATAGAATAGAGTAGAATAGAATGAAAAGGGGATAGAATAAAGCAGAGCAGGATTGATTAAAATATAGAATAGAAGATGGCTGAATAGATCCCAACATAGCATAGAGTAATACAGAAAGAAAAAGAACAGATCTAAATATGAATAACAGAGAAAAGGATAAAATGGACTGGCTCAAAACATGGAACAGAATTGGTAGTATGGATCTGAACACAGAATATAATAGATTTAATGATAGAGCAGTTGAGAGTAAAATAAAACAGAGTGGAGTGGAATAGAACAGAATGGATTTCAACATAGAAAATATTTGAACAGAACAAGAAAGAAAATAGATGAGATGAGACTAGACAGTTGTGGTATCTGTAACTGGCTGTAAGAGTGCTGTGTCACACTTGCATGTGAATGTGTACTGCCTTTCTGACTTTTGCACAACTGTGCAAATGTTGTGTTTAGTAATGGGTCAGGTCAATTCTTATATTTACAGGTCCAGTCAGGTCCGGATTTGACAATGTGTAACTTGCAGGTAACGAGTTGAGTTATGGTACAGAGCTTTATATGATGCTGATTTATGAACCTGTTCCTTTGCAGAACTCTGACATTCTGTGTAGGGGGATTAAAAAAAATCCATGAAAGGCTTGCAACTTTAGATATTTATAATTACAGTTGATTTGCTGTTGGACACATTTTGGCTGCTTACATAGGTAAGCTATGGTACGTTGATGAGTGTTGGTGATATGAGAATCCACACCATCAAAATAAGAGTAAACAGAGAGGACACGTAAAAGTGTTCAAACATGGTGATGGTGTAGGCTGCAGCCTAAAACATTCAAAAGACTGGAGTTGGTCATAGATGCAAAGATACTGCTTCTCAACAGGAAAATATCAACAAAAGGTTAAAAAAAAAAAAATCAAACTTACTACAACAAAACATGTTACGGTCTTACTGTGCTGAACATTTTTTTTTTTTTTTTTGTATTTTGTGACATGAGAGTAGGATGCTCCTTGCTTGAGTAATTGGACTATGTTGGGTTAGCATGATAGCTAGTTTTGCTAACAGGTAAAGGGACAGCTGTGTCTCCTTTTAAACTTTCAAAACCCCTGTATTCAAAATAAAAAAACAGGCTTCCCTGCCTGACGTGACACAGTCTACCCAGGACCAATCACAGGTGGATATAATAACTAGCTTCTTTTTCTTTTTACTGCAGTGTTCAAAGAGCTGATGGAGAGTTTTACTGCATCATCTGACAGGCTGTTTTGACAGTGAGCTGTTTTGTTGTGGCCCTGACTATGCCGCTACTATAGTTTAAAGCATTTGTTAGCTGTGTACCTGCATTTTAACTGTACAGGCTTAACAACAGCACTAACTGAAAAGCAGTGAGTGTTTATATGAGACTGACAGGGCTGAGACATGTCCAGGCAGGTCCTTTTTTTTTTTTTTTTTTTTTTTTTTTTTTACAGCTGCCAAATAGAGCAACTGTACTGTTGAATGTAGTTGTTAATTTCACTCAGGAAATATCAATTTTATGTTTTATCTTTGAGAGGATGTCAACAGCAGACCAGCTATGTCTCTTTTAATCACCAGTATTACTTTCTACTCACGTCACATTTTCACAATCAAACAAAACATACTGGGGCTAAGCTAGTAAGCTGAAGTTGCACAACACTGGCTGACTCGAGGAGATCATTTTGATGTCCAAATTAAAATATCACTAGTAATGTACAAGAGCCAGTCACACATAATATGAGGGATTCACATAATTGTAGTAATCCATTTATGTGATGACTTTTCAGCAAATTTAAAGGCACAGTGACTGTTGTGTGCATAAAAAAAATGTGTTTGTAGATGTTTTTGATGGTAAAAACTTGAATAAAGGGTCATAATTACAAAGCATTATAGGAGCTTCTTGTCTTCGTAGGCCACAATCCCTCCACTGGAGGGAGGGGTGAGCAAAGGAGCAATTGAATGATAGCTAGATGTTGCAAAATATTCCTGTTTCTGTACTCTGCATCTTTAATTTAAGCATTCATAAAATATCTGTCAAAGGCTTGAGGACCAAGAAGAGATTGGTTGTCATGTGCAACAGAATTGGTGTTGATGAACATTTTTGACAAATGTAGGGTCATACTTTTCATGCATCACAGGAGCTTGGCACAACCATAGACTGTATATACTAAGGACAACTTAGTTCCGTCTTCCGCCAGTATACGGATTTGAAGCCAAAAAGCTCTTGGAATTTCCGCGATTTTTCTCCATTTCCTGAAACTAACATTGCGCAGTAGCATTGTGCGCATTCAGCGGGAGAGTTGCCAAGTCGCTGTGATGATGCTTGGCTCATACAGCATATCCCCCGGGTGAGCTATGCAATCTTTGTACGCTCATAGGCTGTATCAGGTGTCAATCATAAAAGACATGAAACCCCTAATAACTTTTAAAAATGGAGCTGTACAGAGAAAAAAGAGGACTTGAGCACAAATCAGTCTTACACTAACTACATGTGAACATCGCAAGCAGGGGTGAGAAAAATTTAAATTCTGTGTAATACATTTCTAAAGTTTGTCCACAGATTGCTGGAGGAGGCAGAATTTATGACCTATACTGCAGCCCGTCACCAGAGGGTGCTGTTCTCGGGTTGGCTTGACCCAGCGAGGAGGCAGATTAAGTACATTCTATTTACAGTCTAGGAGCACAACAAGCAGTAAGAGCCATGTGTCAGATTTGAGCCTGGACCAAAGCTCCTGTACATGAGAGGCACGACTTCTGAATTTGAGCAATTTTAAATAAACTTTATAGTCATGACACAAAAGTACCATAATTCATACATTTTTGACTTCGAAACTGTCCATGCCTGACGATTTTAAATCTAACACAGACATGTTAGCGTGGTATTGCGACCTCAGACCGACAGTATTTTTTAACCTGCAATGTCTTAACTTCCACTCTCAAACCCAGGGAGATTTACAGACTCAGGGAATAAACCCCAATGGGTATCCCCAATGTTACCAAGTATTTTCTTATTTTGTACAAATATTTTGTACTCATTAGTTACATCCAGCCCACAAATCCAGAAAAATGTTTTATTTTAAGAAATTATATGCCAAAAATAAGAACTGAACTGCTTGTAATGATCAAATCATCTGCAAATGGAATGTAAAAATGTCCTTGTAAAGTTCTTGAAGATATTTGAAGGTGCTCCTCTTTTACTTCAATACACTTGAATAGCAAATATTTTTTTAATACATTAAAAGATTTTCTTTGCTCATTAAAAGTATGACAGATTTTATTTTTGCTCTGCATTATTTCAAAATGAGACATTTGTCTGGACTTGTTGGATGACTTTTGATTCAATTCAGCTTAATAGGACATATTTTTATTTGAAATAAGACTCAAACATCTGTTTAAATTTTGCAGTATATGAGTGAAGTAAAGGTAAGGAATGCAGAAATCATTTTTATCACCTGCTGCACTGTGACCTTACAGAGTTCAAGTATGTCCCAGAAACTAGAAAAGTCTCCTGCATGATTTACCTGAAAGGACACACAAACCCCTTCACCGTGGCTAACAGGGACTACTGTATGAGGTTATGTACAGGAAGGGAGCTGGTCTTCAAGATCCACAGTTATAATTAGATACAATGTTATCTGATAAATATTTAATAATCTGTACATACTACACAAAATAATGTGTAAAAATCTATACAGCCCAATGAATTTCTTAATGTATTCAATAATGAATTAATAATTAAAACTCTTTGATATGTCAACCTCACCTCCCAGGATATTACTGGAGACGTATTACTCAATCATTTCGGAGAGGTCACAGTCTGTTAAACTTCACCACTCTGCCACAACATGTAAATGCTCCCTTAGTTTGAAAAATACAGTAAGTGCACATAAGCACTCATAGTTTGGTCATATTGAAGTGAGCCACTCCTGTTTATAAAGATTCAAAGTTAAAATAACAGGACAGTAACAGTAACCTGAATTCACTGTGCATGATGAATAAAATGTATCAGAAGAACCAAATAGCATCAGGGTGAATTGTAGGAATCAAGCTGCAAATGAGTTTTTTTCTGACATTTTGTGAATGTCCTCATGCAGCTGGAGGGCTAAATGCTAAAGAGCACGTCACAGTTCTATCTCTGCACCCCCCTCAGTATGAAGCCACTACATCATGACGTATTAATACTTCATACCGTCAATCAGCAGTTTGGTTAAATGTGTTAACAGTGCAAACTTAACATGATTTTAAAGCTCCTGTGAGGAATTTTTCACTGGTTATGAAACTGACTGAAACCCCAAAAAATAGACTCTCTGCAACTATATCGACAAGTCCCATTATGTAGTTGCTAATGCCTGTAACTGTTGTGAGAGGATGGGTGTCAGACTAGATAATCGACAGCACACTGAAGAAACAACCTTTTGCAAATATGCCAAGTGAGTACTGTGTTTGCTTGTTAAAAGAAAGCAGGATAAGATTGTTGACTTTACACTTTTATTCACTGGAGTTTCTTTACGGGCTTCAGTTGTTGCCAAAAGAAAAACAGCTTTGACTAGAGTAAAGGGACTGGTGTCCTAGGTCAGTCAAGGCAAGTAGCTGTTTCCCATGAGTCCAATTCTGCCCACTGACTCTATACAACGTGGGTGTAGTCTACAGACATATGTCCTGGCAAATTTGTGGGTAAAGGAAAAGACCTGGGGTGTTTGAAGCCTTAGATTTGGCTTTATGGTTTTATTTGCCAGTGTCTTGTTGAGTTTTGGTTGTCAGGGGGAAAACCATCTTCAGAAAGATTAAAAGGGCCTGTATTTCTCATCTAGTCAAGACAAATGGATGAGTCTGGTCCAGCCTTGGGTTTTTAGCTTTTAAAAATAGGTTCTTCCTAGTCGCTGTTGACAAAGAGTAGCATGTGCTGTTCAAACAAGTTAGTTTGTACCACAAGTTTTCATCATGCAGACACAAGGCTTATATCAATGAGTTGAGTTTAACATCCAATATAGATAGAAACCGTGTTGAAGGAATGACGTTTTTACTTTATCTGGCCAATCAGTAAAAATCTCTTTTTAGAGTGTTGACTCTCACACCTGATTGGCTCTACACAGGCTAATAACTGAAAATACCTGCTGCTAACACTCATTATTACCTGTTTTTCTAACTTATCACCTGGTATTGCTTAACTGCTGTTAATTCTGAACAGCGAGGGCGAAACCAGAGACCAACAGATCACAAATGTCATATCAAATCAATCTTCAGAAAAGAGTCCCAGCACTGTTAATTCTGTTTGTTGACACTGAAGATAAAAATACATTTCCATTAGCCTAATATGGGTAAACATCGTGGTATAAACATGCAAAATTGTTTGGCTAAATAAGATGGATATTTGAATGTGGGATACTGTTCTGACATCCAGGTGAGGGCAGCAGAGCTGGTGAGTGTTCCTCTATGTTACCATGAAAGAACCTCTAAAGAAAATGAAACCTTATGCCGTCGTGATCATAGGTCAGAGGATCATTTGAAAGTACTGCAACAGTAAATCTGCTTATTGTTTCCAAACCAGAAACACGGTAACTGTTTTACTGTCCAAATCAAATAAACCAAAATCCAATCAAAATTGGCCTGTTTTCCATCTTTGGTTATTCCCTGTTTTTCTTTTTTGGCTTGAGTATAGTTACATGTTTTTTGTTTTACTGAAACCACAATTGAAAGAATGAAAAATGAAATCACACGGTCTGTTTCTTTTCCTGTTTTCTGGCAAAAACAAGCACCGAGTTTGGATATTCACATCCCTTTTTCATTTCAGAGGGCAAGGCTAAAAATCTCAGAATAAAAGCCAAGAGGGTCCTACAATTATGTAGACACAGGATCTACTTTTTAGAGTCACTTTAAAGCATTGAGAAATAATCAAGGAGGCTCTTTTTATCTTCACATGAAACACCTTCACATATGTAGATACATTTCGTTATCACAGGAGCTAAGCATTAAGTTCAGCCCATTAGTTAGCCCATATAACCTGTAGACTGTCCAAAATACTGATTCCTTAAGTGGTCAACAGTGGCCTTAATAAAGGTATTATTTATACAGGCTGTGTGAATCACACCCTAGTTTCTAAAAAAATCAAGCTTTACATCAGGATCTCATCTTGTTGGGACAAAACCACAGGCTAACTATACATTACCCTTTGCTTGAGGGATTAACAATGACATAAATGCATGTAAAATGTGACAAAGCATCTTGATATGGTGATAAGTAATCTGCAGTGTTAAATTACAACAGCCAAATACAACAGTACTCATTATTGAGCTGCTTAAGTTATCTCTGCTTGCGCAAAATGATGAAAATGTGAGGACAGATCAAAGTCATCTTACGTTTTTAACTGATATAATAAACCACTGGGAACACATTAGAGACGGAAACTCTTTGCTTCTTCTCTTTGAAATCATGTTCAAGCTAGGTTCTGTTTGAAATGAAGCATATATAGCTGCTGCTGTTTATTTAGTAAGGTGTTATGAAGATTACTTCAGCTCTGATTTAGGGTTATGTAAATAAAATGATTGATAGTACATTAGCTATCATCTAGCAGCAGTTTTGTATTTTATTAATCAAGAACCACAGACATATTCATATCACTGCAGATTCTGACACAACTTCAGCTTCTTCTAATGTTCATGGGGAAGAAATAAAAAACTAAAAATGTGAAAAACTCAACAATACCTTCAACAATATATACTTAGGTTAGGTTGAAATATTAAGAATGTCAAAAACATCCAATCAAATGCATCCACCTGTATGTCAGCCAATAAGGCCACTGCAAGGAGGGCTAAGCATTTAGTCATGTGGTTTCAGGCCAGTTACTGTTCAGATTAAGAGTCCAATGAGGTCCATTGGTGATGATAAGGGAATGCACTTGATCAGGTGTTTTCAGGCTTTTTTCCTGCACCTTATCCTATTTAAATGTCTTTTGTTTGTTATATGTTTTATAATGACCCCAATAAAGGCTAAAAGCTGAAACATATCATTCCACAAATAAGGTCCTATGCTGGGGTTTGGACATTTTTTTTTTTTTTTTTTGCCCGTGGACTTGGTCATTCCTCTTCACCTCCAATCTTGCTTTCCATGATGCTGATCCAGCTGTAAAACTGTGAACATCCTTAAAAAATAACACCTCTGGTTCTTTCTTTTCTGAAATAGCCAACTGCATCAGGAGCTCACCTAAATTTGCCACAGCCCATAGGTGTTATATTGTCACCAGTCCTTGGCAAGTGCTAGTATTCAAACCAAGTTAAAAACTAGAGAAATAAATCTGTTTGTAATTTGATGCTGGGGCCTTTTTTGACTTAATCAAATAATGATCATTTTTAATCCTAATTTTTCATACTATGCGCACAAAAGAGACAAATTATACATCTGACATGATGCACATCTCTGCAATATGAGCCACAGAACCCGTTAGATCAAACCCCACTCATCTAAAAGCTTAATGCACATGTCTTGTATGCTCAGCATGTCCTCACCACCAACAGCAGCCTCACATGTGACTGAACTGACACACATTTCTCTGACAGCAGCAGTGTTTGTCACTCTAACCCGCCATATGCAAGGTGCTATTAGCAGAAATGGAGTCTTGTCGGCTAATTTACATCTGAAGAGCCCACCTCAGCTTCACCGAGGCAGAGGGCACTGAGAACATCCAGCATGGATGGGATGAAGCAAAGCATGATGGGAATGCAGGGGGAAGACGGAGGACCTGAGAATGTTTTCACGATCAGAAGTGATCAGCTGTGTGTTGCTAGCAGAAACCATTTCAAACAGACTAAAGCGAAGGAGGCCTTCAGTGCTGCAGCGTGTCCTCTATATGATTCACTCTAACCTCCATAACTGAGCGATGAGACTCTGATATTTTCACCTCAAAAAGAGCAGAGAACCACGGGGATCATACCACCTGTGAGCCTGAAAACAACGCAGCCGGTGTAGCATCATAACCTTGAGACTGTAATTCAGGATGTCCCCAGGCCAGGTGATGAAACACAGCTGAGTGATGACACCTCTCACACTCTCACCTCTTCAGTTCTCCTGCCACCACACCCTCCATCAACACTCTTTCTCATGTCATGTGCTCTCCCTTGCGTGGCACCCTCCCCCCCTGCGACTCACCTGCCCCTCTCCCCATCCACCATCCTGCCCCTGGTCACCTCCACTCACCTGTTCTATCTTGGCCAGCCATTCCTTATTGCGAGCCAGTTCGGCCATGAAGGCCTGGTGCTTCAGCCACTTTCTGTGAAGCTTCTGAGCCTCGTCCCGCGCCGTGTCTCGGGCCATCAGCATCTTCTCTTCCACCCGCTGTCCCAATCACTCAGCTAGGGGAGACAAAAATAGCCACCATCAGGAGCTCCAATGCTCGAGCCGGCCCTTCTTCACCCCCCTTCCCCCCCCAACAGGACGTCCTGCCTGCCTCGACGCAAGAGCCGCCCGCTTCTCTCTGCAGGGGCCTGGGTACCTGAGCTGTCACCACCCTCCCCAACCCCCACCAGACACCCTTTTCTGGAGGAAAAAAATCAAGATAAGCACCTCAGCAGCAGTGGTAGCAATGGAAGCACTCAATCCCTTCCTTTGGGTCGCCCCTGGGTCCTCATGCCCTACCACTTCATGGGTCTTGCGGTCCTGATGCTGCAGTGCCTGCTAGCCAGTCTCAGAGAAGGCAAAAACAAGCAGCCAAATAGAGGAAATGCGCCAATGACAACAGTGGTAAAGAATGACACACACATCCAAGATTCCTCGCAGGTTTTAGCTCCAATTGTCGATTACAATCCAGCCATCAGAGAGGGAGAAGATGTAGCTTTAGCCACAGCAGAAATCTTTCAGCCGGGGCAAACCTGACCATCCAGCACTCGCTAGTCCCGGTCAATCTGTAGTCCTGTCTAATGATGCTGTAGACAGGAGGAGGAGGAAGAGTTGGAGTGGGAGGAGCAGGGTGAACGGGATGCAGAGGCAGTGCAGAGGAGGCCGGATAACATAAGCTACCCTCTCTTGAAATGCATCCTTCCCACGGCTGCAAAAAGATGCACGCGCAGGCTGCTGTGAGAAAGCAACACTATTTTCTCCCCTCACTTCCCCTTCCTCGTGTCCCCGAACAGCTCAGCCGCGGTTGGTGCATGCTGCTGCAGTCCTTGCCTCTCAGCTACGCTCCTGTGTGTGTGTGTGTATGTGAGTGTGTGTGTGTATGAGAGAGTGTGTGTGTGTGTGCGTGAGTGTGTGTGCAATCACAATCAGCACTGCAGTGCCGGAGCAGAGAGAGGAGAGAGAGAGAGCGAGAAGGAAAAGGAGGGGGGAGACAGCAAGAGGAGGAGAGAGGGGGAGAGGAAACGGAGAGAGGGGGGAGCGCCACAGTAAAAAAAAAAAAAAAAGAAAGAGAAGAAGAAGAAGAGGAGAGGGAGTCAAAAAGAGGGAAAAGATGGTGTTGGTTGGGGGGGTTAGTGAAAGAGAGAAAGGAAGAGAGAGCCTGCGTCATCCCTCAGTGTCACCAGGGACATTTCTCTGCACTAGAAATGACTGCACTCGGAGCGGGAGCAGGATTTGGGAAGGAGGGGGGAGGTGTCGTTTTAAAAACAGCTGAATGAGAGGGAAGGAGGACGCATGCACACATGCTCCAGAGTGCAGCTGACTGATTCGGATCACTCTCTCTCTGTTTAATGGGACGTGCATGTGATTCTCCTGCTGCAAATATGTCAGACAGAAGCTGCACACATCTTACTATTCATGTACATCATCTTATTCATCTCTGTCAGATCTGAATTATAGATACACAAGACAGTTCTACATTATCAAAAATGTTTTCAGAGTTCAGTGCTAAATTTCAGTCTGCATTTCTGCTGCAGCATCAGGACCATGCCTTATTTATATACTGTTCTGTAAAAATACCAATTTTTATTAGATTGAGTCATAGTAGCATCAGAGGTGATTAAAATTTCATGAGTAAAAGGCTGAAGTGGAGCACTACCCTAAAACACCAAGTTTTGTTGTTCAGGTTTTTTTTGGTATTTTTTCTCTATTTCTGAGATCAGTTCAGGATTTAAAGACCATCTCATCATTTTCTCAAACCAAAAAAATCTCAACTCTTGATTAAAGTTCCTGTCAGGAGATTTTAGCAGGTTATAAAACAGACTGAAATTAATACTGATGCCTCTGTATGACCTACAAAAGTAAAGGAAGAAGATTAATTATTAGTAAAGTGGTTTTATCTTTTATCTTTCAGGTCCCTGCAGGGTATGTGTCAGACAGAGCTTGTTGAAAACAGGTCTCCATTTTATCCCACTGTAAGAAAACGAAGCCAAAATAGTAATCCAATGGGCACTAGCATTTTGAGCTTTTAGCGTACTTGGGAGTTACAATGAGTGGAGGCCATCTGGCTTGTAAAACCATTAGTTTGATGTTGCATCTCTCCCGCTAACAAGAACAAACAGTTAACTTCGCAATAACAACTCACTGTTTCCTTAGGTCTGGACAGCCCAGAGCACAGAAAGATTCCTGACACAGACTCTCATGATTATGGAAACTTCAATAACTCTTACAGCCTGGCATTGCAAGACCAACTCACCTTGGTGTTGGATCTGTTCGAGTAACTTCATTTTTCCAAAGGCATTTGCTTTGGCCATGTGAAAGTGCCTTCAGAAGTGAATGGACAGACCTACAAGTTATCAGAGCAACATAATGCGGGACGTACGGAAAATCCTATAAGCAGTTCAGCAAACACATCTTACATACTAAAGATGGCTTGCAAAGTTTGTTGTTTATTGGGGCTTTTTGCCTCTATCAGATTGAATTTCATGAGAAGTGAAGCCAGTACAGAGGTGCTATAAATTGATGTTCCTCAAGTACCTGCTTCAGGCTAGCTGCAGACACACCGGAAACCAACTACCATTGCTAAGTACATTGCCAAGTACGTGTGGAAATACTAGGGTGACCATATTCTAAATACCCAAAAAGAAGACATGATTATGCGGGGGCGGAGTCACAGAATCGCGCATAGTTAATTTCGAGAGTTTTTGGGGTCGGATGGAGTGTTTTTTATGTACGTCTAACTCAGTAAGTCCATGTGACACAAACTCAAAACTTCCATACAAAATCGCAGACATTTGACGAATTTTATCAACTTTTATAAGCTATAAATTTATAAACTTTATAAACTCTTATAAACAGCCCCCAAACAAGAGGATATGTCTGGGTAAAAGAGGATGTATGGTCACCCTAGTAAATATGGAATATTGTTTCCTCCTTTATTTATGTTACATGTTGATGTTCAAATGATATAACATATATTGCCATTGTCTCATTTTTATTTCTTTTTTACTTTTTTCTTATGTTGTATTATCTTATTATTTTACCCGATTTTAGCAATAAAGTTAAGGACAATGCAATATTATCCACAGAGTCATGCCAGTCTTGTACTTTTGCATCTAAGGCAGAATATTGATGCAAAAAAAAAACTGTCTTCTTTTGAAAAAGGTTCATTACGCAGGTGATTTGTCACGAAATAAGCCAACACATTAAGCAAGGGAAAATTAAGGAAAATAATAGAGATCAATTCACCATATTTCATCATGAAAGCAAAGATAAAGTTTAAGAAAAGACTTAATAGTTGGCTAGCTAAATTAATCCATCATCAGCTAACTCTATAATTTGTAAACACACCCATGGGCCTTTGTTCTTTGAGTACAAGACATGCACTTTGTGTCGCATGTCCATGCATGAAAAGTGCTCTATAAATATTTGATTTGATTTGATAATCAGTGTAAAGTCCGATTCTGTTACCATGTGCACAAAGTGCCATTCTAGCTAGTCTGAATAAAAATTATGGTTTAGAGTTGATCTTTTTTGACAATAAACAGTTTTTCTAGAGGTATGTTAAAATGACAATGAGTGTTGCACACTGTCTGTGTCACACAAGTAGCGACGTACTTAGTTCAAATGTCTTTCACAGACTGAAATTTTATGTGACTTCCTCACCTATATTGCCGCAACATTCCTGCTGGAGGGTCTCACTTTCACTGCCATGGAGTCACTGGTGGTCTCTCATCTGCAGTCCAATTAAGTTTCATGGATAGAATCCACATGGATTGGCGGTGACCTAGACAGTGTGTGTGTGTGTGTGTGTGTGTGTTGAAAGAGATTATTTGTATTAATTTCCTTTTCTTTTTATGTACAGCACTTTGCATTGCATAATCAATAAAAACCTAGCATACATTTTAAACAAGACAGTGGGAGGTATTTTACATTCACAACAACAGCTATCAATCTTTAGTCACTAAGATTAGCCACTATATGACAAACCAATTTAATTCTATTTCCGTTATATCACAGGAGGTTTCACCCATAATCGTAAATACAGTAGTGCCTTTTGGGTTGACAAAAATAAATCAAATCTGAATCAGTGACTATTTTTCTTAAGTCTTATTGTTATATTTGTGGAATTTTTCTTCTGGTTACACTTGAACTACTTTTTAATGCTACATAGCTGCACTCAGTATCAGTGGTACAAGCTAGCAGGGTACTGAGCGTCACACAGTTAGCTAACAGTCTTGAATGTACTTAGGCCTATAAGGATAGATTTTTATCCATTTTAGAAAATGACAAATTAATCTGGAGAAAGTTCAAAAACTAAATAGCCAAATATTTTGCCTGAAAAAGTTTACTCACCAGCAGACAGCAGACATTTAGTCAGCGGTTTGTTACCGTGTCCTTTTCACTCAGCGCCTCCTCTCTGTGGGAGTCTTTGCTGCAGATGACCAGGTTATTAATCCTCCGTGTAATCCTGAAATAAGGCTGAGAACTTCATCACTTCTTCATTCATTCATTTCTTCATCAAACCTGGGGCAGTGGGGAATAAAAAAGCTAAGAGGTAGGAATTTCTTAATTTCTGTCTGAAGTAGAAAGTCCGTCAGAGACAGTCAGTGATATGTTAACTTGATTTGACCGTCAGATGAAGATTCAAATTGAAAAAGTGATCAGTTGAATTTACTTTGGAAATTAATGGAAAAATGTGGAAAAATAATTTCATTTAGGTTTAGTTTTTTTTCTGTGGAAAAAAATGCATTTCTCATATATTCTTTTTAAAGTTCTGATGCTCAAGATGATGTAATGCTGATGTAACAAAGGATTAAGTATCTCCATGTTTGTGAAACCTATACTGAAGTACAAGTCATCTAAATGCTCCACAGCCCTCATTTTAACAACTCTCCTCCACAACAGGTAACTTTACTACTTTATTCTCATAAATTAATGACTTTATTCTCATGAATAATGACTTCAGTCTCAGAAGTTATAACTTTATTCTAGAAGTCTTGAAACTGTTTTATTTTCTTAATGTGGCCCTTATACTCCGTTGTATTTATTAGATTATTACACTGATACATTATCTTAAATCACTCTTCACCCCCCAACCAAAAAATAAATAAAATAAAATAAAAATAAAAATAAAAATAAAAATAAAAATAAAAAATAAAAATAAAATAAAATAAAATAAATTAAAAAAAAAAAAAAAAAAAAAAATCTCACTCCAAGCTTAGTTTAAAACTTGAGAGCCCTGCACCATGTGCGGACTCCGGACTGTGTATCAGTTTGTGTAGATGAGAAATACTTCATGGTTATGGATTTATCAGTAACACAACAATCCGAATGGTCAATCCCTGATCCATGTGGACCCCAACAGGACTTTTAACTGCTAACTCTGTCTGAAGAGAATGGCACAGCATAAAGGAACAGAGTTTACTTTATTAAACACAAATACCTAATCTGTAAAATCACAGTACTTTTTCACATACAGTCAAAGCTCAACAGTCACTGAATTATATCCAAATTAGCAGGAAATAGAGCACAGAAAGGAAAAACAACTTGTTGTGAGCATGTTGTTTCCTTTATACCGAGCCCAACTGACTGGGGCTTCACTACGCTGCTGCCACGCTCCACATACGCATCTTGTGTGCGCATTTGGTAGAATTGGCGATAGACAGCGCTGCTGGACAGAGCAGATACCTCATGCTGACTGAACGTGCTCAACACGGATCCTGCATGTTTTTGGCTTCAAAGACAAAAACAAGGATTTTGTTGCATTTCATTTAAATAAGTTTTTTAAACATGGAATACAGCTTTAGTTAGTCACCATGTTTTTGCAAAGCCTCATTCCCATTTTTATTTCAGTTAATGAAAATGTTTTTCGACAGTTTAGCTTTTGTATTTTATTACTTTCCATTAATGATAGCAACCGTGGTGTGCACATGGCTT